CTGGAGTGGGTTGCCATTTCCTTCTCCAGGGGGATCTCCCTGACTCAGGCATCGAACCCAGGTCTCTTGCATTGCAGGCGGATTCTTTACCATCTGAGCCACCAGGGAAGCCCCATAAGGTACATCATAATTTTTATATGTACTGGGAAACCAAAAAAAATTGTGTGACTCATTTTATTGCTATATTTGCTTTATTGCAGTGATCTGGAACCAAATCCACAGTATCTCCAAGGTGTGCCTGTATAAGGAGATAGAGAAATTGCAAAATGTCAGAACCACTGGGGAAAGTAGGTTCAAATTTGTTTAGGACATGTTAGCTGTAGAAAAAGATGGTGCACAGACTTCTATTCTTCTTTTCTTGAATCTTCCCTGGACCCTCTCCCAAAAGAAAGCAACTGACAAAATCATCTTCATCGTAATAAATGGGAAGAATTATACTTCTTTTCCTTGGATGGTTGTCCATTTCTTCTTAAGTACTGTCAACAAACAGTCCCAAAACAGAAACATATGTATTACTCTGTTATAAACGTAGATATTCTTAAAGGCTTGTCTGTGGAGTTTGGGAGAAGCATTCTAAACCCATAGTGATCTCTGTCCTTGGGCCAGACTTCTCACACTTTAGCATGATTCCATATTTCCTGGGGATCTTATTTAAACATAAGTGGGACTAAAATGCTGTGCCCAAAGAAAACTATCAACAAAATGAAAAGGAAAAGTAAAGAATGGGAGAAAATTTTGAAAACATCTATCCAATAAGGGGTTAATATCTAAAATATACACGGAACTCAACTCAATAGCTTAAAAAAAAAGGAGAGATTTAAAAAGGAGCTAAGAAGGTGCATATACATTTTTCAGAGAAGACATACAAATAGCCAACAGATGCATGAAAAGGGGCTCAAAATCACTAATTAGGAAAAGACAAATCAAAACCACGATGAGATAGCGCCTTACATCTGTTAGAAAGTTGTTCTCAAAAAGACACAGATAACAAGTATTGGTGAAGGTATGGAGAAAAGGGAAACTTTATATACCATTGGTGGAATTCTAAGTTGGTACAGCTGCTATGGAAAACAGTATGGATGTTCCTTAAAGGTTAAAAATAGAATCACTGTATGATCCAGCAACCCCATTTCTGGATATATGTCCAAAGGAGATGAAGTCAGTGTCTCAAAGAGATATCTGCACTCCCATGTTTATGGCAGGACTATTTACAATAGCCAAGATATAAAAACAGCCTAAGTGTGGATGAATGGATAAAGGAAATGTGGTTGTATATACAATGGGATGTTACTCAGCCCTTAAAAAGAAAAAAAAAAATGCTGTCATTTGTGACTGTAGACATGAGCTTATAAAATAAGCTGAAAGTGAAAGTTGGTCATTCATGTCCAGCTCTTTACAACCCCATGGAATATACAGTCCTTGGAATTCTCCGGGCCAGAATACTGGAGTGGATAGCCTTTCCCTGCTCTAGGCAATCATCTCAACCTAGGGATCAAACCCAGGTCTCTCCCACTGCAGGCAGATTCTTTACCAGCTGAGCCACAAGGGAAGCCCACACAGACTGCACTATCTCACATTTGTAATCTAAAGAATTTGAACTCATAAAAATAGTGTAAAATGATGGCTGCTAGGGGTGGGGAAACCAGGAGATGTTGGTCAAAGAGTAGAAAGATTCTGTCATAAGTGACGAATAATTCTGTAGATCCAATGTATAGCATGGTGATTATACTTAAGAATTCTGTATTGTACACTTGCTAAGAGAGTTGATCTTCAGTGTTTTCCTCACACACAAAAATCTATGACTCTGTGAGGTGGTGGAAGACTTAATTAGCTTGATTGTTCATCGTTTCACAATTTATACATACATCAAAACATCATGTTATATACCTTAAGTAAGTAAGTGTTAGTTGCTTAATGGTGTCCGACTTTTTGTGACCCCATGAACTATAGCATGCCAGGCTCTTCTGTCCATGGGATTCTCCAGGCAAGAATACTGGTGTGGGTTGTCATGCCCTCCTCCAGGGGATCTTCCCAACCCAGAGACTGAACCCAGGTCTTCTGCATTGCAGGTAGATTCTTTACTTCTGAGCCACCAATTTTTCTTTGTCAAGTATACTTCAATAAAACTAGTAAAAAATTAAAATGAAGATTCTACTTCAGAAGATCGGGGATGGAGCCTGAGAGTCTGAAATTGTAAGAAGCTTCCAGATGGTGCTGGTTTCTGAACAATGAGTTGCAAAGAGAACTGTTTCTTAAAAATTGACACTCAGGAGTTATAAAGAATTGCATTGATAAAGTGTAGTTGATATAGAAATGCAGTAGAAGAGAAATCTGGGGATGTACATTCAGGATACAGTGCTTATTTACTTGTTTGGAATGTGAAAAACCACACTACTCATCAGTCCAAGAAAATGGTGGTTGGTGTGTGACTGATCTCCATCACACAATCAAGTGTGATGAGGCTGCTGCTATTAGGAAGATTTCTAGCAATTAATATTCCTGGGTTCAGGTAATTATTATGTTATATAAAACTCTGCTAGAGTTAATAGTGGAGAAGGAAATGTAAACCCACTCCAGTATTCTTGCCTGAAGAATCCCATGGACAGAGGAGCTTGGCAGGCTACAGTCCATGGCGTTGCAAAGAGTCAGACATGACTGAGCAACTAACATACACACACAGAGTTAATAGGGCCCTTTCCCCCAGAATTCTGGTAGGTGACAGGCCAAGTTTTGGTGTGTCTTGATGTTTTCATATGGAGAAGGAAGTGGCAGCCCACTCCAGTATTCTTGCCTGGAAAATCCCATGGACCGTGGAGCCTGGTGGGCTACACTCCTTGGGGTCGCAAAGAGTCAGACATGACTGGGCGACTTCACTTTCACTTTCTATAAATAATATGCCATCTGAATTGTGAGAATTCAGTGTGATTTTGCCCTTTATTACCAATCACATAGAAGGTGTGTTGGCAACAGCAACCACATTCTCCAGGGCACCGACTTAGTTTCTCAGTGATTGTGGTAAAAATGGCTGTGGCCACCTCCTGAGAGGGGCAAATGCTCTCATTCAAGTGTCAGCAAAGGAATACTTGTTGTCTTCTGTTCCGAATATTCTCCTCCTGGGCATGCTGTTTGCTCTGTCCTATTTATTGGCATATTTGAAACAGCAATCATTTAAAATAACATCCCTTCTGAAATGCCCTATTTTGAAACATCAGATCTACCGATTGTGAAAGTAGGAAAAGTGAAAACAGAACACAGGCTGTCTCACTAATCCCATCCTGTGGAAAATGTCAATTAGGAAGCTTTGGAAGAGGTGGGCGCTTGCAAATCAGAAGTGGCAGCACTTTTTAATGACATTAGCTTTAGCAATTAGGATGGTTGCTTTCTTGGGGGCACTAACGAGGTGATTTCTACCAGTCAGCTGTTCCCTACTGATGCTTCTAAGGGCTTCACTTTCGATCAGTCATCCAGGCCCATCAGTTTGGCCTCTGTAGTGTTTCTGGAATCTGCGCCTCTTTTTTTAAAGTATAGGAGATAGAAATTAAAAACACTATTCATTCCCATCGCAATCATCTTTGTCTTCCTTCACCTAAGCTGTTACAAGAACTTGTTAAATGTTTTCTCCAGCCCCAGATTCATCCCAGCCCTAGTCCCTACCATCTCTTGCTGTTGGAGCTTCTCTAAAACCCAGACCTGATCATCCTCTTCCTTCCCTGAAGATTCATGTTGATTTTACAGTGCCTACAAGCTAAAGTGAGCCTTTCAGTGCAGCTTCCACCTTCTCCTAGCCAACACAAAGTTCACTTTTTATTCATCCCCTCCCCTGGCTCTGGCTTCCCTGCTGGCTCAGATGGTAAAGAATCTGCCTGCAATGTGGCAGACCCGAGTTGGATCCCTGGGTCAGGAAGATCCCCTGGAGGAAGAAATAGCAACCCACTTCAGTATTCTTGCCTGGAGAATTTCATGGACAGAGGAGCATGACAGGCCACAGTCAGTGGGGTTGCAAAGAGTCAGACACAACTGAGCGACTTGCACTCACTTCCCCTGGCTCCCTAGATTCTTCTTGTCCAGACACTTGGATAGTTTATTAAGCACATATTGCACTAGCTAATATCTTCGCCTAGGCTAGGCCCTCTTCCTGGAGTCTGTTTCTCTTATTCTCTTAGACAAAGCCTTTTTCTGTCATTCAAGAATTAAGTGGCATTTCCATAGGAAAGCCTTCCTGAACATTCCTTCCCCAAAGAGGATATCTCCTGTCTCCTTTATTCTCTCACACTGCCCTGCTTAAGCCTCACTTGTGATGCATCCTAACTATTTATATTTCTTTCTGCCCAACTAGACTGTAGGTTCTGAAACTGAGGTCTTATTTCAACCAGCCTTATATACCTCAGTCCTCCAGCAAAAGATCTGGCATATAATAGATGCTTAATGCATAGTTGTTGAATATAGGTGGATGGGGAGGATGGAAGGACAGTTAGATAGACAAATGAAATAAAGAAATAGAGAGACTTAGTCTTTCTAAATGATACAAGTCATTTGCTCATGAGAAATTAGAAGAAAAAAGCAGGATATATACATACATACCTATAAACTTATGCATGTATATATCTACACATATACATATTGTTCACAGTGTGATTCTAAAACTACAAATGTCTCTTTTTAGACAACATTTAGCAGGAATAGGACCTAATAACTTATATTTTTAAAGACTGATACCTTATTTTTTGTTGTTGTTGTTGTTCAGTTGCGGCCAATTCTTTTGTGACTGCATGGACTGTAGCCTGCCAGGCTTCTCTGTCCATTGGATTTTCCAGGCAGGAGTATTGAACTGGGTTGCCATTTCCTTCTCCATTCCTTCTCCTGACCCGGGGATCGAACCCTCATGTCCTGCATTGGCAGGCAAATTCTTTACCACAGAGCTACCAGGGAAGCCAAAATCACTGAGGGGGCACCCGGATACGAACCAGGGAACCTAATGCTGTACTCTCTCTTTATTCTAGAATGATCGAGGTCTTCGGCTTGTGGCTAATTCAATGGTGTGGGTTCCAGAAGGTGGGATGCTGCAGATTACCAACAGAATCTTACAGGCAGAAGCTCAAGGCGCCAGCGCCTCAGAAATCATCTACAAAATCACACAGGACCACCCCCAATTTGGTAACTCCCCCCCCCCCTTTGTCATGATTTCTTCATTGCTTTCAGCAGTCTCAGACTTGCTTCTGTGTGATGTCACACAGAAAGGTTGTGTTTCCAATGAACTTGTCTTCCAAACACATCCCCTTTAAAGAAAGAAGAATCAAGGATTCTATCACACTGTGCCCATATCAGGTACTGGATAGTATGCTGAATGATGCAAACATAGTATGTTTAAACCTAAAATGTAAGTTTTAAAACAACTTCCCTTTGGAGCCAATGCACCTGAGGGTGAGGATAGGGCACAGTGGGAATATGAAAAAACTGAGTCTCTTTCTTCATAGATGGTGGGAGCTAAATTAATCCAGACTTTACTACCATACAAATTAGCACTTTGTATCAAATTCACTGATAATTTGAATAATAATCCCCTTCTAGGCATCTGTCCCACAAAATAATGATCTATGTGAAGAAAGATATATGTTTAAAACACCTGTTTTAATTAAAAGGATTACAAGATGCTAAAAAAAATTTTTTAAATAAACAAATCCCGTTTACAGAAAGCATAGCTTGTTAAAAGTCACCTGGCTAGCATTATGTCAGTTTAATGTCAAAGTTCAGGCTCTTAAACTCTACCTTGCGTCCATCACTGATTTTTTCTTTTCTTTTCTTTTGTCACCTGTCTTGTGAAAGTTCCCCATCCAGGAACTGAACCCTGGCCCCAGCAGTGAAAATGCCAAGTCCTAAACCCTGGACCACTAGGAAATTCTCCCATCACCTGCTTTCTTCTTGAGACTTTCTTTTTAAAAAAAACAAAAACAAAAAACTTTACATAAAAACATTTCTCAAGTTTTCCATCATTACTTCCACTTCCAGACAGATAGTGGAGTGTGATAACCTGTCATTATCACCTAGAAATGATGGGTAAAAGAGATGAAGAACTAAAAGGCTCTCATAGCTGATCCCTCAAGGATATAGAAGAATTTCCAGGTGCAAGAAACAGAGAACGGACTGCAAACCTGGGCAGGAGCTGATGGCATGTCTTCTCTGAGAGGGGTTGTATGTGTCTCAATAACATGGGGGGCTTGGGATTTAATGCCCACGCAGAAACAGAAAGCTGGAATTAAAACAAGAAGCTCACCAGCACAGATAGATGGTAAAGAAACTACCAGTGTTTCCCAGAGCTCAGAACAGAACAAAAAAATGCCTGCTAAGAATTCAGAACTTTAGGCCTTTTTCTCCTGAAGGCTCAAAGTTCCATTATACCATGTATACTGTCTGAGAAACCCAAAGCTGAGGCATTAATATGGAAATTGCTCTCAGGCCAATGATACTTCTTGTGTCCCTTGCAGAAAATAGTAGAAACTATTGTGGAATGCCCACTCTTAACTCCAGATCGCACAGATTCTCACAGATAAAACCACTGAAGATTAGCTCAGAATTCAGAATTACAGAACATATGAGGAAACAATCTGTAGTACCATCGCCAAAACAAACAAGAAGATTAAAACCCAAAGAATTTCAAATGAAGGAGCAAGTTTTCAAAAACTATGAAATAAGCATTTTTAAAAGATTTAAAAACACAGAAGAAGGAATTGGAACTGTAAGAAGATAAAATGTTATAAAAAGTAAAAACAGCAGACAGGCAGATTTTTTAAAAGAAATAAGTAATTACTTGAAAATGAAAACTGTAGTCATTAAAATTGCTTGGTGTGATTAAATAGTAGAGAAATAATAATTCATTTTTCCTCAGGTTATCAGATTCTTAAAATTATGTATTTTCTCTGGTGAAGAAAAAAATAACTCAGTATTGTTTAAGAATAACTCTAGCACCTACAAAGGCATTGAAAGTCATAATCTAATCAATAATTGCCAAAATTATAAAACAATCAGTCTAGCTGGACTGTAGTTTATTATAGATGTATAACCTTGAGTAAGGCAAGTGGACCCCCTTGAGCCATAGGTTTCTTTGAAAGATGGAACTACTTAAAAATAATTTTAGACTTACTGAAAAGTTGCAGAAATAGTGCAAAAAAGCTCTTGAATATGCTTTAACCACTCCCCCGAATATTAACATCTTACATAACCATGGAACAATGGACTTTCCTGGTGGCTCACTTGGTAAAGAATCTGCCTGCAATGTAGGAGACCCAGGTTCGATCCCTGGATGGGGAAGATCCCCTGGAGGTGGAAATGGCAACCCATCCCAGTATTCTTACCTACTAAATCCCAGGGACAGAGGAGCCAGGCAGGCTACAGTCTATGGGATGGGAAAAAGTTGGACATGACAAGGGATTAAACCACCACCACCACCATAGAACAATAATTAAAACCAGAAAATCAGCAATACTACAATGCTACTAATTAGTTCACAGACCTTATTCAACTTTGCCATATTTCACCCACTGATTTTAAGCTAGACAATGTTTAAGTCTTTTCAGCTCTAAAAATCTTTGACTCATTTGATATATTAAATTCTTTACCTTTATCTTGATCATAAAAACAATCAAGAAGTTAAATTTCTTAAAGGTATCCCAATATCCCAATATTCTGTTAAAGTATTAAATGGAACAATGCTCAATGAGGTGATTTTCAAGCCATTTCAGCTTGGTAAATGCCATACAGACTTGATTTTTGACCCTTTTCTACCATAACTCTCTTAATTAACTTCTTCCTAGGAACATAATCCTATTTCTGTGTGTTCAGAGCTCCCCACTGGTAATAATCAAATCACATTACCCTTAGGAGCCATTCAAGAGCGAAAAAGGTGGTGGGAACCAGAAGCCCACTTAACACAAATCTACTTACATCCATCTATCCTGGTTTTGTGAATTATGGAGCCCTTACCTCAGAGCCTCCCTCGCTACTATGCACTCCCTCATCACACTGGAATGTTCCAGTTGAGCTTTAGGCTTTGGTGAAGACCTGACTGTGTAACTGAATCCAACATAAATTGTTCGTATAGTATATGCATAAAGGACCCACGTTCCACTATTTGCAGACTCACCACTTTTTTCAAATGTAAGTTTAGGCAAGTTGATTAATACATGTACCTTTAGCAAATTTGAGAGTAAATTAAATGAGATGGTTTTATTGAAGCAACTTGAGTATCATTTGAGGGAGAATCTGACTTACATTGCCAATTCTAGGTTATTTAGCATCGTGTAAGGAAATTTCAATGCAAATTATCTCAACCCCAGAATAATTCATTGTGATTCCAATTCTTAAAACCTATTATATTTTCCCTTCAAGATTCTTGGTTAAAATATTGACTTCAATATCAAGGAAATCACTAGTAGATATCATTTTCTGCTTTTTAAGCCTGGACTGTCTTTTAAACCTGGATTCTCATATATTTAAAGAATCGTCTCCTTGTATCTTGTCATACTATGATAAAAGCAGAGATGAGTTATAATGCAAAAGCTCTCACCTGCAAGGAGTGAACCCCACAAAATATCGGTATTTCTCCCTGTCTACTTGTGGGCTTGTCACAAAGAGATCTTGGATTCCACATACCCAGTGCTGAATTCCTCATCTTCTTTTCTACCTGCTCATCCCATTAGTGGCCTCTCTTCCTTACTCATCACCCAACCTAATAGATGATAATCTGATTCCTCCCTCTTTCTTACCTTTTACAGCCACACTTGTTAAATTTTGTTGCTTCCGCTCCCTTAATGATTCTGGTATCTGTTTGTGTCTTTCTGATCTTACCTTTGTTACTTGAGTTTATTTCATCTGGGTTTTGCAGCAAGTTTGTAATTGGTCAAACTGTCCACATAAATATTAGCTACTGTTGTTATTGGTTTTCTGAATTAAAATCCAGCCTCTTTCACAGAACTTTCTCATACATTCTGTGTTCTACTAAATCAGTTCTTGCCGTTAACCTACTGAAACTCTCACAGTGGCTCCCTAGTTGCTTCTGGGGCTGATCTCCAGAGGCAGGAACTGCATCCTACTGATCTTTGAGTCCCCCATCCCAAAGGGCTGACCACAGTAGTTAGCACCTAGCAGGTGCTCACTGACTGTTCACTGGGTTGAAATTAATGGGGTTAGTCAATATCTTTTGATTCTTGTTAATCTGCATAGTAGGGCAATGGGTTTTTTTTAATCTAGAAAATAGGTTTATTTAATTAGGACTTGTTAAAAAAAAACCTGCTTAATTAGCTTTCCTGTTATAAAGCAAAATATCTAGGAAATTGATCTTTAAGTATTTTTTTATTCTCCATATTTTCATTGTGGAAATCTCCTGTAAGAATATTTTGCAACTACCCACATTCATAAGCAGTCCACATCCTGGGAAAGCATGTTTATTAACAAGGTCTTATGAACAGAAGTTGAACTGGCAAGAGATGGGTAATGGAATTTGTGACTTAGGTACAAATGAGAAACAGTCCAAGAAAGAACTAGAGTGAGTTGATTTTACACATGATTATTTTAATAAGAATATTGATGTTTTTCTATTACTTCAGTATTTCATCACTATCCAGGATATCATTTTCAACTTGAATTTAGTGCATGTTAATATTAGAATCAGTATTTTCTTTGAGGAAGAAAACTAATTTCTCTAGGGTAATCTAAGTGTACTGTTAATCGCCCAGTATGTCTAGTGCACCAAGATCTGGTTTTTTCCTACAGAACATTTAAAAGATATGTGCAGTTTCTTTCTTTCTCTTTCTCTGTCTCTCTCTCTCTCTCTCTCTCTCTCACACACACACACACATACACATACACTATTCTCTCCCTCTTAATATCGGAGTGGTAGAGAGGCTTCTTTCGGATTTACTGTTAAGATTCATTTTCACAAGAATGTGACTTCTGTTTTTTTTTATTTACTTTTTAGTTGAAGGATAATTGCTTTGCCGAATTTTGTTGTCTTCTGTCAAACATCAACAAGAATCAGCCATAGGTACACCCATGTGCCCTCCCTCCTAAACCACATCCATTCTTCTCCTTGGCCTTCACTTGAAGGAACACTCTCCTTGTGAAATTTTGATTGTTTCTATAACACCTCTGAATTTGCAATCTCACTTTAAGAAAATAGTAGCTCCAGGTGAAGAATAAACAATAGAAACAGATTGGTGTTTGTGGTGGTGTTTAGATGTAGATTTCATTACTTCAATTCTAATAAAGTTTAGAGAGTGAAGGAGGAAAAAACAAGATCATTTATTTATCAAGGTAAATGTTGGCCTGTGAACATAAAATAATCATGATGGGTAGCAGAGTTTCACGACTAGGAAAATGAGCTTCAGATTCAAATCCCAGCTCCTCCACTTCAGATCTGTGTGACCTCAAACAAATTCTTGAAACTTTTCTGAGCACAGAGAATTTTGTCTTTAAAATGCAGATGATAATAGCATCTTCAGGAGGATTACGTAAACAGCAATAAGGATAGCCAACATTCTTTTTAAGCACCTATGAAGTATGTACTATTATTCTGTTTTCACCAATGAGGGACAGAGACTTATAGTACATACGTAAGCTTACCCAACTCTATGTGGTGGAGCTGGGTTTGAACCACTGCTGAGGTCCTTCATGCGGAGCCTGTCATATGCATTCCAGTATTAGGTATTATTATTTTCATTGCATAGAATTCTTCCGAGAATACCTTTTTCTGATTTTTTTTCTAGTTTCCCCTTTTGTTTACACCAAAAGTTTCCTGATTAGAAAACATTTGCTGTTCATAGGAAGCTGTGGGTAAAATGGATCCATTCGATGCCCAGTATTTGCAATATTCACGACTATTAGAGTCTTCTTATATAATTTTAATAGACACAAGTCAGTAACTTCATATGTAAATTGCCCTTGAATGGCTTTTAGCTTTTTTAACTGAAAGACTGGGTATTTTTTGTCTAAAGGTGGTTTTGATGACATCTACTGTGTTCTGTGTTTATGTGCTTCCCTTCACCTTAGATAAAAATAAAGAAGTGCATCATATCTTTTTTGTTTAAAAAAAAAAGTGATAGAGAAGGAGATGAGAGTTCTGATTGACTTTTCCCTTTCCCAGGGTCCTCCCTAACTATGTGTTTTTCCTAGGGGAGGTGGTTCTTCTGGTTAACATGCCTGCAGACAGCCCTGCAGATGGAGGGCAGCACCTGCCTGATGGGAGGACAGCAACTCCCACCAGCACCTTCACCCAGCAAGATATCAACGAAGGTATCGTGTGGTACAGGCACTCGGGGGTCCCAGCCCAGAGTGACTCCTTCCGCTTTCAGGTACCCTCTGCTTCCTGGATTTTCTGATGTCTGGATGATCTGATGAAAATCATCACCCTTATTTATAAATGATCCAAGTCATTTTCTATGATTGCCTGCAAGTCACATTTGGGAGGGAAAAAATGTAACTAGTAGCATCAAGAGATTTATTTTTAATTAATTTGCCAATTCAGCCTTATGATCTCTATATCATTTCATAGCAAAGAGATTTATAATAGATAATTGCTAAAGTATTTGGCAAAAAGTATTTTCAAAGTGTTAAAATGCCATATGGAGAAAACAAATCTTATTTTCTTTTTTCTCATGTTTTTGAAACATTTACCATCTTATGATAAGGCCATGGGTTTAGCAGCCAAAATTATTGGGTTTATGTTTTACTTCTGCCATGTACTAGCTTTGGAAAAATTACTTGGTGAAATTCTTGAACTTCAGTTTTCTCATCTGTAAAATAGGATTGTACAGATTTAATGAGTTGTAAGGATTTAAACTAAGATCATGGTATCTGGTCCCATCATTTCATGGGAAATGGATGGGGAAACAGTGTCAGACTTTATTTTGGGGGGCTCCAGAATCACTGTAGTTGGTGATTGCAGCCGTAAAATTAAAAGACGCTTACTCCTTGGGAGGAAAGTTATGACCAACCCAGATAGCATGTTAAAAAGCAGAGACATTACTTTGCCAACAAAGGTCCGTCTAGTCAAGGCTATGGTTTTCCCAGTGGTCATGTATGGATGTGAGAGCTGGACTGTGAAGAAGTCTGAGCACCTAAGAATTGATGCTTTTGAACTGTGGTGTTGGAGAAGACTCTTGAGAGTCCCTTGGACTACAGGGAGATCCAACCAGTCCATCCTAAAGGAGATCGGTCCTGGGTGTTCATTGGAAGGACTGATGCTAAAGCTGAAACTCCAGTATTTTGGTCACCTCATGTGAAGAGTTGACTCATTGGAAAAGACCCTGATGCTGGGAGGGATTGGGGGCAGGAGAAGAAGGGGGACAACAGAAGATGAGATGGCTGGATGGCATCACCGACTTGATGGGCATGAGTTTGAGTAAACTCCGGGAGTTGGTGATGGACAGGAAGGCTTGGCGTGCTTTGATTCATGGGGTCACAAAGAGTCTGACACAACTGAGTGACTGAACTGAACTGAAGGATTTAATGAGTTAATGCAGATAAAGTATTTAGAATACTGCCTATTACTATGTAAGGGTGTGTGACTATCATTTATTAAGATTAGTCAAATACCAGTGCTATAGACTGAATGTGTCCAACCGAAGTTTGTATGTTGAAATCTTATCCATCTAATGTGATGGGATATGGAGGTGATGCCTCTGATTAGAATTAGATGAGGTCTTGAGGGTTATCTGGAGAAGGCAATCCACTCCAGTATTCTTGCCTGACAAATCCCATGGACAGAGAAGCCTGGTGGGCTACAGTCCGTGGAGTCAGACATAACTGAGGGACTAACACACACACACACACACACAAGAGGGTTGTACCCTCATGAATGGGATTAGTTTACTTACAGGAGTCACAGGAGTGCTTGCTTCCAATCTCTGCTGCCCTCCATGGGGATATGATGAAAAATCTGCATTCTACAACCCAGAAGAGGGCCCTCACCAGAACCCAACCATACTGGTACCCTGATTTCAGACCTCCAGCCTCCAGAACTGTGAGAATTACATTTCTATTATTTAGAAACCACCCAGTCTAAGGTATTTTTGTTAGAGTAGCCTGAGCAAACTGTAGCAACCAGACCATACGGCTGGTTTAATTTATTCTGTCAGTAAATTACAGAACAAGAAATTATACTGGGCACATTCTCTGTTATGAAATGTGATTAGAAATTAATAATAAAAGGGTAAAAAAGCAAACCATTTGGAATTTCTCAATAATTCCTAATTCTAAAACTGTTAAGAAATATTGATTAGGAGAAAACAACATATCAAAACTTAAATAATGTGGACAAAGTAATATTCAGAAGAAAATTGATGGCCTTAAGCTCTTATTATTGAGCAGAAAAGCATGAAAATGAATAGGCTAAATACTAAATTCAAGAAGCTGGTGAAGTATGAGAGAAGCAAAAGGAAAACATCAATAGACATAAAAGAGGAATTGACTAATTATAAGATTCTAGACTTGATAAGGATGTGAGAGTTGGACTGTGAAGAAAGCTGAGCGCCGAAAAATTGATGCTTTTGAACTGTGGTGTTGCAGAAGACTCTTAGAGACCCTTGAACTGCAAGAAGATCCAACCAGTCCATCCTAAAGGAGATCAGTCCTGGGTGTTCACTGGAAGGACTGATGCTGAAGCTGAAACTCCAGTACTTTGGCCACCTGATGTAAAGAGTTGACTCATTGGAAAAGATCCTGATGCTGGGAGGGATTGGGGGCAGGAGGAGGAGGGGATGACAGAGGATGAGATGGCTGGATGGCATCACCGACTTGATGGGCATGAGTTTGAGTAAACTCCGGGAGTTGGTGATGGACAGGGAGGCCTGGCTTGCTGCGATTCATGGGTTCGCAGAGTCAGACACGACTGAGCGACTGAACTGAACTGAACTGAGACTTGATAAATAAGTACAAAATCTGAATCTTTGGAAAGACCCATACAGTTGGAGAAACTTCTGTCAAAGACCTTTCAGAAATGAATAATTGAACAGAAATACAAAGGAATGAGGAAGTATGAATGAGAAAGAACATTTAAACACAGATACAGAAGAGAATTTCGGAAAGCATTAGAGAAAATATAAAGAAGCCCTCATGGTGATTAATCAAAGCAACTTAACAATCCCGCTAAGTCTGAGCCCATTTCCTTTGTCTAGGAATCCAGTTGGGGATAAACTATCACTACAGCTCACCTTGTTAAAATCATCTTCACTAATAACCAGCAAGGTCCTACTGTTCAGCACAGGGAACTCTGCTCATTATTATGTGGCAGCTTGGATGGGAGGGGAGTTTGAAAAAGAAGGATACATATTTGTCCCTGATGGTTCAGACAGTAAAGAGTCCACCTGCAATTCAGGAGACCCAGGCTTGATCCCTGAGTCAAGATTCCCTGGAGAAGGAAATGGCAACCCACTCCAGTATTCTTGCCTGGAGAATTCCATGGACAGAGGAGCCTGGCAGACTACAGTCCGTGGGGTTGCAAAGAGTCAGACACGACTGAGCAACTGACACTTTCACTTCATATGGATGGCTGAGCTCCTTTGCTCTCCACCTGAAACTATCACAACATTGTTAACTGGGTATACCCCAACGCAAAATAAAAAGTTTAAAAAAATTATCATCCATTCTGTTCCTGATGCCTGGTGCACATATCTTCATCGTCCAATTTATATTGTGTAAAAAAAATGTGCTTTACCAGAGAGCTGCCTGAAATAAACCTGGAAATCATTAAAATGAGATTACACTCAGCACACTGAATGTCGAGTGAGTGCGCAAACATGACATGCCCTTTGCCCAAGTTAATATTTCAATTTTAGCAGCTGGGGACTCAGCAGTCCTCAGGTAACGAGTCAGAACAGAGTCAAAGACCTCAATCAAAAGGAGTCACTTCGGCAAGCTAGAATCCTCAGACCTGCCTTTGCCTTCATAGGCATCAATATGAAGAACATTATCAATATGGAGCATTTCCCTGGAAAGAGATTCTCAGCACCTGCTAAAATGATATTTGATTGCTTTTGCAAGTTGGTTACTAAGTAGGTTATTAGAAAATAGCAAAAGTTATTGATTTTTTGAAAACAAATTCACTGGAGTTTAAGACCTAAAACATCATTACTTAGAAAATGGTTCCCTTTGGAGAGTCTTCACACGTTTGCTCAAAATGTATTTAGAATGCCTACCTGAAATCTCCTTCAAATTCTGTGGAATATTCTTTAGAATATCTTCAATAATGACAGTGTATCATCCTTGGGAAGTGAATTTTAAAATATAACCCAATAGCCAAAAGTCATGCTGACTCATATCTGGTAGAAAGAAGAGTAGTATTATTTTTGGTTAAAACAAGGACGAATTATGAAGTAACAAGCTCAGTTTTCTTACATGTTCATGAAGGCTTTCCTATAAGTGCATTTTGAATACTGACAACATCTTTATTGCAAGTATGAAACAACTCTCAGATCATATTCTCTTGCATGTGGAAGCTTTGGTGTGTATGTTTTTAAAGTCTCATTATTTGATAGGCTTACCTCATATTTTGATGTGAAGTGACACAGACTCTGTAGCTATGTGCTAAAATAAACAGTTAGCAACTTTACCCATTCATCATTTTAGTGTCCCTCGGGATTTTAGACTATTTTAAAAAAGATGCTGTTCTAGTGGTTCTTCTCTTTGTCCCTTTTTTTCCTTTCAAGCAGAAAATGCAATACAATGAGTTGCATGGATTTAATTTCATTTTAATGTTGATATGCTGTCATGAGCTGTCAATGCAGTCCATCTGTTACTTTGCATCTAAGATTTGGGATTTATGCAATGCGAATGGTGTGAAAAAATTAGAGCATGGCATAGTGAGAAGAAACCAGGCACATTTTTGGCTAGGGAAGGAGCCCTGATTTTTGGCTTATTCAGATCACGTTGACACAGCCTCAGGGGATGTGGTTTGAAAAGGACCAAAATATTTTATAGCAGTATCTTTGCTAGGGAAGCTAGAATTGAGTCCCTTGCTTGGTAGTATGCTCACATCTCACTACCTGCAGAGTTCCATTCCTTTTCTCCAAGAGATAGGAGAATGTATCTTCCTCTGTTCTAATTTCCTAAAGCTTCCAGATTGAGTCACCGTGGTCAGTAGGAAGATCAGGAACCCACTGACCTAGTTTTAAATACTGGTCCATAATGTCTTTTGACCTTGACACCTATAACTTTTTGACTTTCAGTTTCATCGTTTGTAAAAAAGGAGATAATAATATCTACTCGGTGGGTATTCATAAAAAAAACTTTTGAAAAGTAGCTTGTACAGTGCTGAGGCTATGATAAATGCCCTGTCGCTAAGTCACTAAGCTGTTGTTGTTAATATTATTTATGGCGACACTATGAGATGTCTTCTTGGAAACATGTAGATATTCTGCAACTTCAGCTCTGTAGAGAAGTAAGCTTTCCTGTAGGATGTAACTTTAGAAGACATAGAGAAAGGGCTGCTGTTCCTGCCTTTTTCTCAGGATTTACAAAACCCTGCCCCTTCTCATATGTGTGCGTGTGTGCTCATTCACTTCAGTTGTGTCCAACTCTTTGCGACCCCGTGGACTGTAGCCCATCAGGCTCCTATGTTCATGGGATTTTCCAAGCAAGAATACTGGAGTGGATTGCCATTTCCTCTTCTAGGGGATCTTCCCCACCCAGGAATATGTCTCCCACATTGGCAGACAGGTTCTTTACCACAAGCGCCACCTGAATACAATTCCACATGGCCACGTGGGCCTGACCAATTCTTCTATCAAGCACAAGGAATAAACAAAGAAGGCAAGTTTAAGGGAGTGGCTAGGTAGCACCAAGGAACAGGAGAGACTGCATGGGCAAACCATCATTTTTCAGTATGTTTAAAGCAGGAAGAAATTGATTTTGTGACCACTACCCTGATTGGAAATAGATGGAAAAACAGTGGAAACCGTGTCAGACTTTATTTTGGGGGGGCTCCAAAATCACTGTAGATGCTGATTATAGCCATGAAATTAAAGGACACTTACTCCTTGGAAGGAAAGTTATGACCAACCTAGATAGCATATTAAAAAGCAGAGACATTGCATTGCCAACAAAGGTCCGTCTAGTCAAGGCAATGGTTTTTCCAGTGGTCATGTATGAATGTGAGAGTTGGACTGTGAAGAAAGCTGAGCGCCAAAAAATTGATGCTTTTGAACTGTGGTGTTGGAGAAGCCTCTTGAGAGTCCCTTGGACTGCAAGGAGATCTTAATATTAAGATCTCCAGTCCATCCTAAAGGAGATCGGTCCTGGGTGTTCATTGGAAGGACTGATGCTGAAGCTGAAACTCCAGTACTTTGGCCACCTCACGAAAAGAGTTGACTCATTGGAAAAGACCCTGATGCTGGGAGGTATTGTGGGCAGGAGGAGGAGGGGACAACAGAGGATGAGATGGCTGGATGGCATCACCGACTTGATGGACATGAGTTTGAGTAAACTCCGGGAGTTGGTGATGGACAGGGAGGCCTGGTGTGTTGCAATTCATGAGGTCTCAAAGAGTTGGACACGACTGAGCGACTGAACTGACTGACTGACTGACCCTAATTGTAAATGCTTTTAATCTTGCCTTGCAGTGATGAGGCTGCGATTTAGCATTTATAGTCTAAGTGTAGATATCTGCACTGGGTAAAGATTTAAGTGGAATAAACATCACTTATATAATGTGTTGTATATGTTCATAATGAAACATTATGTAGCTATCAAAATTATGTTTTCAAGAATGTTTAATGATATAGCAAAATATCATAATATGAAGTAAATATTTAGAATATATAAAGATTCACATATGCCTAGCAAAAAGATTAAATTGAAATGCAGTGGTATATTCATTACTATTTATCGGTAGTGAAATTCTTGATGGTTTTTATTCCATATTTATACTTTCTTACAATTTCAGAATTGCCTAAGATGTTTATTTTAAATGAATCTTAAAATATGAAGAGCAGAACAAAGATTGTAATGCAGGAGCATATAGAATTCAAAGACAGATGGTTCAAAAGGGAAAAAGTAAACACAGGCAAACTACTCTGCCCATCAGAGTCTCAGCAGCGTGCCATCTCTTTGCAGGTGTCCAGCGCCACAGAGGCCCACGCCCATCTGGAGAGCCGCCTGTTCAACATTGCCATCTTGCCTCACGCTCCAGAAGCACCCCAACAGTCTCCAGGATCTTCTCTCCACGTGACAGTGAGTTGGGTGGGAGGGCTCGTGGGTTTTGCTTAGAGGAGGTAGGCTGATGATATCTACATGCGTGCTAAGTCATCTCAGTCATGTCTGACTCTTTGTGACTCTATGAACTGTAGCCTGCCAGGCTCCTCTGTCCATGGGATGCTCTAAGCAAGGATACTGGAGTGGGTTGCCATGCCCTCCTCCAGGGGATCTTCCTGACCCAGGGATTGAACCTGCGTCTCTTAGTTCTCCTGCATTGGCAAGTGAGTTTGCTTTTACCACTAGTGCCACCTGGATGAGATTTGACTTAATGCCTATTTTGGAACACAGACCCTGGGGTCAACAATGCATGCCAGCCCTGTGAACACATTTCTCATTGATTTGAAAAAGCAGTTAAAATTACCAGAGTGAAAGGAAGATTAGATGGAATCTACCCCAACCTCCCATCCATTGCTGCTGAACTTTTTACAGCGTCCCAATCATGGGCTTACTCCTTGAGTAGTGGTGTTCTATTTCTAAGTCATGCCCGACTCTTTGCAATCCCTTGGACAGTAGCCCAACAGGCTCCTCTGTCCATGGGATTATCCGGCAAGAATTCTGGGGTAGGTTGCCATTTCCTCCTCCAGGGGATCTTCCCTACCCAGGGATCAAACCTGAATCTCCTAAATTGGCAGGCAGATTCTTTATCACTGAGCCACCAGGTACTCATTGAATACTTGGATGGATTTTCAGGCTTCTATCCATTTGATGATTACTGTTTGGGTATAAATGTTTAGTCAGTTTAGAGCTCTACCTAGCTGGAGAAACTGTTCTTTGTTTTAAAAGTCCTGTTAGTAGTTTTCTATTATAAAAGAAATATCAGGACTTATCAGGGCTTCCCTGATAACTTAGTTGGTAAAGAATCCACCTTTAATGCAGGCGACCCCAGTTCAATTCCTGTGTCGGGAAGATCCCCTGGAGAAAGGATAGGCTACCCACTCCAGTATTCTTGGGTTTCCCTTGTGGCTCAGCTGGTAAAGAATCCGCCTGCAATGCAGGAGACCTGGGGTTGACCCCTGGGTTGGGGAGACCCCTTGGAGAAGGGAAAGGCTATTCGCTCCAGTATTCTGGCTTGGAGAATTCCATGGACTGTACAGTCCATGGGGTCACAAAGAGTTGGGCATGACTAAGCAACTTTCACTTCTATTATAAAGGTTTCCTGGAAAAAGTGATGTCTATGCTGACTCCAGAAAGACAAATAGCAAATATTCAAAAAGTTTGGGGATGGGAGGACAGGTTGGAAGGATTTGAGGGGTGAGGGCAAAGGGCATCACCAAGCATAGAAGGAACACATACGAAGACCCAGAGGAGAGAGACAATATGATTGTTGGGAAAATTGCCAACAGTTCAATAGGACTGGGGACATAAGAGAGGCGAAGGAGACTGGGGGTGTGGAGGTCTGTGAGCTGGATCACAGAGGGGCTTTGTGTGGGAAGGAGTGTGGACACATGGAAAAGTTTGAAGCAAGGTGACAGCTAAATTAGTGCATGAAGCTTAGTTCAGACAATTAGCAATTCCACCACAACCCGATATCTACAGGACATGTAATGCCAGAACCCCTCTTCTAGACAGAGCCACAAGCATGAAGTCCTTGTCAATGAATCATCAGAGATCCACATTTTCATTAGCGTCCATGTAATTACAGTCCAAAGTGGTGTAGCAGCCCTGAATCGCAACCAATACAGCAGGTAGAGTTTTAGAAATTATGGGTCTGGGACGTGACAGAGACATAAAAGGGGAAACAGAGAGTATTTAATGAATAGCTGGTATCGGCATTTCCACCGTAAACCATAATTTAAAGAAATCATAATTCAGCAACACTATAAAGTCTATAATTCATCATTCTGACTAGAGGAACTTGGATCAGAATTTTCTCTAAAGTGTAAAGAAAAATGTGCATACACACTTCTTGCCCAAATGCTAATGCAGTGTTATTTTGAGTTTAGAAGGGAAAATAAATGGGCCAGGAGCCATGAAGATGGCGTCACTCCCAACTCTGTGGCTGGGAACCTCTGACAACTTTTAAACACACTTAACCTTGAGGGTCTCAAGTTAGGTCTATCCTGTGTAATTTAGTGTATCACAGAGATTAGTCTACTATAAAATGTGATCAGGCTATTGTTTCATTTCTTAAAATATACATGGTTTATATTTCTTTTGACGTTAATTAGGGCCATTACTGTAGGACATACAAACTAATCTGTGTCAAAAGTGCATTTTCACTTCAGTGATTTGGGTTCAGCTAGCCACACAAGTTCTGTACATATTTGGTAGACACATTATGAATACATATGCTAAATTCATACATGGTATATTCATGTATGTGTTTAAGGGTAAGCATCTACTTTTCCATTCATTCAGTTATTCAATCACAAACACTGTTGGGTCCCTCAATTATGCCAAGTTCTGTGGAAGACATTGGAGATTGAGTGATCACATAATATAGACTGTATTCTTTTTTTATTGAAATATATTTGATTTACAATGTTATGTTAATTTTTATCAAGCACTCCCATGTACTGTACACTCGGTGCTTGAGATCCATGAACAAACTAAAATCCGTGTTCTCGTGGAGTTTACATGAATAGATAATAAGTTATAAACAAAATAAATAACTCTCATGAAGCATATTAAGGAGAAGCATTATGATAAAAGTAAAAGTAGATCAGAGTCAAAAGGATTGGAAATGTAGCAGGGGAGACCTAGGTTGTAATTTTAAATAAGCTTGTCAGGGTCGGCTACTTTAAGACAATGACATTTAAAGAAGGACTTGCAGAAGGTGAGGAAGAGAGAGAGCTGTGAAAATCCCTTAGGAAAGGGCCTTCCAGACCCAGGGAACCATGCATTTAGAGACATCAGGCCAGGAGCATGCTTAGATATTCAGGGAACAGCCAGGAGGTCAGTCTGGCTGGATCAAAGTGAGTACAAAGCAAGAGGAATCTGCATGAATGCAGATGTGCAAAGTTAATGGGGTGGAGGGTGGTGCAGACTGGGGGAACAGATTGTGTCCAGCCACACAGACCATTGTAGGGAATTAACTTTATTCTGAGTAACATGGAGTCGTTGCAGGGTGTTGAGCAGAGGCCTAATGGCCTTTTTAAAGGCATCCACTGGTGGCTGTGTGGAAGTAGAGAAGAAGGCAAGAGCAGGTGGGAGGCCATGGTGGGAAGGCAGGTGTGGGATCTAGCTCCCCACAGGGTGGTGGCAATGTCATGGGGAGAAGTGGTTGGATTCTGGATGTATTCAGAGGTAATATGGGTATTATGAAAGCCATTATTCTGTAATCTTCTTATGCTGACAGACAGTTTAATAGAAAAGTGTCTTCTATAATGATTTCCATGAAATTTAATCTCATATTTCTTACTGTTTCATTGATAAATATTGAACATTCCAAATAGCCAATATTAAAATTGATTTTTCTTTGATGTACCTCCACCTCAATTTTGCTTTCTTGAGAGAATCAAGTCCTTGCTTTTTCTACTTAGTGTCTATTTCTATTAGTAAAGAAATTACATCAATAAATTCTGTAATAAAATGTCTGCTTTCTTGGCTATAATGCATTTCTCTTTTCCATCATTCTGTGTTCAAAATAATTCTCTTTTCTTATCACTTTATTGTTTTAGGGACATCTAGATTTTCAAAAATATCCCATAATACCTTGAGAATGTTCAGTCATTCTGATGGTTTTGAGAGTAAAAGTTGGCAAACCGTATTGAACAGTGCACTCAGCCTACACTTTCTGTCCATATATCTGTGACTACATGTGTACGTGTTTACAGATGTATGCACACATGTATGAGCTGTAAACACCTTGCATAGGGTATGTATTTTTCTTGTGTTGTCCTTCCCCGTTTTATTTTAGAGAGACCATCTGCTATTTGCAATTCTGATTTTCCTTGCTCGTTACATTCCAGACCTGAGCAATGACTTGAAATATGACTCTGTACTAGAGGGGATTGTCCTAGCCTGCAAGTGCTGGCTCTCCCCAAGATGAGTATGGCTTCAGGGCAATTACAAAGCAACTGCAGTCTTCAGTCTTTTCATGGTTCAAAGGAAGAACACCATGCCCTCCTCCATGAGGCTTCCTGAGCCCTTCTTATTCCTTTCCTAGATGGGAAATTCCTTCTGAAAGTAGCAGAGCTTGGAAGAGCCATTTGTTATTGTTCAGTCGCTCAGTCGTGTCCAACTCTTTGCGACCTCATGGACTGCAGCACTTTAGGCTTCCGCATCCTTCACGATCTCCCAGAGTTTGCCCAAACTGATGTTGTTGCCATCTAACCATCTCCTTCTCTATCTTCCCCTTCTCTCTCCCTCAATCTTTCTTAGCATCAAGGTCTTTTCCATTGAGTCTATGAACAGTATGAAAGAGCAGGAAAGCATGTCAAACTCTAACCCTTCAGGGATCAATTAGAAAGAGCCTGTGATGAACCAGATATTTTTGTTCTGTTTTAGTATCAATATATGTGACCCAGGCAAAGGGCCCATGTTCACTCTCCTTTTCAAATTTCTCCTCTCTGTTTTTCCTGCTGTTCCCAAATCTCTGTTAAGCCTGGTCATGGAATTCTGAATCTTTCTCTTTTTTAATGTTGTCACTGTTAATGGGTTGTGAACCCACACAGGTGAATGGATAGTGAGAGCTATACACAGATTGACTTTCCGATTAATTTCACTTAACGCCTTCATTGGGTCCTGAAAGCTAGAAGTGAAAAGCAATATCTGGTTCTTTAGAGCACTACAATGGAGACAAAGGGAAATACTACTTCTATAAGCTTTAATAAACACGTAGCCCTTAAACCTCTGAGCTTCAATGGTGAGCCTCTTTGGCATTTGAGGCAAGTTCATCTTTAGCCACTGAAACCATCAAAGTTAAAGAAAAGAAAAGAATGCATCACAATTCCCATCAGCAAGCTGGGGGATGGGAGAAATTCTCACCAGATCCCATCTTAGCCCATTAAATTAGAGGGCTGTGAGGATCCAGCTGTGAACAGTAGAATCACCAACTGTGATGGTTTAGTTCCAAACATGTACCACTGTGAGCTCCAACCAGGAATAAGTGATCTTGTTGGGACTCCCACAGCATGTGCCAGCATAAACCCAGGAGGCCAAGGGCAGGGGAGAGAAGGGTCAGGTGCAAGACCCAAAGAGAACTCTGTAACCCCATGAGATGCTTAAGGCAGGGACAAGTCTGCAATGTGGGAGAACCGATCCGTCTTTTGAACTCTCAGAGAAAATTTTGCTCCCTTTGACAAATTAAAAAACCCAGAGGAAGTTTTTTTTTTTTTTTAATGGGTTTTGTTTTTGCCTCTGGCTTTTGTTTTCATCACACCATTTTTTTCTTCTTCCCTCTCAAATTTTGTGTAGGCTCGGGAAGATGGCCTGACCGTGATTCAGCCTCATTCTCTCTCCTTTGTAAACTCTGAGAGGCCAAGCAGAAAGATAATATACAACATCACTCTACCTCTGCATCCAAATCAAGGTAAGACAGGCAGTAAGTGATTTTTTGAGTGATGCTCTTTGTTTTCTATTGTTGACCAGCCTTAAAAGCTCTGGGATTCTGTCGGCTTCTACTTGTTGATGATTTAAGGAGTAACGATTATTCATCACCTCTGAGTTTTGAGCCATTTGAGAGGGAGACACCATGGTCAGACAGATGGAGATGAATGTGTCAGGTTTGGTGCTGACAGAGCTGTGCTGGAGAGCACGGGGTGCAAATAACTTCATCACTCTTTGAGCTTCCCTCCCATGTGCAGGCACAACTGGCCAGATCTAAGCACACCTGTAGGGACAGAACCAGCCTTGGTGAGGCTCTCATAAGAGAGTGGAACAGAGTCAGCATGTGCTAAGGACAAACTAAGATCATGGTATACGGTCCCATCACTTCATGGCAAATAGATGGGGAAACAGTGGAAATAATGACCGACTTTATTTTCTTGGGCTCCAAAATCACTGCAGATGGTGACTGCAGCCATAAAATTAAAAGACGCTTGCTCCTTGGAAGAAAAGCTATGACAAACCTAGACAGTGTACTAAAAAGCAGAAGTATCACTTTACTGACAAAGGTCCACATAGTCAAAGCTGTGGTTTTTCCACTAGTTGCATACAGATGTGAGAGTTGGACCTTAAAGAAAGCTGAGCACTGAAGAACTGATGCTTTCAAACTGTGGTGTTGGAGAAGACTCTTGAGGGTCTTGGACAGCAAGATCAAACCAGTCCATCCTAAAGGAAATCAACCCTGAATATTCATTGAAAGGACTGAGCTGAAGCTGATGCTCAAGTACTTTGGCTACCTGATGCAAAGAGTCTACTCATTGGAAAAGACCCTGATGCTGGGAAAGACTGAAGGCAAAAGAAGAGGGCGGCAGAGGATGAGATGGTTAGAGAGCATCAGCAACTCAATGAGCATGAATTTGAATAAACTCCAGGAGATAGTGGAGGACAGAGGAGCCTGGCATGCTGCAGTCCATAGGGTTGCAAAGTCAGACACAAGTTAGCAACTGAACAACCACAAAGAACAAGGAGCTCTGCCAGACAACCAGTGGGGCCGACCCACACAAACTCAGTTTTCCCTCAGTGGATAAGTTACTCCTCCTCTTTCTTCTTAACCAAGGTAATAAATACTGTTTATGACTTCTTTAGGTTTACACAGTGCTTCTACATATTATTACCCTGTGAGCTTCAAAAAAAAACAAATATATTTACAGTAGCATTATCGGTCACCCAGATGAATTCTCCAGGCCAGAATACTGGAGTGGGTTGGCCATTCCCTTCTCCAAGGGGATCTCCCCAACACAGGGATTGAACCCAGGTCTCCCACATTGCAGGTAGATTCTTTACCAGCTGTGCCACCAGGGAAGCCCATCAGTTCTGTACCTGTGAAATTTAGAAACCACAGTCAGCCCCTAAGGCTTTTGTAACTTAATGATAATCCAGTTCTTTGAATAATCAAGATCCACGTTATTGTTGCCAGAAATCATCACAGAGACTATGGAGTTTCTGAAGGAAAGAAAGTGGATTGAAAAAAAAGTCTTTACAGCCTCACCAGGAGACCAGTCTGTGCCATTCTGGAGCGGCTTTCACCTTTGAACCTGAATTTAATTGAGAGAACCTCATAATTACAGCTCATTGTCTATGACTTGTGAGGATTTCCCTGGTCTAAGCTCCATCAGAGGGCAGTAGTTTGCATCTTACTATTGTTTGTGAGCAACAAATCCTGTGCTATGCTATGCTTAGCCTCTCAGCTGTGTTCAGCTCTTTGTGACCCCATCGACTATAGCTTACCAGGCTGCTCTATCCATGGGCGTTCTCCAGGCAAGAATACTGGAGTGGGTTGCCATGCCCTCCTCAGGGGATCTTCCCAACCCAGGGATCAAACCCAGGTCTCCCGCATTGTAGATGAATTCTTTACCATCTGAGCCACCAGGGAAGCCCAGGAATACCGGGGTAGGTAGCCTATCCCTTTTCCAGGGGAATTTCCCAAGCCAGGAATAGAACCAGGGTCTCCTGCATTGCAGGCGATTTCTTTACCAGGTGAGCTACCCGGGAAGCCTGCAATGAGTCCTAGGCAAGAGCATTTAGGTTTCAGATTTGCCCCTTTCTTGAATAACTAGAGAATAGTATGCCAAGAACAACCTGAGAGCGATGGTTCCTGGTGGATGACTTCCACCAGTGGGAAAGGCAGCTTTATGTCTCTAATCATTGTCAGCCATCAGAATTACTGTTGATGCTCATGCAGACTCTCTTTCTTTCCAGGCATCATCGAACACAGGGACCAGCCTCACTCTCCCATCCGGTATTTCTCCCAGGAAGACGTTAACCAGGGCAACATCATGTACCGTCCTCCCACGGCAGCCCCCCACCTCCAGGAGATCAGGGCCTTCTCCTTTGCTGGTAATGTTTTTATTCCCCTCTATTTTGAGGTGCTCAAACTGCTCTCTGTGAATCTTCATGGCATACTTTCAATAAATCTTTATTTTGTGTCTCCTAGGTGGCAAGGCCTGAATGAGGCCTTGGAGAGCTAGTGGTGAGCAAAAAGAGGCATCTTGGCAAGTTTGGGGATCTAGGTATAGAGACAGTATTTGAGAAATAATCTCACTAAGGGAGGTTTAATTGCAGGCTGAAAGAAGTGCTCTAAAAATAAGGAAGAAAGCTTATCCCTCAGTAAAGGATGTTCAATCACAGGCTGAGATAAGTGTTCTAAAGATATGGAACTGGATGTAACAAGTCTGACCTAGATTAAGGGTCCACCAGAGGCTGCCTCAGGGAGGTCTTGATGGTGGAGGGGTGGGTAGGAGCTATCTAGGCTGAGTGGTGTGTGTTGGGATTGTTGGGAGAACATTCTGGAAAGAAGGACATGCACCCCTGTGCAGAGGCCCTGGGAGAGAGAGAATATGACTTCCTGGGGACTGAAAAAAGTCTTTGTGTCTGGAATGTGGAGGGTTGAGCAGAGCAGGGATGAGCCTGGATGGAAAGAGAGAGGCCTGTGGGGGCCCTCTCTCACAGGGGCCCTGTGAGCCTGTGGAGACATGGAGCTTTATCCCAAGAACAAGAAGAACCTGGTGGAGGTTTTAAGATACAGGGGGCTGGCTTTTCACAAGGAACTCTTTGACTGCAGTGAAGAGAGAGAATTTGAAGGGGAGGCCATGACAGATGGGCATGTGTGAGAGGAATCAAGTGAGAAGGATCCCATGCAGGCACCTTTTGGGATTAAAACCAGGATTTGACAAAAATACCTTTTAAAAAAAGAAAAGGTTGACCAAGAGAATTTCAAGCAGTTCAAGTGTATGCCCTTCTATTAAGTCAAGACAGCCTTAATCCTTGCCACCCCCTTATGTCTCCCATTGACCAAGTATTCAAAGCTGCTAAGTTTTAAGTCCCTTCCACTAGATATTGGGATGACCGAGAAATTCATTCAGATTTTTCCGTAACATCTTATGGAAGAGCCCAAACGAACTTTTTGGTCAGCCTTGACACTTCTCTGCTTTGGAATGCCTCTAAAAATCTTGAAGCCTGTTTCTTTGTAACCTTTAAGATGTTTATGTCCTTTGTGGCTCAGAGGTAAAGCATCTGCCTGCAGTGTGGGACGCTGGGGTTCAATCTCTGAGTCGGAAAATCCCCTGGAAGAGGTCATGGCAGCCTACTCCAGTATTCTTGCTTGGGAAATCCCAAGGATAGAGGAGCCTGTTGAGCTACAGACCTTGCGGTCGCAAAGAGCAGAACATGACTGAGCAACTAACACTTTCACACCTTCAACACAAGTAATATAGAGAATTATTTTTGTATAGTAGCTTTAATCATACAGAACAGTTGGTGATTTCTAATGGTGAATTGAACACTGGTTGAAAAGTTTTAGAATTATGTTTTATAGTATGGCAAAGTTTTAAAGTAATATGTGCCATTATTTATACAGATGCAATTGTCTAGAAGATAATTAACTCAGATTAAAAATCCCTAAGCATTGGGATAAACCTCTTCTCTAAGGAGTGTCCTCAGTGTTTGTGTGTGTGTTTAGTCACTAAGTCATATCCGACTCCTTGTGACCCATGGACTCCTCTGTCCATAGGATTTCCCAGGCAAAAATACTGGAGTGGATTTCCATTTCCTTCTCTAATCCCCAGTGTTTACTAGCCGGATAATTCACAGCCAGTGAAAACATTTGTGGTCCTCTAACCCCAACTTTACAAGACCCACTTTTTACAAGAAACTCAGGTTATCCAGGGATTAGAGGAAAAGAAAACATGTCAGCCCTGGTTGAAGTTATTTCCGAATCCACTATAATCACCTGTGTTTCTGGAACCATTTTAGAGAGAGCAGAGTTGTATCCTGTATAATCTATGGGATAAATGCCACGAGGTAAATCTCTCATGCTGTTACAATGTGTAAATCAATGTCCCAGGCATCAGTCAATTCTACAGTGAAACTGACCCACCAGAAAGCCTTGTCAGTGATATACGACATTACCCACATTCACCCACTTGTAGGATTTTATGTACTGGTAAAATAGAACCTGAATGAATCTATTATAAATCACTCTAACTGCTATGATATAAAATTATTCCACTCTGTGGTTCTTTTTGTTACTTAAAATTAGCATTGGCATCATTAAACTCAACATAATTTTAGCAAACAATCTGGTGATCTTTCCTTAAACCCCATGGACTGTAGCTCACCAGGTTTTTCTGTCCATGAGGCAAGGACACTGAAGTGGGTATCCATTCCCTAGGGGATCTTACTGACCCAGGGATTGAACCCAGGTTGCAGACAGATTTTTTGCCATTTGAGCCACCAGAGAAACCCCCCTTAAACCATAATAATTTACTTTTCTAACTTCTCCCCTAATTATTTTATACTTTTTTCATCCATTTTTGGCCCCCAAATGTTCAATATAATCATTTTCTGTCTTCTCTTCTTTCAGGTCTCCCAGAATCAGTGAAATTCCACTTCACAGGTAAGAATTTTAATCACAATCTTTTAAGAAACCTTCTCTTTGCTCTCTTCATTGTTACTTTAGCTATTTTCTAAGAGCTATTTAAAAGTTACATAACACAAGTTTCTTCTAAAATAATCACATGGCTAGTTAGATAGTGATAGCTCAACTTTGTATTCATAGGAAAAATGCTCCACCAAGGATACGAAAGATTAGTGTTCTTTAAGCCCAATTTCAACTTGTTCTATTATTTATTAAAAAGAGGTAACAATGGTTAAGATCTCAGACTTTGAATTCAGTCTGTCTCAGGTTCAGCCTGCTTTAAGAAAGTTTCTTAACCTTTCTGTGCCTCCATGCCTTATCCATCAATGGGGATAATAAATAATAATTATATATGTGTAGAGCATCCGAACCCTGGAGGAGGGCATGGCAACCCACTCCAGTATTCTTGTCTGGAGAATCCCATGGACAGGGGGGCCTGGAGGGCTACAGTTTATAGGGTCGCACAGAGGCGGATATGACTGAAGTGACTTAGCACACACACATAGAGTTCCCAAAATAGTGATTGGCACATCCATGCCTACCTCATTTTATTGCACTTTATTGTGCTTCACAGATATTGCATTTTTTTTTTTACAAACTGAAGGTTTGTGGCAACCCGGCATACAACAAGTTTTTCAGTGCCATTTTTCTAGAAGCATCTGCTTAGTTCCTGCCTCTGTGTCACATTTTGATCATTCTTGTAATATTTCAAACTTTTTCATTATTACTGTATTTGTTATGGTGATCTGTGATTGGTGATCTTTGATGTTAATATTGTGATTGTTTTGGGGACACCAGGAACGTGCTGATATAAGACAGTAAGCTTAATAAATGTTGTGTGTGTTCTGTCTGTCGCACGAACCAGCCATTCCTCCATCTCTCTCCTTCCCTTGGGGACTCCATATTTTCTGAGACCCAACAATATTGAAGTTAAACCAATTTATAACCCTACAATGACCTCTAAGTGTTCAAGTGAAAGGAAGAGTCACACATCTCTCACTTTAAATTAAAAACTAGAAATAATTAAGCTTAGGAAGGAAAGAATGTCAAAAAGCTAAAATGGGCTAAAAGCTAGGTCTCTTGTGCCAAACAGCCAAGTTGTGAATGCAACAAAAAAGTTCTTGAAGGAATTAAAAGTGCTACTCCAATGAACACACAAATGATAAGAAAGCAAAGCAGCCTTGTTGCTGATAGGGAAAAAAGTCTTAATGGCCTGGGTAGAAGATTAAACCAGTCACAACATTCCCTTAAGCTAAAATTTAATCCAGTTCAAGATCCTAACTCTCAATTCTGTGAAAGCTAAGAGAGGTGAGAAGCTACAGAAGAAAAGTTTGAAGCTAGCCGAGGTTGATTCATGGGATTAAGGAAAGAAGCCATCTTAATAACAAGAAAAGTACAAGGTAAAGCTACAAGTGCTGATATAAAAGCTGCAGCAAGTTATCCAGAAGATCTGGTTTAGCTAATTCATGAAGGTGGTGACACTAAAGAACAAATTTTCAGTGTAGGTGAAACAGCCTTGTGCTAGAAGAAGATGCTGTCTGGGACTTTCGTAGCTATAGAGGAGAAGTCAGTCCCTGGCTTCAAAGGACAGGCTGTATTGTTAAAGGCTAATACAGCTGCTAACTTTAAATTGAAACCAACACTCATTTACCATTCCAAAAATCCTAGGGCCCTTAAGAACTAGGTACTAAATCTACTCCATCTGTGCTCTATAAATGGAACAACAAGGCCTGGATGACAGCAAATCTGTGTACAACATGGCTTACTGAATATTTTATGCTCAGTCTTGAGACCTACTACTTGGGAAAAAATGATTTCTTTCAAAATATTGCTTCTTATTGACAATGTATCTGGTGCCCAAGAGCTCTGATGGAGATGTACAATGAAATTAATGTTGTGTTCACGCCTGTTAACATAGCATCCATTCTGCAACCCATAGATCAAGGAGTAATTTTGACTTTCCAGTCTTACTATGTAAAATATACAATTTGTGATGCTATAGCTAACATAGATAGGGATTCCTGGGATGGATCTGGGCAAAATATATTGACAACCTTCTGGAAGAGATTCACCATTCTAGATGTCATTAAGAACATTCATTTGTGGGAAGAGGTCAAAGTATCAACATTTACAGGAGTTTGAAGGAAGTTCCAGATGTTCAAGCTGGTTTTAGAAAAGGCGGAGGAACCAGAGATCAAACTGCCAATATCCACTGGATCATCGAAAAAGCAAGAGAGTTCCAGAAAAACATCTATTTCTGTTTTATTGAACAGAAGGAAGTTCATTCCAAACTTCTTGAATGACTTTGAGGGGTTTGAGACTTTAGTGGAGGAAATAACTGCAGTTATGGCAATAACAAGAGAACTAAAATCAGAAGTGGAGTGTCAGATATGTCTGATTGCTGCTATCTCATGATAAAACTTTAATAAATGAGTTGTTTCTTCAGTTCAGTTCAGTTCAGTCACTCAGTTGTGTCCAACTCTTTGCAACCCCATGGGCTGCAACACGCCAGGCCTCCCTGTCCATCACCAACTCCCGGAGTTTACTCAAACTCATGTCCATTGAGTCAGTGATGCATCCAACCATCTCATCCTCCATCGTCCCCTTCTCCTCTCACTTTCAATCTTTCCCAGCATCAGGGTCTTTTCCAATGAGTCAGATCTTCGCATCAGGTGGCCAAAGTATTGGAGCTTCAGCTTCAACCCCAGTCCTTCCAATGAACATTCAGGGCTGATTTCCTTTAGGATGGACTAGTTGGATCTCCTTGCAGTCCAAGGGATTCTCAAGAGTCTTCTCCAACACCACAGTTCAAAAGCATCAATTTTTTGGTACTCAGCTTTCTTTTTAATCCAACTCTCACATCCATACATGACTATTGGAAAAAACATAGCCTTGACTAGATGGACCTTTGTTAGCAAAGTAATGTCTCTGCTTTTTAATATGCTATCTAGGTTAGTCATAACTTTCCTTCCAAGGTGTAAGCATCTTAATTTCATGGCTGCAGTCACCATCTGCAGTGATTTTGGAGCCCTCAGAAATAAAGTCTGCCACTGTTTCCACTGTTTCCCCATCTATTTGCCATGAAGTGATGGGACCGGATGCCATGATCTTAATTTTCTGAATGTTGAGCTTTAAGCCAACTTTTTCACTCTCCTCTTTCATTTTCATCAAGAGGCTCTTTAGTTCTTCACTTTCTGCCATAAGGGTGGTGTCGTCTGCATATCTGTGGTTATTGATATTTCTCTCGGCAATCTTCATTCCAGTTGTTTCTTATGGATTAGCAAAGAAAGTGGTCACTTGAGATTAAATGTACTCCTATTGAAAATGCTGCAAAGATTACTGAAATGACAACAAAGGATTTAGAATGTTATAAAAAGCTTAGTTGATAAAGCAGCATCAGAGTTTAAGAAGACTGACTCCAGTTTTGCAAGATATTCTGTGGATAAGATGCTGTCAAACAACATTGTGTGCTACAGAGAAATCTTTTGCAAAAAGAAGACTCAATCAGTACAGCAAACTTCATTGTCTTATTTTAAGAAATTGCCACCACCACCCCAACCTTCAGCAACCACCAGCATGATCAGTCAGCAGCCGTCAACACTGACTCAAGGTCCTCTACCAGCAAAAAAGATTATAATTCACTGGAGGCTTAGATGATGGCTAGCATATTTAGCAATAAATTATTTTTCTAATTAAGATATGTACATTATTTTTTAATGTACATGCATAATGCCTAACATAATGCTATGGCACACTTATTAGACTACAATGTAGTATAAACATAATTTTTATATACACTAAGAAGCCAAAAAATTTGTGTGACTTGCTTTATTATAGCATTCACTTTATTGCAATGGTCTGGAACCAAACCTGAAATATCTCTGAAGCATGCATATAATCATCCCTACGTGATGCTCAGCTAATGAATGAATGGGCTTCCCTGGTGGCTCAGATGGTAAAGAATATGCCTGCAATGCAGGAAACCCTGGTTTGATCTCTGGATCAGGAAGATCCCCTGGAGAAGGGAATGGCTACCCATTCCAGTATCCTTGCCTAAAGAATTCCATGGACAGAGGAACCTGGCGGGCTACAGTCCAGGGGGTCTAAAGGAGTTGGACACAAGGAGTGACTAACATTTTCACTTTTCATAGTCTTAAATAGAGCCTTTCATTGAATGCTTTGCTACTGGAAGCAAAAGCGTTGTGACCCATAGAGTAAGTTGTGATAGCTGTGTGTGAAAGATCTCAGCATCCTAGTTTTAGTGCCAATAAGCAAAAACAGAATCAGAGCTGGCATCTATGCTGATGTGAAATAGAGACACACTTTCTTATTTAGGTCTAGAGTGAAGTTGATTGACCATAAATGGCATCCATACATTGCTGTTTCCTTGGGATTGACTATTTCATTAGAGTCAACCATCCACACGTCCTATTATAGTTCATGTAGGACTAAATGTTGGTGGGAGAGAATGTCATCTCCCTAAAATTCTCAGATATTCATTTGTTCTTTGAGGGCTAAAAAAATCACACTTGAAGCAACAGTAAATTTTAGTCTTCCATCATTGTTTTTTTTTTTTTTTTACTTTTTATTATTTTTTGAGATTTAATTGATGTATATGTATGTATGTAAAACATAGTTGACGTATAACATTTCAGTGTACAACATTATGAGTGATATTTGTATATACTGTGAAATGACCATCACAATAAGTCTAGTTAACATCTGTCACCATGTAAAGTTAGTAAATGTTTTTCCTGTGATAAAAACTTTAACTTTATTCTCTTAGCAACTTTCAAATATGCCAAATGATATTATTAATAATATCACTTATATTATATTATCATTTTTATCATATTATTAATAATATCATAATAAAATGATATTAATAATAATTGATTAATGATTATAATCATCACATTGTTGTTATTGTTCAATTTCTAAGTCATGGCTGACTTTTTGCAACCTCAAAGCAAAATGTATAAAGACCCTCCAGGGGAACCACTTTTTGACAATATTAATTCTTCTAATTCATGATCAGGAAATATCTTTCCATGTATTTGTGTCTTTTTAGTTTCTTTCATTGGTGTCATATAGTTTTCATATTACAGGTCTTTCACTTCCTTTAATAAATTTATCCCTACATGTTTAATTTTTTGATACAACTCTAAACGAGGTTATTTTCTTAATTTCCCTTTCTAATGATTTGTTATCAGTGTACAGAATGCAAAAGATTTTTGTGTATTGATTCTGTATCCTGCAACTTTACTGAATTCCTTTATTCGTTCTCTCAGTTTTTTGGTGAAATCTTTAAGGTTTTCTATATATAATATTTCATCTGCAAATACTGACAATTTTCTTTTATTCTGATTTAGACACCTTTTATTTCTTTTTCTAGTATTGTGTCATTGTTGAAAAGAACCCACTGTCGGCTCATTTCTAGACTTCTTGATTATAAAACATTTTGCAGTATTACTTGTCGTATTTAAGCCTTATAGCAATATTGTAAATATAGGTTTTATTTTAGCATTTTAAAGCTGAGAAAACTAAGGCTCATTATAGTTGTAATCTGCCCAAGTTTCTCTACCTGGTAAACAGTATAACCAGGATTTCAATACAAGTTTCTGACTTTTCTGAGTTTATTCTGGTCTGTATGTGTTCTGGTCATGAAAAACAAACAAGTATCATGGTAGTGTGCCAGTTTACATTTTAAGCCTCAATACTAATCTGAAAGCTTGAATAAATGAAGGGGTTAACTATTAACTTCCCCCAGACTTTAAGTTAAATGATCCATGAACCTATTATACAGAGTAAAGAAAATAGACCTTGGGTTGACCTTAAATTAATTTATCTTGTTTCTGCCTGAGGTTCTTTTATTTTACTGTTCAGTGATTTTAAAAAATTTTTATTTTAGACCATTTTTTTAGAGCAGTTTTAGGTCTACAACAAAATTCAAAGGAAGGTACAGACATTTTCCCTGTGCCCCCACCCCAGCACATGCATAGCTTAGCTTCTCCAGTTGTCAGCATCAGTCCCTAGAATGGTACACTTTTCACCAAGGATAAATCAACACTGACACATAATCACCCAAAGTCGGGTTTACTCTAGAGTTCACTCTTGTTATTTTGCCTCCTATGGGTTTAGACCAGTGTATGGCATTTACCCATCATTGTATCATACAGAGTTGATACTGTAATGCCCTAAAATTTTTCTGTGCTTTGCTTATGCCCATCCTGCAACCGCTACCTCCCACCTTTGGCAAACACTATTCTTTTTATTGCCTTCTATGGTTTTACCCTTTTCAGAATATCATTTAGTTGAACTCATACTTTTTAGACTGGCTTCTTTCATTTAGTAATATGCATTTAAGATTCCTCCATGTAGTTTCATAGCTTGGTAGCTCATTTGTTTTAGTGTTGAGTGATATTCCATTGTCTAGCTGAACCATAGTTTATTTATCCATTCACCTGCTAAAGAACATTTTGGGTGCTTCCAAGTTTGGGCCATTATGAATAAAGGTGCTGTAACCATCTGTGTGCAAATTTTCTGTGTAGACCTTTAGTGAAAGGAACTAATATAAAAAGTATGAGACCAGAAACAATTTGACTATTTCTCAGAGAAATCAAAAACATTGCTTAAAGAGAGGGTTAGACATGCAGTTAACGTTTTGATTGTGTAAGTTCTTATGTTTGCTTGCTAAGCCCTGCGCCATCATGGTATATTTTGTTGTTATGAAATTTGTACTAGGCTTTCCACATGGCTTGGTGGTAAGGAATCTGCCTGCCAATGCAAGAGATGCAAGAGATGCGGGTTCTCTCCCTGGGTGGGGAGAATCCCCTTGGAGGAGGAAATGGCGATGCACTCCAGTAGTCTTCCCTGAGAAATCCTATGGACAGAGGAGCTAGTGGGCTACAGTTCATAGGGTCACAACGAGTCAGACATGACTGAGCAACTAAGCATGCACAAATTTATACTAAAAAATAACTTTCCTCCCTTTATTTATAGAGGCAAGGCTATATCTTGGTCACACTGACAGTTGTGTGATATGACCAGAGCTGTTTACGTTTTCTGTCTTTCCTCCTCTTCTGTAGGGTAAGGATGGTGAAGGCTCCTAAAGGTGCTCCTCACTTCCCAAAAAAAATAAAAAATCAATGTAAAACATTAAACAATTATACTTTGCAATTATTTATTTTAATTTAACAAAAGGCCTTCTTAACGTAGATTCCAAGCAGTTCAGAGGATCCTGAATCCACTGAGATGTATGGAAAAGTTGGTATGCTTGTCCTCAAGCTCCCAAAAATTAAGAGTTGTTGGTCCCAGGCTTTCCCTGGTGGTCCAACGGTTAGGACTTCACCTTCCAATGCAGGGGGTGAGGGTTCGATCCCTGGTCAGGGAGCTAACATCCCATCTGCCTCATGGCCAAAACACCAGAACATAAATCAGGAGCAATTGTTGTAACAAATTCAGTAAATACTTTAAAAAATGGTCCACATAGAAATCTAAAGAAAAATAGAGGAAACATTAAGGAAAAAAAAAACAGAAAAAAAAGAATCATTGATCCCTATCTCTGGCCATCCAGAGAGCATGAAAGATTGAACTCAAAGGAGCAGATGCAATAACTCTGACATTTGACCGCATGACCACAGTCATAAAACCATCATTTCTCCCAGGGATAATGTCGTCTCTCCTTCCGGAGGGCTGTTTCTGCACTTCTCTAAGGACATGGACAGACCTTGTAAAATCCAACCATGTCTTTTAGTTGTGTTCTCAAGGAAAAGACAAATCTAAAACCTGTATGGACTCATTAGCAGGAGTCACTAAGTGATGCTTTACTTGGCTGAGGTAGAGGTCAGATTCCCACTGACTTGTTACTGAGTCCAGGAGAAAGTAGAAAAGGAAACAAGTTCCTTGAAGTGAACCCATGTGTAAGCAGACCGTGCATTTAAAGTATCAACAGTGAAGTTTTTTCAGTAGGCACTGCATATAAACCCATTGATGAGTTGGTGGCGCTGGTGTTCCTACAAATCTGACTTTTAGGGAAGGGAAGGCATGTGGAGTATGGAAAAATGGAAATAAGAATCAAGGGTCTGGCAACTCTGCTTTCATTTCCATCCAGTGATCAGCTTTCACTTGGATGTCTCAGGTAATCCAAATAAAATCTTAAGGTAACTGCTTTATTCACAAAATTGTCTTCTACTTATTGCGTCGGACATAACAACCAGGTAAAAATGAGTCTGCTTACTTCCAAACAAATCCCATTAGAATTACTTGTGTAGACATTTCTATCCTTTTAAAAAATTATTTTCTAATGAGACATAGACAAGTTATTTCTCAAAGAGATTTCTTGAAAAAGTATTTCTCTGGAACACTGGAAGAATGAATTGAATCTACAATAATTCCACAAAGAAAAGTTTTTATCGCATTACCTATGAGCACGTATTTTGTTTTACTTTCCACTAACTTTTATCAATATCATCTTGTTGTGAAAGTTGCTTCTTAAAATGACTGTGTTATTATGGTCCTTTAGCCTCTTTGTTATTCAGTAGAAAGAGCTTTGTAGAATAGCTCACAGTATCTTTAACTTGCTGCCTTATTCTTTCCATTCGTGAGCATCTCTTCAGAGTGTTAAGATAATGTAAAAAAAACTTCTAGGTACAACTGTATAGAACTTGCCTAAAGGTGACCAGACTACAAGGTGATTTATGCCTGTGTGTGCGTGTGTGCCCTTTCTAGTTTCTGATGGAGAGCGCACAAGTCCAGAGATGGCCCTCACCATTCACTTACTCCGCGCTGATCAGCACTCACCAGTCTTCCAGGTCACAGCTCCTCTGCTTGAGGTCAGCCCAGGAGGCAGCACTTCTATAGGTAAGAACTGGGAACCTGCAAGAAAGTGGCTGCGGAGATAGAACCGTATTTCACTTAACGGTCCCTGCTTAAACCTCTTCATGGTTACCAAAAAGTAGTGACCTTCTCTTCCGGAAGTTGCGTGCTTTCTCATCCATAGCGGTCCCTTTGGCCATTTCCATGCAAATGGAAGCAACAGAGAGAAGGAAATCAACCCTTCAGAGGCCAGTGCTCAGTGATGGAATACAACACTGAATTCATTTTCCAGCCTCCAGGAGTTTGATTTGTTGCCATCCCTAAAATATAACAGAGAGCAGAGAAGAGACATGAGGGAAATGGTTTCAACGGCTGCTCTTGTTTTCTACTGAGAAAGTGAAAAGTAACAGGAGTGTCAGATCACAATAACCTTCAGAAGCTGTGAAGAGCTAGAGTTGACCCAAGTGTTTTATATGTGATTTTATTTACCTGTTAGTATACTTACTCTTTAGAAGTTTGTTCTTCTACCAACAACATCTGAAAAGGGAAGAGTGGATATTTTGATTTTTGTAAGGTGTGTTTTTACACATCCTTATCCAGTTTCTACATGTCATTATTGGCCTAAAGTGAATTATCATCCAACTTATTAACAAGCCATAGGTATGAAGATAACTGTCTCTTCTGCCCCACTCTTTCTCTTGTGATGTGATGGCCAGAGCAACCATTATTAAAATAACCTGGCTCCTCTATAGATTCGGTGAAAGGAGAAGGGAAGAAACAATAATAAGTAAAAACAACTTCCACGAGTATTTTATGGAGGAAAATCTATGCAGTCAGTCAGGACTGACCTTTTTGTGGACTGCCATCGCCTCATTTGTATGGAAGAAAAAAGGTGTTCTGAATTTGGAACTACCAACTCATAAGTAAACTCTTGAAGAACTTACTTACAATTTGTGAATTGACTGTATTAAGTTTTCTCTCTTTTGTGGTCAATTCAATTTAGCATTTTCTTGTAACCATCATGTTTCCCACAGCCTGGCTTCCAGCCTGGCCTGGGGCTGTACTGTATGCGGAGTATAGAGTTGTTAACACACACAGCTTCTCACCATACTCTATTCTCCTGACTACAGAACTTCGGTTGGGAATACGAGACATGGAGACAGTGCCTGAAGAACTCCTCTTTGAGCTTCGGAAGCCTCCCCAGCATGGCGTGCTTATTAAGTACACGGCTGGGTCACCAGGGCCCATGGCCACAGGTAGCCTGCTCACTCTGTCATTGACCTCCTGGAACTTCTATTATTTTTTTTTTACTGTTTTAATTTTATTGGAGTATGGTTCATTTACAATGTTTTGATAGTTTCAGGTGTATAGCAAAGTGATTCAGTTATACATGTACTTACATTCACTCTTTTTTAGATTCTCTTCTTATATAGAATATTGTTATTGCTCTATAGTTGGTTTTATGTCTCCGACAAGAAGTAAAGCAATATTGTGGGATAAACTATAAGGAGGTACTCAGAAAGGGAAGACCTTTAATGTTTAGACCATTGGCTGAAGTACTGGGGACTTGCTTCTCTGCACCACCACCCATACTCCAAAACTATGAAGCTCTTTCCTGAGGTTGTATGTAAAATTGATTTCTGAAACTGGGAATAAGTACATTTAGAACAACCTCGTAAGAGTTGTCAGCTCCTTGTGAGACTTCACAGTATACACTCTGACTCTTTAGAGTATAAGCTACATGTATTTTCATCCATTAAAAAAACATGGTAATGTGACCAGCTTTCCAAAATAACATTTATTATACCTTATCCAGTTATAAAAATAATACATGCTGACTGTTTAGGAAAGGCAGAAAAGTTCAAAGAACAAAACTGAATCTAATTTTTAATAGTTGACTCTCATATGTTGAAGTAAATATTGTTTCAAAGTTGTCACCTTGGGATGCTATATCCTTATTCTGACAATCCATATTTTCTCAAAACTTTCATGTAATTCCTAGTAGGCGTGTAATAATGCATTCTTCTGAATATCGCTGTAGAGGGAGAGTGTCAAATTTTTGACCTTGAAACTACGTGGGATTTGTAAGAACAATAAATAGGCACTTGGGAGTCACAAAGACAGTTTGTTTTTTTTTAAAGTTACTGAACAAAAGAAGTGTCATTATGATAGATTTCTGGTATCCTAAGGGAACTATGCTAGGAGCATAACAGTCATAGCCCAGTTTCTTTAATATTATATTTAACCAACATTTGTGTAATTAATACGTGAGTTCTAAAGATGTTTGTAAAATATTAGTTTTATTATCGTTTTAAGGCACAATAACATTAGCATCAAGAGAAGGCTTGGAAGAAGAAAACAAAAAATGAATAAGTTCTTTAGTTTTCTTATATAACATCAATTATTACAGTCAGTAATCTGTGAGGAAATAGAGTTGAATATAACATCCAAGAAGACCAGTTCCTCAGCTGTGCTTAGGAGTCATGGGGCCCCATGGTAAATGCTACTTAGTAAAGTAGCAATTTTCATAAAAAGGGTTCTATGACCAAAAAATTTTTAGAAGTTTTCATATTGTATATTGAAGATTCTAGAATTCTAGTGAATCCTGCCATTTAAATATTTTAAATTTTGTTTAAACCGATTTTTCTTAAATGTTTATGACCTTGAAAATTTTTTTTCTACACAACACCTATCACCTAATTATGAATTAGTACTCTAGACTTACACAGAGGAGGTTTCTAACTTCAAGTATACTTTTCAAGTTTTAAGTATTTTTTAACTTTCTTAACTTTTAAAATAAGTCATCAGTATCATGATTAGATTCTAGAAGGGCTATCATGAAGAATAGAAGTATGCCCTGTATTGTCTAGAATGAAACAGTGAGGAGTGGAGCTTAGAGAGGCAGATTTTGGCTCCATCTGATTTAAAGCCTTAAAAATATTACAGAGTTATCTCCAGTGGAATTAGCTCCTTTATAAAATGGTGAGCCTCCCACCTTGAGCCATGTCGAAGTACAGGCTAAAGAACCCTTTTCAAGGGTAGTGTAAAGGGAATCTTACGTTGGGTGGATGGTTGAGCTAATCAGCTTACAACTCCCAGGGTTTATGATCCTATATGTGCTTTGAAATCCTGAGAACAAAGGTGTTATGGAAATGAAAAGCGTTGTTCCCAGAAGCTATTGGTTTTTTGCAATTTGTTTTGTTCTTGAAAGGTGACACTTTCACATATGAGGATGTAGAGAAGAATGTCCTGCGGTATCTACATGATGGCTCATCTGCCCGCGAGGACAGCATGGAAATCTCAGTCACAGATGGCCTTTCAGCCACAACAGTGGACGTGAGGGTGGAGGTATCACCGGATGAGGCCCGGGGGCCCCAACTGGCTGCCGGCGCCTCTCTGAGCATCACGGTTGCTAGTCAAAGCACAGCTGTGATCACTCGGTCACACCTGGCTTATGTGGTAAGTTCTTTCATTTGTCTTTCTGTCCACTGCACCCTCTGATCAGGGTGACTAGAAAGTGATGTCATGGCTGAACATTTGGGCCATCAGGTACATGGCCACAAAAGAGCTTTCTGTCAGCTTCCCTTATTACGCTGCTCTTTGCAATAGTGACGCTATTCCAGCTGCTCCCACTGTTTTCCCAGCAGACAAGTGAATGAGCAGAACATTGATGAAAACTCACTGAGAAGGTATAAGGACGGGTGATTTGCACTAGGAAGCAGTAACCATGTCAAAAAGTCCAAGTTCCCATATTTGAAGCTCCCTCCACAGTATTTCAAATAGGAATTTTAGACAAAGAGCAACTTAGAAGAATTTACCCATCAGTGACTGATAAGTTATGGTATTTCATGGCTCACTTTTCTGAGAGAAAGCCCACTTCTCACTAGCATTTGTCTCAGGTCCAGCTCTGGACCGAATGCTGGCATGCTTGTTTGGCAGGATTCCTAACTCACCCTCCATCCAGTGCCTCACAAGAAGCAGGGACCAAGGGTAGATTCAGAAACTCTTGTTTTTTCCACTAATCTGACCTTAATTTGATATGTGATCCTGGTTAATTAAACTCATCTTTTTTACTTTACCTCTGGAGCTAAGGATAATGAGGATAATTAATCTTATTTTTCATATAAGTATGTTGTGAACATAAACTCTGTGTAAAAATCATAATGAGTAGTTCTGACAAATACACTGAAATAAGAATGGTTATCTGAATGATAATCACTCTTAGCATTGAATTTTTCCTTTGCTAATCTTAAAATTTCCTCCAATAACCTGGCCTTTAAAAAAATTACTATATAGTTTTATGTAATCCTTTTCTGAGCTGAAGAATATGGCTATAAAATCTAGGCCTGAATAGTAGCATGTAAGATAAAGCATTGGCCTGGGAACAATTGCTTCAATTGCTTTTGCACAGATTTTCCCCTAAAATTGTCTTTTCTTAACTTATAGGAAACTGCTTTCCACCCTGATTCTTCTCGTGGGTCTAGTACAGTTTCAGAACACCTTTGACTTTGTTTTTAAATTGACAGGTGATTCTTACCCTAGGTTATGGCCTTTTGAGTCTTATGAAACATGATTCATAAAAATTTATGAATACAGATTTAATCAATAGATCACCAAGGCTTGAAAAATGTTTGACAGACCAAAATAGGATTCCAGGAGCAGTTCCTTCCCATTAAGTGCATATTATGAGCTGCAGATCAAAATGCAAGCCCATTGGCAACTGAACATGTATTTTCAGAAATTGATTGAATGTGAATTTACCCACTGGAGCAGAGAGAAGACTCCAAAAGAATTATTCTAGCTCACTGAAAGCATAACATACTTTAAAGACTTAGCTAAGTTATTTATTAATACTAACTTTCTCTGAATGTTGTGGAAGAATTTTTTACTTAATGTCATGGGGAAGATTTTTCTAGGTATGCATAGTTAGTGAGTTTACTGTGAACATCCAGAAAAGTTGGAAAAGTCATCCTAAACCTTGGTCATAAATGGGGCAGTTGTTGTGTTGTGCGTTGTGTTCAGTTGTTTCAGTCGTGTCTGACTCTTTGCAACCCTATGGACTGTAGCCCACCAGGCTCCTCTGTCCATCGGATTTTCCCAGTAAGAATACTGGAGTGGGTGGCCATTCCCTTCTCCGGGGGATCTTTCCGATCCCAGGAATCGAACCCACATCTCCTGTATCTCCTGCATTGCAGGCAGATTCTTTATCGCTGAACCACTGGGGAAACCCAGACTATAAAGGAAAGGAACATGCAAGCCTATTCTTAATTACATTATTGTGAACTGCAAGAAGGTGAAATGATGTCAGGAGAAACAAAAGGCAAAAATGGGATTCTGTGTGATTTGCTTCTTAACGGTGGTTTCCTGTACACAATTTGCTATGTACTTCAAGGAAACAAGTAGGCGAGGTATGTGTGGGTTTTATGGTTAAAATGAATGGGTTCTCATCCAAGCCTACCACTTTTACTAGTGTAATAACCCTTGACATGTTACTTAACTCCCTAGGGCTCAGTTTTCTCATTTGTAATATGGGGAGGATGATACAAGATTAATCTTAAATAGCTAATAGAATTGCTATGCACTAGCCAAAAATATACTAATTCAAAATAAATCATCTATAATAATATCACATAATGCATATGAGATATAAATGTAACAAAAGATGTGTAACTTCTAGGGAAAATTGATGCTATTACTGACTATAAAGAAAATCCAAGGGAATCTCTTAACAAAGTTTCAGAAATAAAAGGAGAATTTAGGATGGGGCTAGATAGAAGATCAACAGAACAATAGCATTTCTATATAAGAGCAAAAATAACCAGTACATTTAACTAAAAAGATGATACCACTTAAAATTATATTCCTTGTTCGAAATCTGACAAAAATCAGCCAATGCTTTTACAGGGAAAATTGTAATACTTAATTGGCAGGCATTTTTAAAAGCACTAGGAGATGCCATATTGATAGGAATATTTAGTATCAAAAATATATCAATTCTCCCACAACGTGATCTTTCCATTCAACTCAGTTCTAGTCAAAAGTTCGGTGACATTTTAATGATCTTGATAAGCTCATTCTATAATGGATCCATGCGTGCTAAGTCACTTCAGTTGCATCTGACTCTTTGCAACCCTATGAATTGTAGCCTGCCGGGCTCCTCTATCCATGGGATTCTCTAGGCAAGAATACTGGAGTGGGTTGCCATGCCCTCCTCCAGGGGATCTTCCCAACCCAGGGATTGAAGGCACATCTCTTACGTCTCCTGCATTAGCAGGTGGGTTCTTTACCACTAGCACCACCTTGGAAGGTGTCTATAATGTTTAAAGAACAACAAAAGGTCAAAATTCTGAAAATGAATGACAGGAGGGTAGGGGTTTACCCTATAAGGTGTCAGGATTTGATATAAACGTGCACTATTTATGTCAGTCCACAGTGGTATATACTAGAGAGTCTAGAAACAGATTCGTACTTGGGACTTTAAAATAAAACAGATGTAGCAAACCAGATTGGTGGAAATGGGAGAAACTACTTGAAACATGAATCTGCACAAATTATTATTCATAATAAAAAGAAAACAAGAACTTGTACTGCTGCCTCACACCCTAGACAGATAATAACTGTAGCAAATCAAGTCCTTCAATGTCATAAGTAAAAGTGTACAATTCTTTGTAGGGTATAGGTGAATATTTTCATGATAATGGGAAAAGGAAGAATTTCTTAAACTACAAACAGAAAATGCTAACTATAAAGAAAAGATTGAAAAATTGGTTATATTAAAATTAAAATTTATGTTCTCTAAAACACACCATAAATACAAAAAAAAAAAAACCCTACTTACAAACTGGAAAAAGATATGTACAACACATAGAACCAAAGGTAACAAAGAAAATATAAAGAACATCTGCCAATCAAGAAGAAAAAGATAATCCATTTGAAAAATTAACAGGAGACATGAGCAGGAATTTCAGAAGAGAAATCCATAGGGCCAGTAAAGATAAGAGACATTCACCTTTTTAGACATCAGGAAACGCAGGCAAAGACTGTATGCTGGTTAGTACCAATTCAACTGGCAAAAATTTTAAAATATGAAAATGCCAAATGTCAGAGAGGAAATGGATCTGCAGGAGGTTCTTTTATGATGGAGCTGTAAATTAGAACAACTGCTCTGGGAAGGAATTTGACATTGTCTTGTAATGATGAATGGTCATGTTCCCTAACCATTCCCCTCCTGGATTCCTTTCCAAGGAAGACTTTCACAGGTACAAAAGATATGCACAAGAATATACACAAGGGTACTGACAGCAATGAAAGTGAAAGTCACTCAGTTGTATCCAACTCTTTGAGATCCCATGGACTATACAGTACATGGAATTCTCCAGGCCAGAATACTGGAGTGGCTAGCCTTTCTCTTCTGCAGGGGATCTTCCCAACCCAGGGATCAAACCCAGGTCTCCCCACATTGCAGTCAGATTCTTTACCAGCTGAGCCACAAGGGAAGCCCAAGAATACTGGAGTAGGTAGCCTGTCCCTTCTCCAGGGGATCCTCCCAACCCAGGAATTAAACCAGGGTCTCCTGCATTGCAGGTGGATTCTTTACCAACTGAGCTATCAGGGAAGCACTATTTGTAATAATAGTAACACTATTTTGTAGTAGCAAAAATACTGAAACAAGCCCAGTGTCTGTCAGCATCAACAAATGGAATAACAGATCATTTGGAGCATACCTACTTTATGGAATACTAGAGAACATTCAGAAGAGATGAACAAGAGCTTCAGAAAACACATTCATGGATCTATCAGTCAGTTCAGTTGTTCAGTCGTGTCTGACTCTTTGTGACCCCAAGGACTGCAGCATGCCAGGCTTCCCTGTCCATCACCAACTCCCAGAGCTTGCCCAAGCTCATGTACATCAAGTCGGTGATGCCATCCAACCATCTCATCCTCTGTGATCCCCTTCTCTCCTGCCATCAATCTTTCCTAGCATCAGGGTCTTTTCTAAGGAGTCAGTTCTTACCATCAGGTGGCCAAAATATTGGAGTTTCAGCTTCAGCATCAGTCCTTCCAATGAACATTCAGGACTGATTTCCTTCAGGATTGACTGGTTTGATCTCCTTGCAGGCCAAGTGACTTGCAAGAGTCTTCTCTAGCACCACAGTTCAAAAGCATCAATTCTTCAGCATTCAGATTTCTTTATAGACCAACTCGCACATCCATACATGACATCTGGAAAAACCATAGCCTTGACTAGACGGACCTTTATTGGCAAAGTAATGTCTCTGATTTTTAATATGCCGTCTAGGTTTGTCATAGATTTTCTTCCAAGGAGCAAGCGCTTTTCAATTTCATGACTGCAGTCACCATCTCCAATGATTTTGGAGCCCAAGAAAATAAATAAAATAATGGATCTTAGCCGTCTTCTACTGAGTGAAAAGAATATAAATCATGGATCATGAAAAATAAAATCATGGATCTTAGCAGTCTTCTACTGAGTGAAAAGAAAAAGAAATCCCACAAGAGGAGGGTCTAGTCCCTTTTCATACATTTAAAAAAATACTACAACTACTTTACAGTAGTTTGCCAACAAAAGTCTGTATAATCAAAGCTATGGCTTTCTTATTAGTCACGTACAAATGTGAGAATTGGACTATAACTCTCACCCTTGAGTACCAATGAATTGATGCTTTCAAGCTGTGGTGCTGGAGAAGATTCTTGAGAGTCCCTTGGACAGCAAAATCAAACCTGTCAATCCTAAAGGAAATCAATCCTGAATATTCATTCGAAGGACGGATGCTGAATCTCCAATACTTTGGCTACCTGATGTGAAGAGCCAACTCATTGGAAAAGACCCTGATACTGGGAAAGATTGAGGGCAGGCGGAGAAGAGGGAGACAGAGGATGACATGGTTGGAGGCATCGCCAACTTAATGGACATGAGTTTGAGCAAACTTCAGGAGATAGTGAAGGACAGGAAAGCCTGGTATGCTGCAGTCCATGGGATTGCAAAGAATCCAACAGGACTGAGCAACTCAACAACAACAACTTTACAATAATATATCAAACTATTCCAAGAGATTCAAGGAAGTAAAAAAGCAAGATCCATGGTGTGATGGTAGAACCAGGGACAGGATAAAAGAGGAGCATAAAATGTTAATCATCAGAGTTCTCATCCTTGTGTTGAATGGCATGTCAATAGATGTATAGATAATAAAAAGAAAATGAAAAAGTGAATTAACACAAAATGGGTATGAAGGTCTTCAAGTAGAAAAATTACATAAAATCAAGGTCTATGTTCTTAAGAATTTTTCACCCACAGCATCTTGGATATCTCAAAGTAGTAATTTTCTTTAAATGATGACAGCATTCAGAAAAAAATCCAGCTGATTTCAAACCCAGCAGTCACTTGAGATTCAAAAAATTATAATAAGTTGGGCCTGACATGAGGTAAGCATTTCTTTGCCAAATTTGCCAATGTGGAATTTAGAAGCTATTCATTCTCATCAAGAGACAGGAGCTCTGTCCTTGTAGTTTATCACCATCTCAGAAGACAGTGCCTTAGAACACTTGGCTGTCTTTTAGAGGCCACTCACAGTAATATTATAGCAAGTGGTCTTTTGGAAGCCTGCATGTTGTATTTGATAACCCATGAAGAAAAATAGAGAAACCTTAAAAGTATAAATTTAGGAGCTGTTTTCTGAAGTTTTACAGCTTCAATAAATTTGAGTTTCCTTTCTTGTTACTGTCAAACAATGTGAGGAAATATGGAAGATTCTATGATCTTGCTTTGAGGTTCTGAACTGCCAGCTTAAAAAGGTCCCCAAGGATAGAAATGAGAGCTGACCAAAACCTGCTCCCCAGATCACCAGGCAGCCGCGCTCACATTTCTGATCTCCCACCTCAGCTAACTGTACAACATAGCCATGCAAGTTTGCATGTGAAAGTACACTTGTCATGCAATATTTATCTTCCTTGTTGCTGTGGTGAAATGTAGCATGCCCTCATGTTCACAGCCAACTGGTCTAAAAGATGAATGACTCAGGGGATCTTTCCAAGAAGATGTTGCCTCCCTTCTAGATATTTCCAAAAATATCCTTGAAGAAAGAAGAAATTGTTTGTTAAGACATTCAATTATTGTCCACGTAGAAACAGGAAGCCAGTATTTTTTGGTAAATAAACAGTGCAGAGGAAAGGGAAATGAACAGTCTTCATTAAGATTGGGCATCTCAGAGGTTGAGCATGCATAGGCTTGGTCAGAATGAAATTCATAAGACTTCTTACATTTTTGTGTTAAAGTAAAATTTTTTGTGTTGACTATTCTTTAAAGTGAGTCCTTACCTTCCATTCTTCGTTTCACTGAATTTTTAGATCATTGTTATCATATGTTATAGTAGAGTTTTACCTATTTCCAAAAATTTTACCTTTTTCTAAAAGACAAACTGTACTAGGAAACTCTAGAAGAAGCCTACAACTGTGTTTCTAGAAGAATGACTTACATTTCTGACCATGTTTTGTACTTCACTAGATGCTTGTTATAAAAACAAAACCTTGTGTGGCTCTTACAGAAACCATTGGGCTTTCTCTCTCTTTCTTTTATGCCCCATACTTAGAGTGCATTTCCCACTATTATCTTGAGCTACTTTTCAAAGAAGAGTGTCAAAGAGATATTTTCAGAGGAATAAATAGTGGGATTTTCATGCAGTTTAACATGGTATTGCTTAAGGAGATCTTTCATTTAGCAGAAAAAGGAGCACCTGTAATCTTTATTGAAAATATGTCTTCCTGCAAATGTGCATTCATATCTTCTATCATGTTTGCTTTTTTAGGATGATTCTTCCTCCGACCCAGAGATCTGGATTCAGATAACTTCTCTGCCCATGTATGGTGCGCTCTTAAAAACCTCAGGACCTGAGGTGGAAGAACTCTCAGAGATTTCCAATTTCACAATGGAAGACATCAACAAGAAGAAAATTAGGTATTATAACCACCTGGTACTACAAAGACTTTTTTAAATTGTATTAAAATATGTAAGCAACTAACCCGTAGTTCCCTTGAAAGACTATGTTGCCTCTGGCCCCATTTTTAAACAGAGATTCAGTCATCTTACTTGACTTGACAGTGTAGTTCATTCAATCCTTCCTTTTCTTGACTTCCATAGGTATTCGGCCACATTTGAGACCAGTGGTCATCCAGTTACTGACAGCTTCCACTTCTTTGTCTCTGATATGGACCACAACCATCTGGACAATCAGAAGTTTACCATCACCATCACGCCCGTCAAGAACCCACCCCCAGTCATTGCTTTTGCTGACCTTATCACGGTAAGCAGTTCAGATCAATGAACTGTGAGTGCTGTAGACAGCTGGAGTCTGCGCCAGTGTGAATGAAGGATTTCTACCTAAACTGGCTGTCAGGTCCTTCCCCTCAAATATCTAGGCCGTAGAATCAAGCTATATATGGCTTTCAATCATGAATTTTAATCAAAAAGTATGAAAATAATTAAATGAATATGATCAAATCATTATATCCACATTATTTAATTAATCAACAAATATTTCTGTGCCAGACACAGAGCTATTTGTGTACAGTATTTTGTATACTGTGTTAGATGTGTATAGTAGTAGGGGTGTATAGATATATTTTTGAGGTGTTTATAGCCTAATGTTTGCAGCAACTAAAACATAAGAATATGGATAGTGTCCTGGGTCACATCTTAAACTGAGTTGATACTTACCTCTGTACCCAATATTGACAGTTTCTTGGTGTGTGGAGGGTAGGGCGCCATGTAATGTACCCTGATTATGAAGTTACCTGTACCTGAGTTCAAGTGCCGGTTCTGTTACTAGCTGCCTGGTCTTGAACCAATTATATAATCTTTCTTAGCCTCAGTTGCCTCATTTTTAAAGTGTTACTACTATTCCTATTACATAAAGGATTACTCTGATGATGAATAAAATAGCATTAAAAAGCCCCAGTACAGAACTGGCCCATAGTAGGGATTCCATAAAAGTTAATTCACTTTCTTGTTCCACTCTATGCACATACTATAATGCCCCAAACTCAGGATTTCTGATTTTGTTGAGCAACTGAAAATTTGTAGAACTGAGTTGTTTCTGAATGGTTCTGATATTCCACTCATCTTTTTCATGTCCACACTGGGGAAGCCGTTTGCACCTTCCCCATTCTCAGAGCCAGGGTGACCTTCCACTTTATAATTTGTAAATCTTCCTATATTTAGCCAACAGTCATTCAGAAGTCAAGTTGCATATCCAGCAGGCTACAAAAAACACTAGGCTCAGGTTGCAGCGTTAGCATACAAAACAGAGCCCAAGAGGAAAAAAGTAGCTGGAACTACTGCTTTTACTTAAACCGATTTATTTTTCTCCTTGACGGTAATGATAAGCACTAGCTTTCAGATACAGTGAGCCCTGTCTTCCCCTGCACCTTTAAGCATAGACTCTCATGGGATAAAGGGGACTTTATTTCTGGTGGGAACTCCTATAGGACAGGATGTGCTCACAGTATCCGAGGGAGGACTGGATGGATCATTCTGAAGCTGTGGACTTTTGAACGTTGATACAAAGGAAGGCAGTGCTCCTGCCATGCAGCTGTTCCGAGGTGGGTGATTAGAATGGGCCAGAGCTGCTTTATAACCAGATCCATCATGGAAGAAGCACAGCTTTGAAGGCAAACACGGATGTCACCGCGTCTGAGCGCGGATCTGAGAGGCGCTGAAAGATGGCCGGGCCCCAGCAGCTGGCACATTCCTCATCTTGTCTGGAGAGGATCTGCCTCCTCAAAGAAGTGGAAGGTCACCCCAGGCAGCAATTTTCGATTCAGTTCTTTTTTACTGCAGTCCGCACAACTGCCCAAGGACTCTCTCCAATCTTTTCTTTCTTAGGTTGACGAGGGAGGGAGGACCCCACTCTCTTTTCACCATTTCTTCGCTGCTGCTGCTGAGGACAGTTTCCAGGAGGATGCCATCATTAAGCTAAGCGCTCTGCCCCAGTATGGCTGCATCGAGAACATGGGGACAGGTACCAGCGGTAGCCTGGCTGTAGAATTGTTCCAGACCTGGAGAGAAGAGGCAGGGTGGAGGGGGGTCACTGCCTGCAATTAACCTGGACAAGAGAACCAAAGAGGGATGGAACCATGTCCAAGAAATGGAAGGAAGGTCTTGTTGACTCAGCAAATATTGACTGAGCATTTCCTGTATGTGAAGCACTTTTTTAAGCACTGGGGATAGATCAGTAAGGGGCTTCCCCGGTGACTCAGTGGTAAAGAATTTGCCTGAGATGCAGAAGACACAGGAGATGTGGGATCGATCCCTGGGTTGAGAAGGTCCCCTGGAGGAAGGCATGGCAACCCACTGCAGTATTCTTGCCTGGGAAATCCCATGGACAGAGGAGCCTGGTGGGCTGCAGTCCATGGGGTTGCAAAGAGTCGGACACAACTGAATCGGCTGAACATACACACACATAGATCAGCAAACCAGACAGAAACCACTACCTTTGTGGTGCCTTAGATTCTGGCGGGAGGAAACATAAGAAACCTAAAAAATGAGACAATTGTGGAAGATGTTAGGAGGTCAGTCAGTGCCGTGGGGAAAACTAGAGCAAGGGAAAAGTGCCAGCCTTTAGGACAGAGGGGCTTGGGGATTGCACCTGAAATTGAATGTCAAGGAAATAAGATTGTCTGCTGTTTTATTGGAGGCAGCTACTGTTTAGCTGCACCAGAGCTGACGTCTCAGCTTTTTCTCAATATATGACGTCAACTGAAACGCGTGCTTGTCTGTCCGTGACCCTGTCCCCCACCATCTGCCCTGGACCCACTGCTCTTGGCGGTTATCACAGAGGAGGGGAGGGGAGAGGCGGGGACTGCCCGCAGGCCCCCTGTGTCCACAGTGACTGGCAGTTGAGACAACTCCTGGCAGGTGACCGAACTACCGCCTCTGCGGGGAGGCTCCTGAGTGCTAGCGCTCGGCTCTAATTGGCGTGCAGCTCTCAGCTCCCACAGAGAGGCTATTGATTGAAGGTGTCTGTGGCCGGCGTGATGCCTGGGATTTGAGCCTAGTTACCAGAAACTCATGTAGCAGGGGTCATGTTTTCCTAGAGAGAACCTTGAGTCTTTTCCCCACCTTGCTTTGCAGTGTGTGGCTTCGATTTGTTTATTGCTGAGTTAGATCTGGGCTTCTCTTGTGTCTCAGCTGGTAAAGAATCTGCCTGCAATGCGGGAGACCTGGGTTTGATCCCTGGGTTGGGAAGAACCCCTGGAGACAGGAAAGGCCACCCTCTCCAGTATTTGAGAGGCAGTGGATTATAAACGAGGAATAAGACACAGCCCCGGCCTCACTCAGGAGACATATGGAGACTGATGTTACAATCATGAAACACCAGAGCAGGGAAGGGAGCAAAGCACTAAGAGAGGATGTAGGACAAAGCAATTACTTTTGCCTGGGATGGCAGGAAAGTCTGAGGATGGGTTAGTGCTGCGGGCAGAGGGAAAATGCTGTTTCTCGCAGGAGAGAGCACAAGCGAAAGTAAGGAATCAGAAAAGGATGGTTGCCCCAGCCTTCTCTTCTCTCCGGGTGGTTTCTGATAAGGCTTTCTAACATGGTTTTATGTTAACCTGGAGTGCATGCAGAGGAACTATTTCACTGGTCCAGAAGTCAAATTTCTGGCAGTCCTTGGCCTCTCTTAAAGTGGTTCTCAAACTTTAATGCTTATAAGACTCACCTGGAGGGCCGGAGCAAACAGTTTCCTGGGCAGCAACTCCAGAGTTCCTGTTGGAGGAGGTTGGTGAGATCCATGCATTAGCATGTCTCACTGGCACAGGTGGTTCCAGGGACCACACTTGGAGACCCAATGCTCTACATTAGTATGAACCTGGAAGTAAGGAAAAGACGCTCAGGGGGGCAAATCATTGTCCTAACACACATCATGTAAGGTCCCACCCTTTGTTTCATGGGCTTTCACAACGGAGTCTTATTTTATACATATGAAACTAGCTACCTAGATTCAGAGTCCAGCTGACCAAAAGAACATCTTTTTAAAAACATTAGAAGAAGAATCTTTAAGTTCACACTAGCAACAGAACAGAATAGTCATATTGTTCAGTATAAAATCTAACAGTGTGGAACCTACATTCCTTCAGTACCAGCACAACTGGTGAAAGTCGCTCAGTCGTGTCTTATTCTTTGCAACCCCATGGACTATACAAGCCATGGAATTCTCTAGGCTAGAATACTGGAGTGGGTAGCCTTTCCCTTCTCCAGGGGATCTTCCCAACCCAGGGATCAAACTCAAGTCTCCCGCATTGCAGGCAGATTCTTTACCAGCTGAGCCACAAGGGAAGCCCAAGAATACTGGAGTGGGTAGACTATCCCTTCTCCAGGGGATCTTCCCAACCCAGGGATCAAACCGGGGTCTCCTGCATTGCAGGCGAATTCTTTTAACAACTGAGCTAGTATGGAGAGTGGTGCACAATAGGGCCCGCCTTAATTACCTGTTGGGCATCACTGTGTTCCAGCACAGTGTAGTAATAGATGTTCATGATATATAGCCTCCACACATCAAAAACGGTTTAATTTGCACAGAGTATATTCTATTTAAGAAGGTAAGGAAGCTCATTAAGAAAATGATTTACATGAAATCACAGAAGGTGCAGTTTTAAGAATCAAAAGGATTGATGCTTAAAGCTTCAGTGACAGATTCACTTTTTTAATAGCTTGTTTTCTAATGATAGAAAATGTCATTCTATTTGAATACATGTTTAGGCTTCACTTAGTGTATTTTTGACCCAAATAAAGATGTCATATTTCTTATATTTATAGTGATAAATGGAAAGGGAAAATTAAAGTTTTAAGGAATTATAGCAATTCCTTTTGGAAACTCTGAACTGTATGCCCTAGGGGTTATCAGGTCACTAATCACTTAGACTCCTCTATGCTTCTAGTATCGAGAGGAATCAAATCTGAGGGGTAAAATTTAAGAAAATTCATGTCATTGAACAACACATGTTTGTCTTGAATTCTTGTCAAAAACAAGTTATAAATAAAACGTTTTCATTCCTACTCTTTCAATTGGGAGGTCAACAAAAAATGACTGTGTCTGTCTTCGACTAGGAAGTCAGTGGCCTTTTAATATATGACCTTCATCTTTGCAAAAACCATGAAACAGGGAAAGAGAAAGTGTTATTGCTTTCAGATCTTCTATCTACACTTTTCTTTGTTGATGTATATCTAGGGAGTGTTTGAAGATACAGGGGTTTCTTTTTTCCTCCTCTCTTTAGAAGAAAATGTAACCATTTAAAATCAATCATTTAGAAAGATTTAGATCAAATAAGAGACAAGTCATCCAACATTTAGACAGTGCTTATTCTTCCCCTTGGCCTTTGGGGTTGGAATGAATAGAAGAGATAACCAGCACATTCTATGAAACTCTGAATGATACTTGAGCATCTCAGTGCCTGAACTATACCTAAGCTCTGGATGGTCCCCGAACATCACAGTGGCCCTAGTGTACCATCCCAGGGGCTGAGCACTAGCCCATGAGGTTACTAGAGGTTTCTTAAGGAACTGAATGGTCAAATGGAAACATGCTTAAGGAGATATTTCTTGGATTTAAAGATACACAGTCATCTTTTCTTGTGTAGAGAAAGAAGGTTCCTCTCGCAAAATGGTTTTGAAATTGACTAAAGTGTAAAACTTTACTCCTATATCAATATTTGCCCATGACTTATTTTATCAACTATTTCTAACAAAACAACCATTGATTCTGTACTACATTAAATAATAGCATTCTGAGTACTTTCATACATGCGACTCATTTGATTCCCATTTATTGATCGGAAATAGTGGGGAAACTGGGGTCCCACCCAAGTCTTCAAATTCCATTCTCCCACCTTTATTCTCAAACTTGTTTTCATCTTTTGTTGACAGTGCTGTCATGCTTTCTGGTTCAGCTCAGAAAGCACGAATTTATGGATCAAGATAAAAGTTTCCTCTTGCTGTTGGTACAGGTGATCGGTTTGGCCCTGGAACTACCAGTGACCTAGAGGCATCGTTCCCTATTCAAGATGTCCTGGAAAACTACATTTACTACTTTCAGAGTGTTCATGAAAGCATTGAGCCAACCCACGATATTTTCAGTTTCTATGTAAGTGATGGAAACAGTCGATCAGAAGTCCACAGCATCAACATCACCATCGAGGTAAAGGTTCTGGAAGTTGGAAAAGTTGGGCCTCTGACCACAATATCCCACCATTAGATAGCTTCAAAAGAGCTCAAAAACAAAGGAAGTTGGGTTGGACCTTCAATTTTAGAGGTCAGTTTAAAAAACATAACCCTGACCTTTAGGAAACTTGTAGAATTAAGGCTGCCATTTGGAGATGGTATGACTTGGAAATCTGAATTTCCATTTTAGGGTAAAATCTATCTGGTCTGTGTGAAGACAGTTTGCTCTCACAGACAGAGAAAACTTGCTAGCCTCATATGAGGTGAAAAGTAACATATGCTTATTTTTCCCTGCAATTATTGTATGTAGTTCTATGTGCATACTTGCTTTTTCTAACATTTTAGTGCATTTATTCATCACACTATAACATTAAGGAAATGTGTTCCCTGAGGCTGTATATATTCTCTTTTGAGCAACTACATAGGCTTGCTCTGTTACCCGAGGAGAGACAGAAATAAAAGATAAAACTCAGAATGGAATACCCGCTGCCTTGAGAAAACAAAACATGGCACTCTCAGCGCCCTTGGGGGACAAGGGTGGAGAGGAGCTGACTTCTGGTGGGGCTGATCAGGCAGACAGTTTAAACACCAGTACTTTCAAATATCTGTCCTCTATCATAGGTTCTAAGACAGGTATGATTTCCAAAAATGTGCCCTTTTATCTCCCCAGTACACTTGTACTTGTCTAACCACATGTCCATATTTCTGGCATCTGGAAAATGCCATCATCGTACCTATGGAGAATGCCTGAGATTTCTGTAGCGTGTCCATCAAGGGGATATCTGGTTTATGTGATCTGTTCAGCTTTCAACGTAACCATTTTGAGTGAGAATTAAAGACAATGACATATTAGATGCAAACTATATACATAAAATAAACACTAAGGATTTACTCTATCGCACAGAAAACTGTGTTCAACATCTTGTAATGACTTATAATGGAAAATAATCTGAAAAAATATATAACTGAAGTGCTTTTGTATACACCTGAAGCTAACACAATATTGTTAATCAACTATATTTCAATAAAAATATAATAACAACAATAATAATAAGAGATGATGACACATTAAATGCTATTTCATGGTGAAAGTTGATGTGATGGTGTTACTGTCTTTGAATAGTGTGCGCTCTTTTTTTCTTCTTAAACCAGTATCTGTGTGAGACCTAATATTTTATGCTTTAATCAGAGGAAGAATGATGAGCCTCCCAGAATGACCTTGAGGCCCCTTGGCGTGCAGCTGAGCTCAGGAGTGGTGATAAGCAATTCTTCTTTGAGCCTGCAAGACCTGGACACTCCAGATAATGAGCTGATTTTTGTATTGACAAAAAAGCCTGGCCACGGTAGGACACGACTGCTATGGGAAGCTTCTTAATTGAGGTGCTCGATGGGTTATTAGAATAAACATGTAGATTTCAGCTGATCATTTCCTCTACCTTCCTGGTATATAGTCCATTCTTTGCATCAAGGTATAATCAAATTCACAGCTAGTTTATATTCTTTGGGTTCACCATAGACTGGTTGTTCTAAAAGCCTGACTCCTGGGTAATTGGTGTCTCTGAAATTCAATTTCAGCTGTTTTCTTGCTTTCTTATGTAGCCTCAGGCAGAACAGGTCTTCAGAATCTGCACATCCTCTTCTTAGAGGGGGCATCATTGCTTGATCATCCTGGGCTATTTCATGCAAAGAATAGCCACCTTGTAATTAATTACAAAAGTTGTTCATTTCAGGTTAGAGGTGTGGTAGATAATCTTTATGAGCTCATTTGTTTTGCAAAGAAAGCACTTTTCCTGATTAAGTTCAGTTCAGTTCAGTTCAGTCGCTCAGTCGTGTCCGACTCTTTGTGACCCCATGAATCACAGTATGCCAGGCCTCCCTATCCATCACCAACTCCCGGAGTTTACTCAAACCCATGTCCATCGAGTCAGTGATGCCATCCAACCATCTCATCCTCTGTCGTCCCCTTCTCCTCCTGCTCCCAATCCCTCCCAGCATCAGGAATCTTTTCCAATGAGTCAACTCTTCGCATGAGGTGGCCAAAGTACTGGAGTTTCAGCTTCAGCATCAGTCCTTCCAATGAACACCCAGGACTGATCTGCTTTAGGATGGACTGGTTGGATCTCCTTACAGTCCAAGGGACTCTCAAGAGGCTTCTCCAACACCACAGTTCAAAAGCATCAATTTTTCAGCGCTCAGCTTTCTTCACAGTCCAACTCTCACATCCATACATGACCACTGAAAAAACCATAGCCTTGACCAGATGGACCTTTGTTGGCAATGCAGTGTCTCTGCTTTTTAATATTCTATCTAGGTTGGTCATAACTTTCCTTCCAAGGAGTAAGCGTCTTTTAATTTCATGGCTGCAATCACCATCTGCAGTGATTTTGGAGCCCCCAAAATAAAGTCTGACACTGTTTCCACAGACTAGAGGTTTAAAACACCACCATGGTAATCTTCTACCTACTTCCTTTCTAAGTGCTACCTATCTAGTATTAGCTAAAGCTCTGCAATTTTCACCTCCTAAGTGGTGGCTTGGTGGCCTAATGGCTATTGACCTTTTACAGATGAAACTATTCCTATTGATGGAGAGTTCACCAAAGAAGCTGTTGGTCATTACATTTTAGCTTGCCTCCATCCACCTTCACTTTCTGTAATGAAACACTGTGTTTCATTGCATACACATGACCCTTGAAAATAGGATAATATGCCTCAGTCCAAGGATGCTTAGTGTCTTTCTGAACATAAAAGGAGTTTAAAATAAATTCCTCTCTCTCATCCCAGACGCCTCAGGAGGAAGGCAGCAAGTGGAAAGTGCTACTTTCACCCTACAGAAGGGGAAAATAAGGCTTAGATAGTGAAGTGAGTTTGAATTCGTGGAGAGATTTGATTCCTAAGCCACTGTATTTCCGTATCCATCTGTGTCCCCGTAAGAGATTTTTAATCAGGAAAAGTGGGACTTTATCTTCTTTATTTGGAGATGAGGTCACAGAGCATCACCCTGTGCTTTTGTATAAAATTCTGAGTTGTTGGTCACTTATGCATGGGCAATCAACACCCCCGAGGGGCTTGGCATTCTACCCAAGCTCAAAGTTGACAAAATCAGATAATGTTTTAGTGCCATATTTGCTCTACCATTGTTTCTTTCTTTCTTTTTTTTTCCTTCCTTCCTCAGGTCATCTGCTCCGGAGGCAAGCTGCTTCTGAACCTCTGGAGAATGGGAGGGTTTTGGCCCAGGGCTCCTCCTTCACCTACCAAGATATCCTGGCTGGGCTGGTTGGGTATGTGCCTGGTGGTCCCGGTGTGGCAGTGGATGAGTTCCGGTTCTCCCTCACTGATGGCCTCCACACGGACACGGGGAGGATGGAGATATATATAGAACTGCCTACAAGCGACAGCCCCCTTCTGGCTGTAAACCGAGGCCTCCAGCTCTCGGCAGGTACCACGGCATGGAAGAGAGTGGCTATGGTTTCTTCTTTGTTCCTGCACAATGCTTCCTTCCATGTCAGCAGTGCGGGAGGATCTTGAACTAGGTGTGCAGAGTTTAGGGAGACCTGTTGTTTTGAGGACGCTAACCATTGTGAATGACAAGTGTGAAATCTCTGAATTCTTTGGACCAGATGCCTGTGTCTGTGAATCTAAGGAAAGACTGAGAAGAGCTTACAGTATTTCCAGGGTCCTCAAAATACTCATTTATCCAACTACTTGTAGGCCCCGATCTCTTAGAACATTGCCACTGCCCAAACAACCCTACGGAAACAAACAACAAAATCTAACAGGATTTTCAACATGCTTTTTTTTTTTTTCTTTGAAGTCACGGAGGGGCAATTGGTAAGTCATCATGCACTAGGAGAGATTATACCAGTAATTAAGAACCATTAGATATGGTGTTCTAGGATCTAACATTCACAGTTTGCTGGTGGATAAGCAACACTGAAGGACCTGTGACAACTGTGGGTCTTGGAGTCACTTTGCAATAGGAAGTTACTTACAGAGAATGGACCTTTGGTCCACAGAGCATCTTTATCACACTGGACTTCTGTTTGCTTGTCTGTTCTTAGTTTCACATGTATTTTGTAGTGAAAAATATTTGGTAGAATGGTATTTGAAAATGTGGAGATTCCCAAAGGTCCCAAGTATTAGGTCTGGGACTTAACTTTGCCCTATTTACAAGCTAATAAGTTGGCCTATTACTCTTTCATGGATGCTGGTCAAACACATGAGATTCCTTTTTGTTTTTATTTAGTTCCTAAATCATGTCTGACTCTGTGACCCCGTGGGCTATAACCTGCCAGGCTCCTCTGTCCATGGGATTTCCCAGACAAGGCTACTGAAGTGGGTTGCCATTTCCTACTCCAGGGGAATCTTCCTGACCCAGGGATCGAACCTGCATCTCGTTGATTGCAAGCAGATTCTTTACTGCTGAGCCGCTGGGGAAGCTGAGATTCCTTGGTCAGAAATATAGCACTCTGTGACAATGCCCTCCAAGTCCCACGGGGGTGATGCAGAGGGCCCAGATGAATATATTTGTGTGCAGGGTGATGAACCTTGAGCTTGGGAACTCTCTTTGTTATAGTAGCAATAAGCAAGCCTGATCTTTGTCCCAGAGGAAGACGTCACCTCATCCCTCAGGGATGCTCGCTGAGAATGGACCAGAGAACAAGTGGTCAAACCTTGCATTCTTGGCATTACCCAGCAAAAACATACAGAGATGCTCAGGGCCCGTGGCAGATTGCCGCTCCACAGATCAGGTTATATTACACTAGGTAACTAGTGTAGTAACTAGTGAATGACTAACTAGGGCCTACTTTATCAGAATTTACTGTTTTAATATGAGAAGTGGGCTAGCGAGGAGAACAAAGAGGGAGGCCCTGAGAAGAGGTGCTCGCCAGAAGGGACAGTCCCAGGTTGCTCAGTGGTTAAGAATCCACCTGTCAATGCAGGAGACTCCAAAGATGCAGGTTCGGTGGGGTCACAGAGTTGGACATGACTGAGCACGCACAGACGCACTGTGCCTTGTCTGTCCCCAGCACCTGGGCGGTCTTCCAGGACCCAGCATTCAGGTCTCCCTGCTCTGTGCCTCTCGTCATAGCCTCTGTCTTGAGGAACAGTGATTCTGACTATTCGGTGTGAGACGGCAACCAGATATGTTTGTGAGTTTATGTAAAGCTGTTTTTTGTTTTTGTTTTTTTAATGATTTGGTGATCCTTAAGACAGTAAATAAATTAGGTTCAAGCCAGTCTCATTGTCGTTCTGAGAGTCATTTACATCACAGAGCTAGAAGTTCAGAACATAGATTTAGGTAGTAACTGAAAAGTCAAGGGAGAGAGCGAGCATGCGCAGAGAGTGAAATTCTATCAGAAGAAAAAGGGGCTCAGATCTAAACTCAAGGTGAAAGTCAACCAGCTGTGTCCGACTCTTTGCGACCTCATGGATTATACAGTCCATGAAATTCTCCAGGCCAGAACACTGGAATGGGCAGCCCTTCCCTTCTCCAGGGGATCTTCCCAACCCAGGTCTCCCACATTGCAGGCGGATTCTTTACCAGCTGAGCCAAACTCAAGGGCTGATTAGAAAATTGGAAAGTTGGGACTATTCACTTAGGGAAATTAAAATGTATTCAGCTGGAACCAAAAAGTCAAGCAGCTGATATTTTCTTTTTATTTTCTAAAAGAAGGAAATTATTATTTATTTATTTATTTGGTCGAGCTGGGTCTTCATTGCTTCATGCGGGGTTTGCAGTATGCAGGATCTAGTTCTCTGACCAGGGATCAAACCCTGGGCCCCTGTATTGGGGAGCATGGAATCTTGGCCACTGGACCACCAAGGAAGCCCCACAGCTGATACTTTCTTAGACCGGGGAGTGTGTGATAATTTAGTCTCCCGTCTCCTAAAATCATTTGACCTGCTCTCCAAAAGCAATAATGGGGAAAGACCTAGTCTCTCCCATTCTCTTCCAGGGTCCGTAGCAATCATCACAGAACGGCACTTGAAAGTGACAGATCCTGACTCAGATGACCATCAGGTGATGTATATCTTAAAGGAAGATCCTGGAGCAGGGCGCCTGCAGATGGTGAAGCGTGACAGCCTGGAGCAGATCTCCACTAGAGGCCCCATCCGAAGTTTCACCCAGGCTGACATCAGTCAAGGTCAGGCACTCCTCCTACCCAGACTTCCAGAAACTCCACCCCCTGTAGTCAGATGGGAATTGGTGCCTGGTAGCCAATGGCAGCAAACTGCGCACTCTTGTTTTGAATTAAGAGCTGAGTTATAGCTTCATTTATTCTTACTTATCGCCTCCATTTTTTGGTTTGAAAAAAAAGCTTTCCTTCTTGGCTAAAATGTTCTCATGCTTTGACATAGCCTTGATGAAATTGAGGGCTATTATAGAGGAAAAAATCATTTTGACTTGCTGTGATGCTAAAAAGTATATGAGAGAGAGAAAGAAAAAAGAAGTGAATTGGGATGGATTAAGGTGAAAATTATGCCTGCCTTAGGTGAACAATTTATATCTCTTTCCAGCTCCCCAAAGAGCACAAGTTAATGAACTAAGCAAAATGGAAGGGCATAAATCGGAGCTGCCTCGGGGAGATTACATAGCTCATCCCTCCTCCAGGAAATGCTGATGTAATGTGAAAGCATAAATGTTAAATGCTACGTAGTTACTGTACAGTGCTTTCAGGGGTAAGAAAGGAAGAGAAGTTACATATTGAGAGGGAAGTAATCCAATGTCAGGTGATGATGTGCAATTTCCATTTGCAGGTGGAAACATGCTCCTTTAGGACCAGAATACAGGTCCTTTCTGTGCACTCACACCTAGAATTGATAGCAGCCCAAATATCTCTGGACCTGTCCGTAGTGAAGGGAGTGGAATAATTCCTTGGTTATTCCTTGCCTCGGTGTCCCTGTTTAGAATATGAGAGCAGGCATTTCTTCCCAGATGTTTAGTTATATTTCCATTGCTAGATCCTTATAAGTGATGCTGCTACTGCTAAGTCACTTCAGTCGTGTCCGACTTTGTGCGACCCCATCCCTGGGATTCTCCAGTCAAGAACACTGGAGTGGGTTGCCATTTCCTTCTCCAGTGCATAAAAGTGAAAGTGAAGTTGCTCAGTCATGTCTGACTCTTTGTGACCCCATGGACTGCAGCCTACCAGGCTCCTCTGTTCATGGGATTTTCCAGGCAAGAGTACTGGAGTGGGGTGCCATTGCCTTCTCTGATAAGTGATGATATGGGTTCACAAAAATATAATATATTGGGTTTTTCCCTTTGGGTCCAATTGACATCTAGGTAGAGTTTATTCATTTAGTCTGTTTATTTGTCGATTAGTTATATCCCACGCCTTTCCTAAAATGATTTAAGACTGGGAAGCGGGAGTGACACCGTAGGGGACCACATGGTCTGTGGCTGTCTGTCCTCCTGCCCTGGGACATGGATAGATAACAGAGCCACACCGGTGGTGTGGGTCTGGTCAGTGCCTATTTTCCACGTGGGCAGTTTTGCTGACCTCATGATTCATGAGACTTCCTTAGAGCCTTCCACCAACGCTGAGCCTCAGCTGTAAGCAATGCTACTTGCTGCTCGGGGTGATTTTATCATGAAGTCACTGACGATGAGGAAGTCACTAGATGAAAGGAAGGAAATGAAAATGTCAGACTAAAATGTCAAAAGCAATGTCAAAGTGAGAGGGGGGTAATTGATTCACTGGTGTGAATACCCATAGAATTCTCACCTGACATTTCAGAAATAAGGCCAGAAAACACTAAATAGCAAACTGTGATCTTCTTGTCCTTGTTACAGGCCTTATAGAATACAGTCATGGAAAAGGAGAATCTGGCGGGAACTTTGCTTTTAAATTTGATGTGGTTGATGGAGAAGGCAACAAATTGATTGGCCAGTCATTTTCCATCAGTGTTTCAGGTAAGGGGGCAATTGGGTGTTTGAAAGTTCTCCAGCAGTTCTGAGGTCGTGTGGTGCATACTGTGAGGCTTGAGCCTTTTCTTTACAGGCTTGAGTGGAAATCGGAAATCCTCTCCTCTCTGTTGTGCGATGCTGTGGCTCTTTGATGCACTCTCGGAGGGTCAGACCTGGGGATTACGTGGATTATTTTGATTTTACTTCTGGACACCAGGCCCAGAATTGAAAAAAGGAAGCATAAAAGGTTGCTGCTGTTGTCAGTCTCCTTAAGTTGTGTCCAACTCTTTGTGACCCCATGGAAAGGCAGCACGCCAGGCTCCTCTGTCCTCACTACTTCCTGGAATTTGCTCAAATTCCTGTCCATTGAGTCGATGGTGCTATCTAACCATCTCATCCTCTGCCACCCCGTTCTCCTTTTGCCTCTAATCTTTCCCAGCATTCAGGGTCTTTTCCAGTGAGTCAGCTCTTCACATTTCATGTTACTCTTTCTGGTATTTTCAGAAGACAAATCCCCACCTGTCATCATCACCAATAAAGGGCTGTTAATGGATGAAAACTCGGTGAAGAAGATCACCACTCTGCAACTCTCTGCCACTGACCAGGAGACAGGACCCACAGAACTGGTCTATAGAATCACCAGAGAGCCCCAGCTGGGCCACCTGGAACACACAGCATCACCAGGTAAGCCCATCATCTCTGACTTCATCAGACCAAAGCTGGGATTTAGTAAGTGCCGGGGACAGCCATATCATGTGGACACATTCACCTTGAACCTGCCTGTATTAGTATGTATTTCTGGCATCACTATTTTTGACCATTGTATGCTGCCTTGCATTATACTTAGAACACGGTGTACTCCATGCTTACTTGCTGGAAGTTATTTTGATAATTACAATTTGATGTAAACAATCTTGTCTCCAACACTAGAATTCAACACATAGAAAGTGAGCATGCATATTGAATAAGATCCTGGTTCAGCTGCTACAGAGGAAGAAAAAGAGATGAATGAGACTACCCCAACCATTAGAATCTGTTGGATGAAATAAGGAGCCTTTGCATATAACCACATGTACGGGGAAAAGATGGCAGGTATTTTAAGAACTGTATAAACCTGCCATCCTAGGACTTTGAAAGCAAAAGAGGCGATATCAGATGGGAAGGTGCTCAGAGGTGGTGTTTAAGAGTGCCCTTGAATGATAGAATTTGGACTGACAGAAATTGTGTTATTTCCAGAGATAGGAACAGCATGTGGACTCATTCCAAAAATTATGAGTGGGCCAGTTTTGCTAAAGCATATATTCTGAAAATAGTAGTGGATTGGGTTCATGGATAGACTGACATTTTATGATGGGTCTTCAGAGTGATGATCAGTAATCCCTATTTAATTCAATAGGCAATAAGGAGGTCCTGCAGAATTTCAAACAGGGAAGGGAAGTGAATTCCTCTAGTGTCCAATAGGATAAACTGAAAGAAAGGAAGAAAAAAGAGGCAGTGACAGTAGCTAGGAAGTTTAGCATTTAGCCAGAAGGGAGCTAGTGAGGCTTCTGGCAGTGGAGCAGCCTCCACATGGGAATAATAAGATGAAAATAATAAAAGAGATTACACCTGCTACCTAGTAAATATCCAGTAAATAGTAGTTGGTGGAAGGAAAGAAGGAACGAAAGAGTTAATTTCAGGAGAAGCAATTATAGAATTTGGCAACTTGAACAAATGTGAAGGACAAGAGATATTTGCTGAATAAACAGCCTAAAGGTAGAATTGTCTTTATTTTGTCAATCATAGAAGCAGTGTCAGCTTGTAGGAAATTTAGATCATTGGTTTTCTTTGGATTTCAGGTTACAGATTTCTCTTTCATTCAACCAGGGAAATAGCAAAAGAGAGGAAGTACTTGCCCTGATGCTGGGAGTCAGACAGTAGGCAAACAAGCAAGTATATATATCATGTCAGTGGTGATGAGTTAGGGAGTGAAATGAGGGCATTCCTGGGGTTCAGGGACCAATGAAGTGAGGGAAGGCCTCCTAATAGTAAGATGACATTTGAGCCGAGATCTGAAGAAAGTACGGGAGCCAGCCATGCTGACATATAAGGAAAGAGCATTCAGCATCTTTCCAGGACATCAGTGAGTGTCAACATCCTGAAATGGGATCAGCCAAGCCCATCACGTTCCATTTGCATCAAGGAGACCCGTGTGTCTGGGGCAAAGTGAGTAGGGGAGAGAGTGGGGGTGGGTGAGCTGGAGGGGGATATGGTAGAGAAGATGAGGGAGGCAGACTATGTCTGGGTCCAGCATGATGGTGGGGGAGGGAGTGTTGTGTGTATGTTGGGGGAGCACAGGGAAGGCTGGACAGACTGGCCTGAATCCCTAATGCAAATTAAAGCCTGTGCCCTCCCCTTTTCTCCCGAAGTTCCTGGGGGCAGTGTGCAGATCAGCATTCCCAAGACCTTGGCTGCAAGAGATACTTGATAATTAATTCATGAGCTAATTGCTTCTGCCAGAATTCTGTCAGGTTGCTGATTATATCTCTCCAAAGATGAAAGGGCAGACTCTTGGCTGTTGTGTTGGGGCAACTACAGTTACACTTCACAGTGCTCCAAAAGGCTTGGAGCTTCACGCAAGGCCCTGCCCGCTACTGGTGAGACCCTGGCTCTTCTCAACTGTGTCACGTCCTGGGGGAGGCGCCTCCAAATTTGATTTTTCTGTTTTTTACAGTCTCCACCTTCACTGGGCTTAAATCTGGGGTGCCAATACCAGGCTAGCACTGCTCAGGGGGCCATCCATAACAGATCCCCCTTCTCCTTCCTCTCAGGAAAGCAGACTCTAAAACAGAGGGAGGCGTGCTTCCCTGCCCTTTCCCACCAGACTTGACTTCCTCATCGACATGCTCTCCTGCACCCACCAGTTCTTCTCAATCCTCCTGTTTTTAGAAATTCTAAATAGACCAGATAAGATGATCTTTACTCCTGGAGGGCCCTGTCCATTTTTAATGAGCAGGACTTCCCTGCCCATCCCCTACTACCAGCCCTGCTGTCCGTTCTAGGAAATCTAGTCAGCATTCTTTCCTTCCCTGTCTCCCCTAAGTAGAACTGGATTCATGAATTTGATTCTTTTTAAATGTCAAAGGTTTCCCTTCAGAGCCAGTCCATGTTGATTATGGATCACCCTCTCAGATGGCAGTTGGCTCTAGCTTGGAGAAAACCACCTCACCCCGTTTGTGTCAGGGGGTGAGGATAGGTCTACCCGGAGCCAGAGCCTCTTTCCAAACAGAGCAGAACAGTTTTTAGACCCGTGTCTCTGTGCAGGCACTGAGCTATTTGGGGACCGGAGGCCCCTGGGAATTGTCATTTGCCACCAGTGCTTGCAGACATCCTCTTGATGGTTAACTATGAAATGGACTAGTCTTATGCCAGCTGTCTTAGTCAGCTGATTGTTTTCTTTGGATAGAAAAGGTGTGAAGGTCCTCTCTTCTTCCCCCAAGGAGACACAGGGAGCCATGTGCACGGGGGAGCCGTGCAGAAGACAGACACAAGATTCCTCCCATGAAGGAGAGCTGCTTTAAGCTCGAGTCCCTGTGTGGGCTCCTTGCAGGGTTGAGGGCCCACAACCTCATGTCAGGAACCCTAAGAACTCTCTCATCCTTTTCATTTTGGGGGCTGTACCAAGCAGCATGTGGGATCTTAGTTCTCTGACCAGGAATCAAACCCACTCCCCCCACAGTGGAACATGAAGTCTTAATCCCCGATGACCGGGAAAGTGCCAGGACCCTCTTATTCTAAAGAAATCAGAGTAAGGAGTGATATTATCAGGATAGAAACTAAGCTTCTGGGGAAAAGCAACTTCAAAATGCAGTACCTTCCACAAGTTTATTTTTGCTCATAGCAAAATCCAGAGGCAGTTGGTTCAGACCACCTGAGGTGGTTCAGTGACCCTTTGTGTGAGGCTCCCATCTCTGGTCCAAGGTGACTACTGTATTGTCAGCATCCTCAGCCAGCAGCTGGCAAGAAAAAACCAGTGGTGTCCACATCCATTTCTTCATTAGGAGAATTACTGGAGGAACACTTCCCTTTTGGTCACATCCTAGTAGCAAGGACATAGCCACATGAGGCTGTGAGGTAGCTGGGAGATCTAGATCCTAACTGAACATCCATTCACTTAACTAATAAACAGCAGTTGTATTTTTAAAGTCAGGGAGCAATAATATTGAACATAGCTGTCTCCAGCACACACTGGTTCTCCCCTTCCCCAGACCTTTATTGAGCAGCTGCAGCAGGAGAACGCTTGGGTCTTGGAAGTGGGAGACATGGAAGCAAATATGTGCAAGTGTATGTTGGTAGCTGTAGCAGCGTTGTGTGAGGATGTTAGGAGCCAAGGGGCTGCAAGTAAGTCAGGAAGGACTTCCCAGAGCTGATGCTTTACCAAAGGTATTCCTTAGCTTCCTCTCTATCTCAGCCTCTTGGTATTGTGACACCAACCAAAATTAAATGCACCTGGTGTCTTAGTTCGGGTCCTCCTGAGAGCAGAGGTGTATTAGTCTGCTGGGGCAGCTGTCATAAAGCACCACAGACCGAGCTGCTTAAACCGCAGAAGCTTATCGTCCCACAGATGTGGGGACTGGAAGTCCAAGATGAGAGTGTCAGCAGAGTTGGTTCTTCCTGAGGAAGCCTCCATTCCAGGCCTCTCTCCTGGGCTCATAGATGCCTGTCTTCATGTTCACATGACATTCTCTCTGTATGTGTATGTCTGTGTCAAAACTCCCTCTTTTATAAGGACGTTAGTCAAATTGGCTTAGGGCCCATCCTAATGACCTTACCTTTTTTAAAAAAAAGTAATTTTATTTAATTGTTTATTTTTATTTTTTGGCGATGCTGGTTCTTCGTTGCTGCATGGGCTTTTCTCCACTTGTGGCAAGTGGGGAGCTACTCTCTAGTTGCGTCGTAAAGCCTCTCTTTGTGGTGGCTTCTCTGTTGCCGAGCTTGGGCTTTACGGCATGTGGGCTTCAGTAGCTGTGATTCCTGGGCTCTAGAGCACAGGCTCAATAGTTGTGGCCATGGGCCCAGTTGCTCTGCAGCACGTGGGATCATCCTGGATCAGGGATCGAATCTGTGTCTCCTGAATTAGCAGGCAGACTCTTTACCACCCAGCCACTACAGAAGCTCCCCCAGTGACCAGTGTTCACAAATTACATCTGCAGTGATTCTATTTCCAAATAAAGTCACATTGTGAGGCACTGAGGGTTAGGACATCAGTGTATGAATCTGGGGGGGGACACAATTCATTCCGTTAACGGAAGATTTGGAAGAAAATCGGAAGCAGAGAAGCTGAGAGTCTACCCAGCATGAGCTTGAGGTGGGAACAGACAGTGGGTACAGAGCCATTCACAGCCGCACTGAAGGAGATCCAGGGCTGTTTCCTGACATCCTATTAGGAAGGCAATTTCTTCAAAGATGCTTTATTCTCACACCACTTCCTTGCCCTGGTCTGAACTTTCTCTAACATACTGGCCCTCCAGGGGAGTTAGAAAACTGACAGGGTTAACGTGGGTCTCCATAATGCTGCCAGATACATAGGTTAGCCAGCGGGTTGGTGACTAAAAACACCTTAGATGGGATTAAAAGCCTTCAAGATATTTCAGACAGTAACTACCTGCTGTGACAGTCAGTAGGGACAATATGTTATTAGAAACAGCATCTTGCCAGGTGAGTGAACGGCTGAAGCCTTCCAATAGCCAATTAGCAACAGCTAAAAAAATGTTTTAAGTGTATAGAGCTTGAGAATGTCTGCTTAATAGGACCTTTTAGATAGTAATTGTAGTCAATGAACTAAATTCATTCACCAAATATGTTTTGAGAGCCTGCCTTATGCCAGGTTGTATTCTCAGTGTACATTAGTGAAGAAACAGCAAAAATCTTGTCCTCTTGAAGCTTACCTTCTAATGCAGCTTGTTACCCTCTGGCACTTAATTATGGCTCTCATTTAAATCATAATACTAAATGCCCCATCAAAATCAGCATTTCAGATAAGAAAGAGTTTATAGCCAGAAAATTACTCTGTGATTCAAATCTTTTTTTTTTAACGTGCAATGGTGATATTTCAGTGGTAGAACTATGAGTGGTTTGTGATTCTTTACTTTTCTTTGTTTCCCACATTTTCTTTAATAATCATGTATCATTTTTATTTGACAAAAAAATTAAAGGATAAGGGTGAAATCCAGCGACTCCTCATCTAGCCCCAATCAGCTAGATAAGTTTTACAAAAAGCACTCTTAACAGAATAAAAAATATTATATATATATGTGTGTGTGTATATATATATATGTATATATAATCTCATTTCTATATATAATCAACATAAGATAAAGAAGTATTTGCAGCAGGCCTAAACTTTGGAAGTGAGCAACCTTGAGTTCCAATCTCAGCACTGCCCTCTTATTAGCTGTGTTACCTCAGATGAGTCACATTTCTTATCTATTTTATTTGTATCATAATCTAGAAAAATGATGCCAACTTTGACCTGCCAGAGCTGTTGAGATTAAAAAAAACAATCTAGGTACTTTCGTGGTGGTCCAGTGGTTAAGAATCCACCTTGCAATGCAGGAAACATGCGTTTGATCCATGGTCCGGGAACTAGGATCCCACATCTAGGCAACTAGAGAGAAGCCTCCCAACTGCAACAAAGACCCCTGCTCCACAACTAAGACCTGACGCAGCCAAAAATTAATTAAATTTTAAAATATTTTTTAAAAATCTATATAAGCAAATTTGAAACAATGTTCTGCGCATGGTTAAGTGCTCAGTGGGAATATAAATTTGTACTTTGCTTTGGAAAATAGTTTGGCAGATTCCTAAAAAGTTAAGCATACACCTTACATGTATTCCTACTCTCCCACTTTGAGCAATTTACCCAGAAGAATGAAAACTTCCACACAAAGACTTGTGCATGAGTGATCATAGAAGCTTTCATTGTAGAAGTCCCAAACTAAAAATAACGTAAATATCTGTGAACAGTTAAATGGATAAACAATCTTTGATATAACCATCCAATGGAATAGTACTTACCAATGAAAAGGAATGAACTATAAATACATGCTACAGTATGGATGAATTATGTTTAGCAAAATAATTATGCTAAATAAATAAGAAATCATTCATCAAATAGTATATACTGTATGTTTCTATTTATTAAAAAATTTAGAGAATATGCCAACTAATCTATAATGACTTCATTTGCTTCTTTGGGATGGAGTGGAGCATAGGAAAAGAAGGGATGGAAGGGTTGCAGAATGTTGGAAACTCTCGGGGTGATGGAAACATTTCACTGTTTTGATTGAGGTGATGGTTTCATGGACCTAACAAAGATAATATAAACTTATACTTCAAATATGTATAATTTATTATACATCAACTTCCTCTCAATAAAAATGTTAAAAGATAAGAAGATTAATCTCAGTACTTCCTTCTCAAGAGGAAGGGAAATCTATCACCTTTTTAAATCAGTCTTAGAGTTTCATAAAGGGAATAGTGAATGAGGTGACCAGTTGATCATGAGAATCCACACAGGTGTCTCCTCATGAGCTGTGAGAATGGATTCACAGCAGGGAAAGAGGTTAAAATTTCTCCATGCATCCAGTCTGAAGTTATTAAATTTTTAAAGAATGGTATGAACTTCTGTCCAGAACCACAAGATGAAACTTATATAAAATGAGGGTGGGGGCCACATTTTTGCCTGTCAAGAGCTGGTGTAGTAAGCACAGAAATATAAATGCCTCATCAAAAAATTGATGCCCCAATATTCAGGAGGCTATTGTATCTGAATGACATTTCAGATGATAAAGAGAGATGCAAATGTTAACCACGCTGGTTGATGTGTTTTATTTTTAAGAAAAAGCAATGATATTAATGTCACAGTTAAATGTAAAATAGTCAAAGTAGAATCTCTTTGTTTTTTTAAACAGTAAAGATGAACTGGTTTTGCCAGGATTAGCAGTGACAAATATAAATAGTAAAGTCCAGGAAGCAGCAAATGAATTTCAGGACCAAAGCAAAGGACTGGATTAAATAACTGAATATTCTAACACCCAGAATCAGAAAGAGAAAATTTGTGCTGAGAGATTAAAGGACATGATTTTGTTTCAGACTTGTCTGGCACCTGGGGATGGACCCCAGGAGCCCTAAGATAGAAGCAAGAATTTGGGGCTGTTTTGCCAAATGTTGTTGAGCATTTGAAAAGATAGAGATATTATTCATTAGTGGGATACCTTGGCATTATTTAAAAATCACTTCAGGTTTTGTTTTTAACTTTAAAATGACTCTGAAAAATAGTTTTCTCTGTATCACATTTTTAAAAGATACTGGTAGGTCATTTGAGAGTTGAGAAAGGATGATTGCTCAAACTCCAAAGTCATGTGGTAAGTTTTGTTACTGCCATCCTGGCCAAAGTGGTATATGAGAAGCTAGAATCAGAACTGAGAATGAAAGAGACCTTGAAGAATATCCGATGAAATTGTGGCTCACCAATCTCAGAAAAAAGGTTGTGTGTAGTCAAGCCATCAGACCCCAGTGTTTCAACACTAAACCATCACACAATTTTCAAAATCAGGGCAGGTTTTCAGAAAGGACTATGAGGCGATGGGGGATATAAAAGCTCAGAGCGAGGAGTCTAGCACAGAAGGCGTTGGCTGTAGCACAGAAGGCATTGGCTGTACCTTTCACAGTTTGACCTGCACACGTAAACCCCAGGAGAGAAGAGAGGAACATTTATTGAGCACCGCTGCTGCCTTGGCACAGGATAGAAGCCGCGATAATTAACACATGCTCCCACAGAACATGTGCTGTTGCCGGGAAAACACACAGACAGCTCTAGCCCAAGGTCTTAGAGCACATCGATGCTGTAAGAAAAGGACAAAGGACGCTCTCTGGTGACAGTGTGACATTTCCCTTACCTGAGAGCCGTGACTCGCCTCTTGACACCCTTTCTCTGGTTCTCTCGTCTTTTGCTAGGCATCCGGATTAGTTCCTTTACACAAGCTGACCTCGCTTCAGGAAACGTTCAGTATATCCACTCCAGTGAGGCTGAGAAGCATTCAGACGCCTTCAGCTTTACGCTGTCCGATGGAGTCCACGAGGTGGGTGAGGAGCTCGCTTCCCTCCCTGATGGGTATCAACTCAGCGTCATCGCCTTTAACTGGAGGGCACGGAGCCACCATTGTTGAGAGAGCTTCGTTTCCCTCTGCTCTCAGCCCGGGACAGAGGCAAAGAGAACTCTATCTTGCCAAAGAGAACACACCTCTGGGTCTCTGGTCGGTCAGTCATGCCGGGAACGGTGTGAAAGGGAATGCAGAGGGCGTCTGCCTTCTCCTCGGGTGGGTGCTGGGGACAGGTGACCCACCTGCACTTTTCCACCCTGTAGGTGACGCAGACCTTCCGCATCACTCTTCGCCCTGTGGATGACGCGCTGCCCCAAGTGCAGAACTTCGGGATGCGGGTACAGGAGGGCGTGAGGAAGACCATCACGGAGTTTGAGCTTAAAGCGGTGGATGCGGACACAGAGGTAGGCGTGCTACCCTGGCCTCTGGTCCAGTGAGATGCCTGTTGCTTTGTTACAGTACATCCCAAGAGTGGGGCGAGGAGTGGGGCTGAGAGTAATACAAGCATCCTTGAAAGATTATAAACCAGAACATAAAAAAAAATAAAAAAGAAAAACCAGAACATACCATGGCCTGCTGGAAAAGAAAAGCTAATACATTTGAAATTAAGTCGTTTTGAAACTCTTTTGGAAACCCTAAATACGTTTATCCTTTCCCACAATTACACATAACAATCATGTTAACATTCTGATTTTGATTATGATCCACGGAAAATTAGGTCGATGGCACTTTATCCAATTTTTATTACTCCCTATTATTAATGAACAAGGATTTTCTCATCTCTACACTTTTTCCTCCTTCATCGAAACTTCACTGGATGACAACTAATTATTGCAGTTTGAACATTCTCAAAGAACCAGGTTTTATCCAGTAAAACAGGGCATGTCGAGACAACTCTTCCTGTCTAATGCTTTCCAATTAAAGAATCTAACGTTCTGACATGATTTAGCTCCCATTAAGGGTACCACACACTTGTTAATTAGTTCTATGTATGCCCTTCCCCGTGCCAGCATGCATTCATTTATTCATTCTTTCAGCAAGTATTTATTACCAAGGTCAGCTCTAGATGCTAAAGACAGCACTGTGAACAAAGCAGATCAAAGTGCTAGCCTTAGGGAGTTTACAACCTTTGGTTAAGGGGACAGATGATAAAGAAAGAAAGAACATAGACTATCTTGTCAGGTGTGATAAGTGCTAGAAATAAAAATAAAGTGACATGAAGGTGACAGAGATAGATGTGTGTGCTGTTTGAGGCACAGGTCAGGGGAGTTTTCTCTGAGTGGCTGATACTTGAGCAGAAATAGGAAGAGAAAGAGCAGACTGTGAGTTTCCTGGGAGAATCCCTCTCCAGGCAGAAGAATCAGGAGGGCAAAAGCCTTGTGGTCCAGTGCGCTTGGAACAGTTGAGTAGCCAGGCCAAGGGTCTAGACCCCAGTGAACAAGCAGGAGAGGAAAAGGATGAGACCAAAGAGACACTGTGGGACCAGGTCACAGAGGGCCTTCTTGTCACAGAGGGCCTTCTTGGCCCAGGTCCGGCCTCTGCATTTTCTTCCAAGTTGGTGGGAGATCATTGAAGAGTCCTGAGCAGGATTTTCTACATCGGTATTTTTCCTTCTCATGTCACCCTAGAAGCAGCTATTAGAAATGGGAACTTTGTGGGATGAATTGAGAGAGTAGCATTGACGTATATGTATACCACATGTGTAAAATAGATAGCTAGTGGGAACCTACTTTAAAACGCGGGGAGCTCAGCTGGGTGCTCTGTGATGACCTAGAGGAGTGGGATGGGGTGGTGGGAGGGAGTCTCGAGAGGGAGGGGGTATATGTACACAGATGTCTGATTCACTTCATGGTACAGCAGAAACTAGCACGCCTTTGTAAAGCAATTACACCCCAATTAAAAAAATAGAAATGGGAAGTTATGCTTCTGTTCTGATGTGTAGATTCTATATGTGAGTTTTGGGAAAGTGTATGTGCTGGGGGAGGAGAGTGGATGGAAAGGAAGTGAGTGATTTTAAAAGGTCTAGTTCTTACCATCTTAGAGGTTAAAAATTCAAGTTTTCCCCCTATGACCCCAAAAGGCCAAATTTAAATGTCTTATCTTAAAACAGAAGGCAGCAGAACGTAAGTTCGATTGTAGTAACTAATATAATTTCTCTCCTTAGCTTAATTTTTGGTGTCTATAAAGAAAAGGCAGTGTTTGTTTATAAAGGTCTTTGGGTTTGACTACCCTTGGCCACCTGTTGACCACCACTCACACGTCTGGCTCCTGATACGGAGTTCCCTTCTCTTGTTGCCTCCGTGACAGGCCGAGTCTGTCACGTTCACGGTCGTGCAGCCCCCACGCCACGGCACCATCGAGCGAACCACCAGCGGGCAGCCCTTCCAGCTCACGTCCACCTTCACCATGGAGGACATCTACCAGAACCGGGTCCGCTACAGCCACGACGGCAGCAACTCCCTCAAAGACCGATTCACCTTCACCGTGGCTGACGGGACGAATCCTTTCTTCATTGTTGAGGAAGGAGGAAAAGAGGTGAGGGGCAGAGACGGCGGAGAGGGAGGCGGAGCACAGCAGCCCGGAGGTTGTCTGGAGGCTGAACATGACATTTTTAGGCAAAGGGTAAACCCACTCCAGTATTCCTGCCTGGAGAATCCCATGGACAGAGGAGATTGGTGGGGACGGTTCATAGAGTCGCAAAGAGTTGGATACAACTGAAGCAACTTAGCACGCATGTACTCAACACGGCTTGAATTTTGGTTCTGTCACCTAATTGGCCTTGGACAAATGACTTAACTTCCGTAAGCCTCAGCTTTTCATCTATGCAGTGGGCACAAGGATCATCACCAGCTTCCATTGGTCTAAGGATCAAAAGATCCATAAAAAATGCTTAACACCATTGGCAAAGACTGAGTACTCACATAAAAGACAGTCGCTATTGTTATTATTACTGCTATTATTTCTCCTTTTCCTTTGCACTCACCCTTTGTTCCTTCCTTTTTTCTTTCATCTGGTTTTTCTTTTTTTCTTTTTCTTTTTCTTCCATTTATTTTTATTAGTTGGAGGCTAATTACTTTACAATATTGTAGTGGTTTTTGCCATACATTGACATGAATCAGCCATGGATTTACATGTGTTTCCCACCCTGAATTCATCTGGTTTTTCAATAAGATCACAGGGTTCCAAATCATCTCCTGAGCCAGTCAGAGTTTTCAGTCTCATGAAGAATTACAGTGGCTAAGAGTATGGCTTTTGCATCCAAAAGACACTGATTTAAATTCTGCTTCTGTCACTTACTACCTGAGTGTCTTTGTAAGTCATTTAACCTTTCTAAGCCTTAGCTTCCTTATCTGTAAAATGAGGATATCTACTCCCCTGATTACACAAAGCACTTAGCCCAGTGCCTTACACAGGAAACACAAGAAATAGCCAATAAATTGTGGCTATAGTCATCATGGTCGTCACTTTAGGATCAGCTGATGGAACAAATGAAGATGGTTTTCTTTTGAGGTCATGAAGCTGTCAAGCTTCTTTCCCTTAAGGGAATTGCTCACTTCTAACATTTAGGTGTTCAGAAGAAACTATAAACATCCCCTTTCACTCTCTTCCCTGCAGTTCTAACTCTTTTTTAGCAGATTTCCTGCAGCACCATAACCTTCCCCTAGGAATAACTGCAACTCTGATGAAAGGGGGACCCCTGATGTCTCACACAGCTGTCTGACTCAGCATAAGCAGTTTTAGTGAGCACATGATCACACCCTACTGTTTGCTTCCAGCATAAGCGAAGGGTCAGCAACTTCTGTCGGGCCTGCAGTTTTTTTCCTACTTTGATGATGAATGATTCTTTGCCTGGCCAGGAAAGATCCTCTGGTGTGCTTTAGAAACCAACAGCCTGTGAGAAGGTCATTCTCAGTTGGCCAAGGTGTCAGTAGGATGGCTCTTGGGATTTCCCTGCCATTTCAGTGTCCGCCCTGCATCTCCACCTGGCAGGTCATCACGTTCATTTTCCCTCTCCCATACTGCGGCTGCTTCCCCAGTTCGTTTGACTTTCAGAAGAGAAAAAAAAATATTTCAGGATGAATCAACAAGAGGGCCACCTCTCTGATAAACATAAAAAGGTCACAGCAGGTCTCCAGGGGTACCGTGTCATTTTGAAAATGGAAATTATCTGGGAGGGTTGGAGAAGACTGATACACCAGTATCTCACTGCGCTGTCTGCCAGCTTGATTTGTATCAGTTCAGAAATGGGGAGGTACTGAACTGGACTCCCCATGTCTGTTGTGAATATGCATGTATATATCTGTGTGGTGATAAAGTCATAAACTGAAATGTCTTGCACTATTCTCACACACACTTTTTTGGGGGAGGAGGTGGAGTGGATGTGCTGGGTCTTTGTTGCTGTGAGCAGGCTTTCTCTAGTTGCAGCGAGTGGGGGCTACCCTCTAGTTGTGATGCACAGGCTTCTCATTGTGGTGGCTTCTCTGGGTGTGGTCTCTAGGGCTCGTGGGCTTCAGTAGTTGTGGCCCATGGGCTTAGCTCCTCCACACCATGTGGGATCTTCCCAGACCAGGGATTGAACCCATGTCCCCTGTATTGGCAGGTGGATTCCTAACCATTGGACCACCAGGGAAGTCCTCACAAATGCTTTTATTCTTGATTTCTTCTGCCCCCTTTTCCCATGTGAACAGTTCTTTCTCAAAAACTAAAAAATAAAAAGGAAATCTCTTCCCATGAAACGTCTTTTCACATCTAGCAAAATCCTACCTGAAGACCTTGACATTAACTAATTTTTTTTTTTTCCAGGCAATGCTATGCAGCATGCAGGATCTTAGTTCCCCAACCAGGGATCAAATTAGGGTCTGAGAATGCAGAGTCTTAACCACTGGGCAACAGGGAAGTCCCTGACATTCACATTTTAATGATAGAAGTTTTAACAAGAGTTATTGAAAGGAAGATATTTTGTTTATTGTTTCATCTCGGGGCAATATTGAACTCAACTAAAGAAAGCTTAGGTTTGTGAAAACCAACTTCCATAGCAGCTGAAATTCCAGCAAGAGTGCCATTTGTGTCTTGCTTTCCTTCTTATATCATTTCCACTTTGTCAGTCAACGTTGTCCCTGAAGCCTCAGGAGCCAAGTGGTGGTAAGCGATGGAAACTTGCTCACTTGCCTGTTTTGAAGTGTCAGCAGATTTCAAGGGTTCCAGCTTCTGGAAGCCCTAGACCTGACATACTTCAGGTAGGTGTGAATGATGAGTTTTCTTTTTGGCTTTCATCACAGATCATAACAGCAGCACCTCAGCAGTTTTGGGTAGACATCCTCCAGGTGGATGATGGTGCCCCTAGGATTGTTACCAACCTGGGGCTACAATGGCTGGAGTACATGGATGGCAAGGTAAGGCCCTTCCATCTGCTGCTGTCTCACTAACCAACTTGGGCTCTATCCTATTCATGACAATATGAACAGAATTCCTGTTCAACGCATGTCTATCCCTCCCTAAGTAAGCTAAGTTCTTAAGATTGCTGAGCTCCATGAGTCTGGTTACAGTTGTATTATAGTTTAAGATGTTCTTATAGAATGACCCCCAAATATAGTAGCTCAGACAGGATAGAAGTTTTTTTTTCCTCATATAAAGCACGGAAGTGGGGAGGTTAGGGCGCAACGTGACCATTCAGAGATACATATTCCTTCTGTCTTACTCTTCTGCCTTCACTAGAGTGTTGTTATCAACAGCAGGGCCAAAACTCTTCAGCTGCTCTTCAGTACTGCATACCATGGGAAGAGGAAAACAGAAAAGTAGGGGTCAAGGAACTTAATTTTAAGCAAGTGATACAGAAATTAAACACATCACTTGCACTCATATTGTTTTGAAAAGAAATTGAGCCTGTGGTCCTATCTATTGCATGGAGTGTCTAGCTGGGCATTGAGCCTGTGGTCCTATCTACTGCATGGAGTGTCTAGCTGGGCAGTTTGGTGCTCAGCTAAAAGTTTGTTGACTAGAAAAAGGGGAGGATGGATTTGGGAAAACTTCTCATACATGCCATAGATGGGAAGGAAGTGAGTTTTTTGGTAGATGAGTATCATCAGAGGATTTCTAGAAATTTAATTTTTTTTTCTCCTTTTCATAAGCCCCAATTGGGTCATTTTAAGATATGCCATAATTCTCACCTGTTTCCATGTCAAGCATTAAATTCTCATTCCCACCTAAACACACACAGTTCTTCAGCTCAGTTTGGGAACTGGTTTCATACTTTCGTGTGTGGTATTACCTCTAGGATGTGAATTTTCCTTCTCCACATCGCTGACATAGCAGTGGCATTACAGCTTTCCAATGAACTCATTGGGAATTTTAAAATATATGAGACAAAATTAGTACAGATTCCTCTCATGCCCTATTTGATATTTTTCTCAATACTCAGAACCATCCTATTCGCTTCTTCTCCAACTGGTCTTCCACTTCCAACTCTTACCCTACTGTAGTGACTCTTATCAAAGTCATCAATGACCTCAATTTCCTCAAATCAAAGGTCACTTACATGCCTTTATTTTACTAGGTCTAGTAACATTCAATAGTGTTGACCATCCTCTTTTTCTCTCAAAACTTTGGTCTCATTAAATATTTGTTGAATGAATAAATGAGTGAATTAAAATTTAGCCAGTATATTTGAGCAGTACTGGGATATTATGTATTTGTCTGTCTGAATTTCAAGCAATGTAATCAACTCTCATATGGTATAAAGTGGCCATCTTCCCTGGATTGTATCCTTCTTTCAAAGTTCCAGCCTTCTTTCAAGGCCAAACTGAAGCCACCCCCTTCCCTAATCCAGATGGAATGAATTGTCCTTGCTTCCTAAAAGTGTGATGCAGTATTTTCCACATCTCCCACTGTAGCACTCACCACAGTTACCTTGTTCATAAGCCTTTCTTCCCCAAGAAAGAGTGAACATCAAGGACAGAGGCTGGGATGGTTTCTATCCTCATAACCTGATCAATCCTGACAAAGTTTTCCAGGCAGTAAATGTACTTAGTAAATCATGGTTGAACTGAATTAAATCTGAGTCAGAGGGTCTTGTTCCTGCTTTACTCTCATCTCAGGAATTAAATTTAATGGGTTTCTATTCCAGGCAATCAACTTGATCACCAAGAAGGAACTGCTGACCGTGGACCCAGACACGGAGGACATGCAGCTTGTCTATGAGATCACCACGGGCCCCAAGCATGGCCACGTGGAGACCAAGCTACAGCCTGGCAGGGCAGCGGCTACCTTCACACAGGGTGAGCATCCAGGAGCTGGGCTTTCCTGGTGGCTTAGATGGTAAAGAATTCGCATGCAATGCAGCAGACCCAGGTTTGATCGCTGGATTGGGAAGATCCTTCTGGAGAAGGGAAGGGCAACCCACTCCAGTATCTTGCCTGGAGAATCCCATGGATGGAGGAGCCTGGCAGGCTATAGTCCGTAGGGTTCCAAAGAGTTGGATATAACTGAGCAACTAACATGAGAAGTGGGAAGGGTCTGTTCTAACACCACTCCCCCTATCTCCCTCATCTTTCTCACAACCACTGTCAGCTACTTCCCCCCCAGGACCTATTTACAGACAAATAGATCCTTTGGCATCTAACCATCCAACAGTGAAATTTTACTTCTCCTGATATTTTTTCCCCTTTACTCCAAATTATGGCAAAAAAAAGAAAAAAAATAAAATTTTTATCTTTTCCTGGCTTCCTCAGTTCCCAAATTGCTTTCAGTTTTGACCAAGTTGTTTGGAAAAGATCATGTGATACTTCTGGGTTTGCTTTCAAAACAAAAATAGCCACCAGACTTTATGAAACATCTGTGATCCTGTGTGGTTAATTTTTTTCTGTAAAGGATTATGGATTTTTTGTCTTTGGCAAAGAAAGAAAAATCAACATGGGTAGACTGCTCAATAAATAGTTTCCTGTTTGGAATCACATCAAGCAAACCAATTTGTATTTTAGTTTATTGGAAAGTTTTCAGAGTCTTCTAGACTTGTGTTGGGGATGGACCTGAGTGGGAAGACACAACTGTGTCTTGCAATTTATGTGCCATGTTTCCTTTTAATCCCTGTCCTCAATCTGTGTTCTCGCCTAGCCCCATGTTATCTGTGCCTTGTGAGGGGACTGTTTTAATCCAACCCTATCTTTTCTAAGTAACACATACAAAGAACCTTTATTTTGAAGGAACTAGGGACAGGTATAAGCATATGTGCATAGCAGATGGGGTCAGAGACTTCCCTCTGTTGGCTCAAAGATTTGCTTTTAACTTTCCATAGACATTTATTAAACTGCTTTTTTGCCAAGGCCCTGGGATTGTCATTGTACAATAGCATAATGGTACTTCCTATACACAAACAGAATTACAGGATCTTATTTTAAGATCTGGTAGAAACATTTACTTTTAAGACTACAGTCTTTTTTGTTCCTGGAGAAATAAGTTTTGTCTGTAATCCACTAGAAGAATAAACTGGATGTGTTGGGAGAAATCTATGAGGCTGTCTTTACATCCCCTGGTTAATTCAGTATCTTTTTTTTCTCACAGAGGACGTGAACTTGGGGTTGATTCATTACGTGTTGCATGAGGAGAAGATCCATGAGATGATGGATAGTTTTCAGTTTCTGGTGAAAGACAGTAAACCCAATGTGGTCAACGACAACATCTTCCATATCCAGTGGTCCCTCATCAGTTTTAAATATACCAGGTACAAGTGCTGTTGGCGTTCATTCTTGAGAAATGAAACAGGAAAGCAGAGGAAGCTAGGATGAAGCACCTTCGAGGTCAGCTGTAATCATCCAGTCATGATGGTGGGATGATAATAAGAATAAAAATAATAATTACACCAAATATTTCTTGAATACCATATGTACCAGGCACTGTAGTGGGTAACTGACATATGTCATCTTGTTTAATGCTTGCAGTTATGAGATGAGTAACCTTGTTGCCTCCACAATGATGAAGCAATAGAGACAGAAATAGGTTAAGTAACTTATGAGGGCTTCCTAGGTGGCTCAGTGGAAGGAACATGCCTGTCAATGCAGAAGATGCGTGTTTGATTCCTGGGTTGGGAAGATTCCCTGGAGAAGGAAATGGCAACCCACTCCAATATTCTCGCCTGAGAATCCTATGGACAGAGGAGCCTGGTAGGTTACAGTCCATGGGATCACGAGAGGCAGATCAAACTTAGCAACTAAACAACATTAACTTATCTGAAGTCATATAGCTAATAAGCAATGAAGTGCAGTGATCTTAATCATCATGCTTTACTGCTTCTCCTGAAAGTATTTTTCCTTCTGTCTTCAAGTTTAGAAGATAATCCAAAAGAACTGATGGAAGAAAAAAATACATTGAAAAAAATAATCACTGGACTGGCCCTCAAAAACAGTCTTTGCCTTCTGTCTCCATTCTCCCTGTTCTTAAGCTTATATTCTCCCCCTCGCTCTTTTGGTATACACAGAATCATGTATCTTTAGTTAAAAATTCATAGCTTAACACAGACAGCTCTTCAAGATGCTTTTATAGTCTTCTTGGGGAGTCCAGAGGCAGAGAGTCACTGATTGGTAAGACACAGAGCTGATTTTATAGATTAGATTATAACTAGGACTGTAATTTTTGTGGAACATAAAAGTCTTTAAATCTACATTTCACAGACCCACTAAGAAATCAATATCATTATAATTCAAATGAAAATTGGATCTTGGGAAGAAGAGAAGAAAGTATGCAAACTTGGTTTCATGTGCCCCAGATGGAGGCTCTTTTATTGTTACACACACTTGGAGAATGAGTGGAAAGTTAGAATTAACATATATGTGTGTTATATATATATATATATATATATATATATATATATATATATTGTTATTGTCTAGTCGATAAGTCGTGTCCAACTCTTTTGTGACCCCCACAGACTGTAGCCCACCAGTCTCCTCGGTCCATGGGATTTCCCAGGCAAGAATACTGGAGTGGGTACCATTTCATTCTCCATTATATACGTACACTCTGTTGCTATTTACCTTTTACGTGTAACTCCTTCAGAATTAAATATGTTGAATAAAACTGATGTTGTTTTCTGGACAACGCTCTAATGTTTGATGGACTAACTAATACAGAGAGTCCCCAAACTGGCAATGAAGACACACCTCTCAAAGGCACTTTGCCTGCAGTCCTCACGGCAATAAGCCACAAGTCAAAGTTAATGGCCATCCTCAGTGATGACAGACAAAGCCCAGCTCAGGCTGGGCTTCTCTCAACCTGGATAGCTTCTTATGAATAAATGGCACCTGTACACTTTGCCTCCTGCTTTGCAATTCAACAGAAATTCCTAGCAGCAAGCTAAGTTAATTCTATGTCTTAGTGATTCCAGCTGCTATAACAGAATACCATAACCTTGGTGACTTGTGAACAACAGGAATTTATTTCTCACAGCTCTAGAGGCTGGGAAGTCCAAGACTGAGGTGCTGGCAAATTCAGTGTCTGATGAGGGCCTGCCTCATGGTCCTTGGAGAATTGAGTTCTTGCTGTAACTTCTGGTGGCAGAAGGCAGATGGAGCTCCCTTCTATGGCACTAATCCCATTCATGAGGGCTTCACTCTTGTGACCTCACCACCTTTGCAAAGGCCCCACCCCTATTACTGTCACAGAGGGGATTAAGGTTTCAACATGTGGAGGGGCACACTTCCAGTCTGGAGCACCTTGGCCCTCCCCCATTGTCATAAAGCCCCATTTGCCTCGACACCTTTGTTAACCTTGGCCCAGTTCTCATTTTCTTACCTCTGGTACCACTCTGGCTCTTTTAAACACGCTGGAGACCTGGTCCAGTCAGTTCCCACCTGAACCAAGTTATTAACTGGCTTCCAAGCAGCTTTCTTCCAAAGGAACTCACTGACCTATGCTAATTACTTGACCACACTTGAACAATATTGTTTGTTATTTCTTCGTGTTCTGAAACACGGAGGGCATGCCTCCTATGTGCTGACTGTCTTCCAACTCTTTCTAAAAATGGGGCAGATATCCTTCTGCATCCACTCTTCCTTTGGTCACCTGCTTCTATGACTGTCACAAGTGAATACATTTCCTCAGTTTCCACCTAACACCTTGAAGGAACCAAACTACCTCTTCTCGGAACTGTCTGGCACCAATAACCAACCCTCAGAGATAGGCATTAAGCACATGGATTCTTCACAGCCCTTTCAGAATTTCAGAGATGGCCTTTTTGTGTGCTTCCAGCTACAACGTCAGTGAGAAAGCAGGGTCAGTGAGCGTCACGGTGCAGAGGACGGGGAACCTGAATCAGTACGCCATTGTCCTGTGTCGCACGGAGCAAGGCACGGCCACCTCCAGCTCCCGGGCGGGCTCCCAGCCTGGACAGCAGGACTATGTGGAGTATGCTGGCCAGGTATGTGGGCACAGGCACCTCTGACTCCTGAACTGCCGGTGGGCTGCAGCCAGGCTGGGACGTGGCTATCGTCAGCTGTGGTAGTTTCCCCCTTCTTTACCCCACCTCCCTGCCCACTGCACCCTTCCTCAGGTCACTGTGCTGCGTCGTCTTCCCACAATGCTCTGTTCTTCACAGTCTGTCTAATCTCCGCCACAGTTTTAACTGCTGCCCAGCTTCTCAATCTTCACATGTTGCTTCATGACCAAGAAAAATCTCCCGGGCACTGTGTTGTACACTCAGCCTTTGATATCCTAACCTTTCCTCCCTAAACTTCTCATTACCTGAAGGGTAGGGAGACTAGTTGGGGAGCTCTTGGAATCAGCTGCGTGAGAGATGAGGGGAACTTGAGCTTCATTTATAAAGTGAAGGTGGAGTTTTCAATTAACCAATACACACTACTATACATATAAAATTGATAACCAACAAAGACCTGTTGTGTAGCACAGGGGATTATACTTAATATTCTGTGATAACTTATAAAGGAAAAGAATCTGAAAAGAAGAGATATATATGTATAACTGAATCACTTTGCAGTATACCTGAAACGAGCACAGCATTGTAAATCAACTATGCTCCAATAAAACAAATAAAGAGAAGAGGGAAACAAGTGGGTGGATTCAACAGACCAGGAAGAATTGATAGGATTCAGCAGTGGATTAGAGAAGGGAGAGATGGATGGTCATGCCTTCGCTGGGAGGGGACACCAAAGAGGAGCAGGTCTGCCGAGGGGGTGATCTTGATTCTGCTCTGGACATGTTGAGTGTGAGTTGCTTTAGAGACAATCAGTTGACAGCTGTTTGGATCTGTAGGAATGTAGAGACACACATGCATGCATGCACACACACACACACACATTTGCACACCTCTATCTGACAGCAGTGATAGCGGTAGTAATTAGTGCCAAGGTGTGAATGAAGAGAAAAAAGAAAAAGTGAAAGCAAAAGAGAAAAAAGGACATAAATAGTAAATGCCTTTATGGCAGGACACCCTCTACGTGTCAGATTTAAGTATTGTACAATACCTGGCATTATTAGGTATTTGTTAAGTGTTCTTTAAAAGTAGTTTCATTACGCTTATGGCAGCATGAATCCCTGTAAAGAGAAGTGGGCTCGCTTTCTGAAGCATTTCAGCTGAACTAAGCTAATGCCTCTTATGTCAATTTTTTTTTTTCATTTTTACTGAAATGTAGTTGATCTAAAATGTGTGTTAATTTCAAGTGTACAGCAAAGTGATTCATATATATATATGTATATACTTTACATATGTATATTCTTTTTCAGATTCTTTTCCATTATAGATTATTACAAAATATTGAGTATAGTTCCCTATGCTATAAAGTATGTCCTTGTTATCTTATATATGTGAAAGTCACTGAGTCGTGTCTGACTCTTTGTGACACCATGTACTATACAGTCTATGGAATTCTCCAGGCAAGAATAGTGGAGTGGGTAGCCATTCCCTTCTCCAAGGGGTCTTCCCAACCCATGGACTGAACCCCCAGGTTGCAGGAAAATACTGGAGTGCGTATCCTATCCCTCCTCCAGCGGATCTTTCCAACCCAGGAATTGAACTGGGGTCTCCTGCATCCCAGGCGGATTCTTTACCAGCAGAGCTATCAGGGAAGCCCTGATATCTTATATATAGTAGTGTGTATATTTTAATCCCAAACTTCTAATCTTTGTCAAATTTAAATGAGAAACTGGAATGGATCAGATAAGCTAAGGAATCTTTTAGCAAAATAATAATAAAGAGCACATACTTGTGTTTTTCAGAGAATGACAATGGACTGTGTGTTCTAGACCTAAATAGAGACCTTTGAGTGTTTCATTTAGCTGGGAGCATTTTAAAATGTGGATCTTAGTAAAACTTAATTTGATACGTTGATTAGATGTGGAATAATACATTTTTATTGATGAAAAGCATGTGTTTTTCATATTTGTGTGACTTTAGAGGTTTAGGACAAATTTTTACACATTTTAGCTATTTCGCAAAATGCAGTCCAGGCCCACTGCCTGTCCACTCAGTTTTAGACTGATCCATAACCCTGGTTCCATGTGTAGGTTTTAATCATCATCTTTTTTATAAAGACAAAGTAAACCCAGAAGAAATCCCTATAAATTCACAATTGTATGCATATAAATTAAATTTTCTACTTTATATCAGGCTAAGTTAATTCACATTATGGATCTACTACATCTAAATGGGAAAGGGTGTAATAGTAAAGTTAAAATTCAATCTAGCCTGTACATAATGTGACTTTCTCTGAATTTAAACTCCGTAATTCAGTACATTGAGATTCTATGTCAATTTTGATTATATGAGTAATATGGTGATGATAAGATAATATCTTGCATTTGTTCCATGCTTTAAAGCAAAGTTAGTGCCTTCATTATACATTGTCTCATTTAGTTCTCCCAGTAAGTATGTGAAGTAGACATATTGTTGTTATTTAGCCGATGGCGAATCTGAGGTTTGTGAAGTTTTATAGCCTAACCCTGCTTGGAAGTAACAGAGCCAGGACTTGAGGCCAGAATTTCACACTCCAAGTTCAAAGATCTTTCCAGTTAAACTTGCCACAAATGGAAGTAGAACCGAGTAATCAAACGACTTGTGCTATGACTTTCCTGGTGGTCCACTGGCTAAGACTCCATGCTTTCAATGCAAAGGGCCTGGGTTCCATCCCTGGTCAGGGAACTAGATCCCACATTCCAAAACTAAGAGTTCGCCTGCCACAGCTAAAAGATCTCCTGTGATGCAACCAAGACAGAGAACGACAAATAAATAGGAAAACAATTTTTTTTAGGTGTTAAAAACAATGACTCTTGCTGTCCCAACTGAGTTACTAAAACAGGATTTGAACAGTTACCTACATGGTTTTCTACATTTCCCACATGGTAGGAGACATCTCTTCCTTCCATGCCTGTATGCAGTGAATCAGCCCCGATGTACAGAGGTAGAATGGGGAGAAGTGATACAGCGGGAGGGACTGGCTAGAAGAACCAACTATTTCATTCAGTGGCCTGCCCCCGGGACTTGGGTCCTCTTTTTTCCCATGATGTTCTTGGGGAGCAAAGTGGGGGAGTCTGAGGCACAGCTTATCTCCTCGTTGTTTCCTACGTGACAGGTGCAGTTTGATGAGCGAGAGGATACCAAGTCCTGCACCATCGTCATCAATGATGACAACGTGTTTGAGAACGTCGAGAGTTTCACCGTGGAGCTCAGCATGCCAGCGTACGCCCTACTAGGGGAGTTCACCCAGGCGAAGGTCATTATCCATGACACTGAGGACGAGCCCACATTAGAGTTTGATAAGAAGACCTACCGGGTCAACGAGAGTGCTGGCTTTCTGTTTGCACCTATTGCAAGAAAAGGTCTGTTGGTGCCCGAGGCGGCAAGGAGCTGTAATAATAGCTAACGTTTATTCTGTCCCTTTCACATGCCACGTGCTCATGTATCATGTTAACTCGTGTGGGGGTGCATCGTGGGTTATCAACTCACTTCAATCCCCAATAACCATCCTCCCTACAGTGAGTTCTACAGAGGGCTTCTCTATTGAAGTTGTTTGCACACCCATTTATTCTTAAATGGGACCAGAAGGCTAGTTACATCTGGCCTTGCAAATGACTCCTGAGCTCAGAGTTCTTAATCAGTCACCCAATCCTAAAATACTTAGTAGCCTTGGTCAAGGCAGGCAGTTCCAGTGTGTAAGAACTGGCTTCCTGTCTTACTTCTTGGGAGACTGAAAATGAATTTAAAGATTTCCCCATGTGAATGTCACATGTAGATCTCAGGTGAGAAATTAACCGTGTGTGAGAAATAAAGGGTGATTCCACTGGGGTGGAAAATCAAAAGATCGTATGGATTTATGATGTGAAATATTGTGACTTTAAAAACACATGGAAATTGAGGGAGGGGCTGTATGTATATGGATTTCTGGTTCACTTTGCTCTATAGCAGAAACTAACACAATTGTAAAGTAATTACACTCCAATAATAAAATTAAAAAAAATTTTTTTTAACGCATGGAAATTAGATCCCTATTCAAAGCCACAACCAGACTGTAAGTGATGATGTCAGGTATTTTGTTGCATCTGCTGATGGTGTGTTAGTGTGGCCAACACTGCGGGTAACACCAACCCTTGGTGATGCCACTCAGAGGACAGGTAAGTCTTGTTGATTGCTCTGGGTCAGCCAGCCGAGCCCAAATAGCCTATCACCCAGGTAAGTGACAGCGCTGATAAGTAAAGTCATTTGTTCAGAGAGGCAGGGTTTTTTGTTTTGTTTTGTCTTCCTTTTTTTTTTTTTATAACAGGCTTGTTTCTCCCTGGGAATTAAATTGCAGAAGTTTAGAAAGGCAGTGAACTGTGCTCATAGCACTGTCTTCAGAACACAATTACTTTTCTACTTAAAGTACCAAATATGTCTCTTCTCCCTCCGCCTGCTGTGGTCTTAAGATGGTGGGCAATGAGTCTTATGAATTAACAGAGCACAAAATTCACAGAATAGGAAATCCATTCCAGATTGTTTGGTGAAGAATCTGGGGTATATGAAATCCTCAAGTGGCTTAGACCACAGGCTTAAGACACTACAAAGCCGGGACATTTCCTGTCAGAGTTTGAATGGAATATGTCAAAAAGAATCACACCCATCAAAATTACCAGAGATTTTAAAACTTGAGAAATGCTCATTCAACTACTTTGGTATTCTTGCCATTTGTGTTTCAGGGGATTCAACCAGCATTGTATCTGTGATTTGCTACACAGTCCCTAAGTCAGCTATGGGCAGTAGCCTCTACGCTCTAGAATCGGGCTCTGATTTTAAATCTAGAGGGATGTCTGCCGAGAGTCGAGTGATATTTGGGCCTGGTGTCACCCTGTCCACCTGTGATGTCATGCTCATTGATGACAGTGAATACGAAGAGGAAGAGGAGTTTGAGATTGCCCTGACAGGTGCTTCTGACAACGCCCGCATCGGAAGGGTGGCGTCGGCCAAGGTGCTCATTGCTGGTCCCAATGATGCTTCTACTGTGTCCTTGGGCAACACGGCTTTTACCATCAGCGAGGATGCAGGTAATGGAGAGCATCTCTGGGCTCACCTCCCTCATCTCCTGACCCCTTCCTTAAATAGTTTCTTCTTAGTTTTGAGAATGCCCTTGGGAGGTTGAGAATCCATTCCTCAGTGACACCATTGTCAGTCTGAGGCAGGTAATACTCAGCATCAAAACCAAGAATGAAAGGCAGTGAAGGCTAGGGAGCTCCATTCACTTATCCTGCTCTGCTTACCGGTGGAAGGGAGAGACCTGACTTAGAGCTCACTGGCTGACCTCTATGGTCCAAAGGGAGGGTGTAGTGCTAAACATTTGGCACGTGAAGGAGGGGGATATGATCTGTTGAAGATGGAGGTAAATTATTTAGTGTACTGCAACTGCCATAACAAATAAATTCAAAATTTCAGTGTTTTAACAATGGAACTCTCATTCCTATAACAGCCCAAGGCAGTCAGTGGGCAGATTTCTTCCACCCAGGTCTCTTCCCTCTTTGGGCTTTGCATGGATCTCAAAGTCTTCCTCATGTTGTTGACAGACATCCTGCTATTAATAGGAGAGTTAGTGGTTGTGCTGAGTGTCTGATGATCTGAGCCCCTGATCAAGACCTTGCACCTCTTTTGAGGTGATATTCTTAGCAATAGTGAAAACTAAGATGTTGGAATATTTACTGAACGCCAGCCACCGTGCCATGTGCATTGCATTCTTTCTTATTCATAGACAAGAGCAAATGGAGTCCCAGAGAGGTGAAATAAATCATCAGCGACCAGCTAATACGACAGAACTGGATTAGAACCCAGACCTTTCTATTATACGTGTTCCCTTCCCCATACAACAAATGCCCAGCCATGACTACTTGTCACCTCACAGCTATTGGCTTGAAAAGTGTGATTGATGGACTTGTCATGTAGCTTTTCTCTGACCTTGATTGTGAAAACAGCTAAAAATTTACATATGTATCATTAGGGCCCTATAAAGTATGTTGTCACAGCGACCAGAAGATGAGCTTCTTTCTGAGATAAGCAATAAGCACATATGGTTTAAGTAATGATGTGTGTAGCACTCAGATAGAATAGGGAAATCACCCAGTTAGGAACATTTAATTAGGGACATTCAGCTCCAGGCCTCATAGAGTCCCCTAGCTGGTTCTTCCTTAATTGGCTATTTCCTAGCTCATCCTTGAGGCCCTCATCTCTGAGTTTCCTTTCCATAAATAGGCTTAAGGTGTTTTTTCAGTGGACCCTCCCCTCTTTGTTGTTGTTGTTGAGTTGCTTACTCATGTTCAACTCTGTGATCCCACGGACTGCAGTATGCCAGGCTTCCCTCTCCTTCACTATCTCCCAGAGTTTGCTCAAACTCATGTCCTTTGAGTCGGTGATGCCATCCAACCATCTAATCTTCTGTCATCCCCTTCCCCTTCTGCCTTCAATCTTTCCCAGCAGCAGGGTCTTTTCCAGTCAGTCGGCTCTTTGCATCAGGTGGCCAAAGTGTTGAAGCTTCAGCTTCAGCATCAGTCCTTCCAATGAATATCGAGGGTTGATTTCCTTTCGTGGACCCTCCCCTCTTAAGTCCACTGTTATCCTGTGAAGAAGCCACAAAACTGCTTTCCCCTAAAGGCTGTCTTCCTAGCACCACCTCCGTGGGGCCCTCCTGCAGGTCTGCTCTTGAACTTCACATCCATACAGCGAGGGATGGTGACTTTTCTGGGCCTCAGAGGGCACACAGGAGTGTCACTGAAGGTGGACTAGGCCAGGTGGCAGGATGGAGCTGCTGCGGGGAGGGAAGACATTGTTCTGAAAACCACACTCACACTCTGGTTCAAGGCTGACCACTGAAACGTATGCTTCTCAATTCAGGTACAGTGAAGATCCCAGTTATCCGCCATGGGACCGACCTTTCCACCTTCACATCTGTGTGGTGTGCCACGCGGCCCTCAGACCCGGCGTCCGCCACCCCCGGAGTTGACTACGTTCCCAGCTCTAGGAAGGTGGAATTTGGACCAGGTGTCACTGAGCAGGTGTGCATGCAGAGGTTGAAGGCCAGATGGGCTGTTCATGTCGTCTCTAGTCTGCTCTCCAAAGTCTCTAGAGGACTCTAAAATATTGAAATATTACTGTCTTCCCTTTCTTCAGACATCTTCCCTTTAAGATGTTTAGAAAAGCTCATGGGTTGATAGACACCAGATTATTAGAAGGGATTACCTGTATGGCACAACTATAGATCCCAAAGGTAATATTGTGAAGTTAATATTGTAATTTTCATCTTTTTAATGTGCCATTTGGGTTCCAACTAGGCAGGATGAGACAAAAACTAGCTTTGTCTATCCTTTCCCTAGCCTTACCCTAATTTGGTGGTGTTGATGTCTGTGTTTCTGAAGGGCTAAGTTGCTGTTACTTTCCCATTCACCTCTGGAACAAGGAAAGGGGAGTATAGAAGAGGTGAAAGACTTGTATTTCAGGACCATTGGAGAGTTCAAAAACAAAAGCCAACAAATAAACTTAGGTCTCTGACAAACTCTCCAAATGCCATTTTTAGCATAATATCCAGCATCATGGATTTAGGGTAGAAACTGCACTTGATTGATTTCAAATGTCTAGCGAAAAAAACACCTAGGGTATGTGATAAATAGATCATCATTTTATGGATTCTAAAAATTTACTTTAAGACCAACAGAGAAATGCAAGTTGGTACTTTTGTCCTAATCTCCCAAAGGCAAATGAGTGCTGGGTGGTGAGTATTCTGTGAGATTTGCTTTGATTTTTCCTCTCTTTTTTAAATAGAAAAAACTAATTATGGAGGGGCATGTGCTAAGTCAAGGTGTAATTGACATATAACATTATATCAGATCCAGGTGTACAACATAATGTTTCAATATTTGTAAATATTGTGAAATGAACACCATAATAAGTCTAGTTAACATCCTGATTTTTCTCCTAGTATTGCACCTTGACCATCTTGGATGACACTCAGTATCCAGTGATTGAAGGGCTGGAGACATTTGTGGTTTTCCTCAGCTCCCCACAAGGGGCCGAACTGACCAAACCCTTCCAGGCTATCATTGCAATTAACGACACATTCCAGGATGGTAAGAGATTGGGGATACCAGCTGGTGGCTCAGATCAGACTTCTATTATTTCCTTAACATCCACATACATTACATTGGAACTCATTCACATTTTCTTTTTTTTTCCATTTATTTTTATTAGTTGAAGCATTATTACTTTACAGTATTGTAGTGGTTTTTGCCATACATTGACATGAGATAGCCATGGATTTACATGTGTTCTCATTCACATTTTCACTCAAGAAATGTGTGTGTGTGTGTATGAGTACATGCATGTGCACATTTTTACATAGGAATATGGGGCAGAAATAATCATTCATGTTTCTGGCACTCTGCTAGGCACACTTGGGGATATTGCATGTTCAGTTCCAGGTCACCACTTTAAAGTGAGTATTGCAATAAAGCGAGTCAGATGAATTTTTTGGTTTCCCAGTGTATATAAAAGTTTACACCATACTGTAGTTTATTAGTGGCTTGCATTGTGTCTAAGAAAAACAAATGGAAGATGGCGGAGGAATAAGACGGGGAGACCACTTTCTCCCCTACAAATTCATCGAAAGAACAATTGAACGCTAAGCATTCTCCATAAAAAAAACAAATGTACCTTAATTTTAAAGTATGTTATTGCTAAAATGCTTATCATCTTCTGAGCCTTTCACAAATCATAATCTTTCCTTCAGTAGAAACATCAAAGATCACTGATCACAATCACTGTAATGAATATAATAATAATGAAGAAGTTTGAAGTATTGGGAGAGCTACCAACATGGAACATAGAAACACAAAGTGAGCAAATGCTGTTGGGAAAATGGCGCCATAGACTTGTCCAACACACGATTGCCACAAATCTTTGATTTGTCAAAAATATAGTATCTACAAAGGGCAGTCAAGTGAAGTACAATAAAATGAGGCATGCCTGGTTGGGCTCTGTCCTCAGAAGCTCAAGCTCTAGTTGGGGGATCAGACCCTCAGAAAGAAAAAGTAGAATATATTATGATAAACGATCTAATAGTGTGATAAATCTAGTAGTATACAGGAGAGGGGACTGAATCATAACTAAGTGTGGAAGAATCATAGATTTCACAAAGGAAGTGATATTTAAGCAGAGTCTTCAGGTGTGGTAGGAGTTTATATAAGGGATTATAAAGCTTTTCTAAATGGAGAACTATAGTATATGAAAGGTATACAATTTTTAAAGACACATATTTGGAGAACAGTGAGATGCTTACTTTTGCTTTGAGCCTGGCAGGAGGTGAATGGAAGGAAATGAAGTGGAAAGACATGTTGGAGATAAGTTCTAAGATGTCTTATGTTCCAGCATCAGAAATTTATAGGTAAAGAGGAGCAGCAGATGCTTCTAAGCAGAGGAGTGGTGTGATTTTTGTTAGAGGAAACTAATACTGACCATCCTGTGGGTGATGTTCAGGAACAAATAGACACAGCCACCTGAATAAAGTGGGGCTAGTGGTAAAGAACCCACCTGCCAAGGCAGGAGATGTAAGAGACGCAGGTTCAATCCCTAGGTCGGGACGATCCCCTGGAGGAGGGCATGGCAACCCACTCCAGTATCCTTGCCTGGGGATTCCCATGGACAAAGGAGCCTGGTGGGCTACGGTTCAGAGGGTCACAAAGAATCGGACACAACTGAAGCGATTGAGTACACACACAAGCACCTGAACAAAAATATAAGTGTCCAATGAAGAGCTGTCCTAAGTAACAAGAGAGTGAACAGGAAAGGACAGTTGTTTCTGGGAAAGAATTGGTGAAATCTAAAACCGCCAGATTCTAGAGTTGGGTAGAGAAGATCAAGTCAAACCTCTCACTTCGACATAGAACCCATGATGACATTCTTCAGTGACTATAGAGTCATCAAAGAAGGAACAGGAAGCCCAGCAGGGTTATCGTTAATGTCTTTGTTTTTAAATAATTTATTCACTTAAATAGTTTTTAAAAAGGCTTCCTAGGTGGCTCAGTGATTAAAAAAAAATCCATCTGCCAATGCGGGAAACATAGGTTTGATCCCTGGGTCAGGAAGATCTCCTGGAGAAGGAAATGGCAACCCACTCCAGTATTCTTGGCTGGACAATCCCATGGAAGAATCCCAATGGACAGAAGAGCCTGGCAGTTTACAGTCCTTGGGGTCACAAAGAGCAGAACATGACTGATCAACTGAGCACACAAAACTAAGAAAAAGTAAATAGCAAAAATCATACTATGAAAATTGTCTTCCTTCTACCCCTGTCTCCCTAGCCTCCATCTCCCCTCCCTGAAGACATCTATTTGAAGCAGTTTTTTGTTATATGTTTTCATATATCCAAAATAGCATCTTATTTTAGACTTAGGTTTATTGAGGTCTAACTTACATGAATCAAAGTTCACCCACCACCACAAACCAAGATGGTGAACAGTTCCGGCATCCTACTTCCCTAAGTGGTTTGACCCTATTCTTCCACAGCAGAGAGTGTAAGTTTGATCCCTAGTAGGAGAAGTAAGATCCCCTGGTAGGGGATCCCGCGCGCTACCTACATGGTCCAAAAAAAAAAAAATCCTTACAAAGTCAGCTTTCAGCCTCCCAAAGTGATCTTAGCTCCTTTTGTCTTTCTCCACTGGGCTGAAATGGCCGTTAAATCATCTAAGTGGCTCATCTCAGAATATGTTCCGTTTTCACCTTTCTCTTCTGCTCTGATGCCTAGAATTGGACTTGGTGTTACCCTGAAGATGCTGAGCAAGGCAAGAAAGGCCTTGTAGCTGCTACTGCACGGCAATCTTGTATGTGCGGTCATGTCTCACCATTAACTCAAAGGAGCAGAGGCAGGAGTTTTCCTCAATCTCAGATTTAACCATCACCCATACAGAGTCCACCGCATTGCAGGAGGGTTGTGTTTGCACTCCCTTTGTCAGTTACTAAGATTAGCAGGTGATATTTTCCATGCCTAAGACTGGTGCTTAACACTAGGGATTACAGGGGAGTAGAGAGTGGAGTCCTGCAGTCTATTTCAGAACACCAGACTTAACACAAATGTGAGGATAACTGCAAATTGATGTTCTTAGAGAGGTGTTGGCAATAGTGCATGATACCCACTGCGAGTCCGTGAGCCTTCCAGGAGCCTTCTGGGAGCCTTCCTTTTCCCATTTACACATCCTATCCTAGTGAAATAGAAGTGATTCTGCAGTCAGACAGAACTGACCCTCAGGGCCAGCACCCCTACTTCCTCTGAGGACTGTAGTGGGGTCCCCAATCACCAGGCCATGGACCTGTACTTTATCCATGACCTGTTAGGACCCGGGGCACACAGCAGGAGGTGTGCGGCAGACTGGGGAACTAAGCTTCATCTGTATTTGCGGCCACTCCTCTTTGGACTTCCCCTGGTGGCGCAGACAGTAAAGTGTCTGCCTACAATGCGGGAGACCCGGGTTCAACCCCCAGGTCAGGAAGATCTCCTGGAGAAGGAAATGGCAACCCACTCCAGTATTCTTGCCTGGAAAATCCCATGGATGGAGGAGCCTGGTAGGCTACAGTCCATGGGGTCACAAAGAGTCAGACACGACTGAGCGACTTCACTTTCTTTCACTTTCCCCTTTGGTCTCATTACCACCCAAGCTCCGCCTCCTGTCAGATCAACAGTGGCATTAGATTCTCATAGGAGCGTGAACCCTACTGTGAACTGTGCATGCGAGGGATCTAGGTTGTGTGCTTCTTATGAGAATCGTCCCAAACCCGCCCCCTGGCCCCAGCTCCTGTTCGTGGAAAAGTTGTCTTCCATGAAGCCAGTCCCTGGTGCCAAAATGGTTGGGGATCGCTGCCTTGTAGGGTTTGTCAAGAGGATAAGAAATGACATATATGGAAGCCCTTAACACAGTGCCTGACCCGGGTTGGGCCCTTTTTACATCTTAACCTCCATGCATAAATTTGTCCCCAAATCCAGATTGCCTTTCCCTTATCTCCACTTAGCCTCCCACTGGACTGAGGGCTCCTTAAAAGCAGAGCCTCTTCCCAGAAGACAGTCACAAGAAGTGCTCACCCACTTCTTTCTTTTCTCCCCCCCTCCTTTTTTTTAGCAGATAGTCATGGGAAAGGAAAGTGAAGTGAAAGTGAAGTTGCTCAATCATGTCCAACTCTTTGCAACCCCATGAACTGTAGCCTACCAGGCTCCTCCACCCATGGGATTTTCCAGGCAAGAGGACTGCAGTGCTTTGCCATTTTCTTCTCCAGCGGATCTTTCCAACCCACGGATCGAACCTGGGTTTCCCGAATTGCAGGCAGACGCTTTACCCTCTGAGCCACCAGGGAAGCAATAGGCTTGGGAATATGTGTTAAATAGAAGGAAAAGGGAAAGAAGTCTTTTACATCTCAAGAGAAATCTGAGGTTGATTAATACATGACAGGGCCCAAACATTACCACTTTAGCTTTTCATTCACCTCCACCTTGATGCCTGTCAAGCCAGCAAAAAAATCAATCCAAAGCATTAGATAAAATCTGCCATGAGCAGAAAAGTTTTCCTGCTTGTGTTGCTTTCTGCCTGGCAATAAGCTCCCTTCTTGTCTTCATGTGCAAGGTCATGTCATTCCCACCCCTTTCTTAGAAGCACAGACAGTTGTTCTGGATGGAAAGAGTCCCAGATGGGTACTGTGCAGGACCTCATACCAAAGTCACTCATCTTTTTAGAGATATCTTCTGGGTTTTTCTTTAGTGATAAATGGTAACAGTTAGGCTTAGCTCAGATAATAGATTTGCTTTATATTTGCCAATGAGAGCTTTTTACATGTTGTCTTGCACAGAGCTTTGTGCTCACCTCCTTCTGTTCGTTCCTTTCAGTTTGGGCAAGGCATGTCCAGGAGGCAGCCAGGAAATATGTGTTTTAGCTTTAAGGTCATCTTCCTGCAGCTCCAAAGACACTTTGACATATGACTGGACAGATAACTCCCTCTTTGTATTTTTCATAAAGAAAATAATAACTGTCACTCAGCAAAATGTTGGTCTCAGAAGGAGACACGCTTTAATGCAGACTGTTACCTAAGGCCTTGTAGGAAACGAGGAGGAAAAGCTGATCCAATGTATGCAGAAGCCTGGAGATGGGAAGCAACACACAGCATGATAGAGTCATTCCTGCCAACATTTATTTCAAATTTTGATGCTGGAGAAGACTTGAAAGTCCCCTGGACAGCAAGGAGATTAAACCAGTCAATCCTAAAGGAAATCAATCCTGAATATTCACTGATGCTGACTAATGCTCCAATACTTTGGCCACCTGATGCAGAGAGCCAACTCATTGGAAGAGACTCTGATGCTGGGAAAGATTGAGGGCAGGAGGAGAAGGGGATGACAGAGGATGAGATGGTTGGATGGTATCACTGACTCAATGGACATCAGTCTGAGCAAACTCAGGGAGGCAGTGAAGGACAGGGACGCTGCAGTCCACGGGGGTCACAAAGAGTTGGACACGCCGTAGGGACTGAACAGCAACAATCAACATTTGAGTGCCTTCTATTTACTGTATTGAGCACCAATCTCATTCAATTCAATCCTTCCAATAATTTCACAAGTTAGATATTAACATTCCAATTTACATATTTAAAAAAAAGGAAAAGCAAGGCTCAGAATCTATGTAACTTTTCCTGTGGAGAGAGACTTCCAGTTTCCTTAGTCATGTCTGACTGTGACCCCATGGACTGTAGCCCACCAGGCTCCTCTCTCCATGGGATTTCCCAGGCAGAAATACTGGCATGGGTTGTCGTTTCCTTCTCCAGGGGATCTTTCTGACCCAGGGATGGAACCCTTGGCTTCTGCATTGGCAGGCAGATTCTTTAACACTGCGCCACTCACTAGTCAAATACAGCTTGTGGGTATGTTTTGTTTGGCTGCAATAGTTTTGGCCTGAATGGAATTTCTTTTAACTATTTTAATTGCTTGCTATTTTGAAATTTAGGAGCTATGACCTAAAAATGCAGATCTCTGGCTTTGTTCAAAAATAGGGAGACCTGCCAACAAAAGAATGAAGCTAAGGGGCAGCCCTCTTTAAACACAACCCGCTCTTTCCTCTTTACCAGTTGTCCTTGTTCTTCTCTATTGTCTTTCTGACCCAGCACCCATGTGAGTGGTCATTTATCATCAGGTTTACACTGCTGTTTTCCTCTTTGTAGCCTTAGAAGGAATGTGAACTTTTTGGGGTTCTCAGGTCTCAAAATTTTCCTTCTACCTGGCTCGTATCTTTACTTGCATCACCTATCTGCATTTCAGATGGTGACTGTTCCCTGAAGCTGAGCAAACTTGGTTTGTTCTATTTTGTTGGAACTACACTCACAGTGGAGCAGTCTTTCATGGTGGCTCAGAAAGTAAACAATCTGCCTGCAATGCAGGAGACTGGGGTTCGATCCCTGGGTTGGGAAGATCCCCTGGAGAAGAGACTGTCTATCCACTCCAGTATTCTTGTCTGGAAGATCCCATGCACAGAGGAGCCTGGTGGGCTACAGTAGTCCATGGGGTCACAAAGAGTGGGACACAACTGAGCGACCAGCAGTCACTTCACTTTCATTCACATTCACGGTGGAAGCAGTTTCTTGGTGCTGAGAGCAGCAGGCAGGCCTTGAAATCTGCGGATTGCCCGTGATTTATCAGCCTCTGGGGGTCCACAGGGACACCTTCCTGCCGGCTTGCCGAGGGCCCACAAGCACTATCGCCACCTCCCTCAGTGTCCCACTAACAATGCCTGCATCTTTCGTTCTCTTACCCAGTGCCCAGCATGCAGTTTGCCAAGGATCTGCTCCTGGTGAAGGAGAAGGAGGGCGTCCTGCACGTGCCCATCATTCGGAGTGGAGACCTGAGCTACGAATCATCGGTGAGGTGCTATACTCAGGGCCTTTCAGCTCGGGTCATGGAGGACTTTGAGGAGAGAAGAAATGCAGACTCTTCACGGATTACGTTTCTCAGAGGGGAGAAGGTAAGTGGATTCGTGGTGGCTGAAAGATGGGCTTCTCTCCTTCCTTGATGCCTTTACTTGTCCATACTGAAGTAATTCAGACAAACTCTGAACATCCTAAGATGCTTCTAATTAATTGTTCATATTGGGTTTGGCCAAAAAGTTCGTTCAGAGTTTTCCATTACATCTTATGGGAAATGAAAAAACATTTTGACCAACCCAATACTTTCAATGATATCATCTCTTCTAGGTAGCCGTCTTCTCTGTTTCCCACTTAGCACCAGCTACCTATGTTATTGGTTGAGCTAGGAAGTTTAGATGATGTACAGTCTGTTTGGAATTTAGCAGAATCAGATGACTAGGGACTTCTCTTAATCTGAAACTACACTGAAGAGGAATGCACTCAACAAATGTTGCCTAGAGAAGGAGGCAGTTTTCTAATACCTGGGTCTTAGTTTCAGGGCAGCACACATTCTGGTATAGGGGCTGCAGTCCAGGACTGCACAGGTAGAGTTGAGCAGATTCAGGTCCGGGGAGTATTTTCTTGGTAATATAATGCAAAGTGATGTATACAGACGCGGGAACTCCTGAGAAAGTCCAGTCACTACATATGGCTGCATCATAATCAAATAGGGTTTCCCTAGTGGCTTGGTTGACTTCCTTGGTGGCTCAGATGATAAAGCATCTATCTATAATGCAGGAGACCCAGGTTCAGTCCCTGGGTTGGGAAGATCCCCTGGAGAAGGGAATGGCAACCCACTCCAGTACTCTTGCCTGGAAGATTCCATGGACAGAGGAGCCTGGTGGTCTACAGTCCATGGGGTTGCAAAGAGTCGGACACGACTGAGCAACTTCACTCACTTCACTCAGTGGCTCAGTGTAAAGAATCCACTTGCAATGCAGGAAACTCGGGAGACACAGGCTTGATCCCTAGGTTGGAAAGATCCCCTGGAGGAGGAAATGGCAACCCATTCCAGTATTCTTGCTGGGAAGGTCCCATGGACAGTGGAATGTAGCGGGCTGTAGTCCATAGGGTGACAAAGAGTCAGACATGACTGAGCACACACACACATCAGAACCAAGCGGGCAGCCTCAGTGTATATCCAAAGCATGGATTGAATGGGAGTTGTATTTCCCCATTTTTTGGATCTGGAGTTTCAGATGACTAAGTCAGTTGTGGCCCTGATTACAAGGTCACGGCCCTTGGTTCAAAGTATGCAGTTCCCATGGGTCAGTTCAAGGCCTTTTCTTATTTTATTGATTGATTAATTTCATTTTACCGCTATTCTGCAGACAGTCACAGTCCTTCCCCATCTGAGGTCATCAATCCATTGTCTGTTAATGTGTGTCTCTTATTTTGTATTTATTCTTTGAAAATGCCTCATTCTTTATATATATAATTTTTAATTTATAAAACTGCTACTGTGTTATATTTTTTCACACATTTTCTGTGTTTTCTCAGCAATATGTTTTGATATCTGTGCATGTCAGTTATGTGTATATCTAATCTGTTGCTTCAAACTGTTGCCTAGTATTTCATGATGTGCATTTACTACTTTTTACCCATTCACTCTCAGTAATGGACAGTGAAGAGTCTCCATTTTAGTTCCCAGTCACCTCCTAACACTCTGCCATTACTCACAGTACCACTCGGCAAATCCTCCTACCTGTCCACTTACTCAGCGGCAAAATTGCTGGACCACAGGGCATGAATGTGCCTAATTTGAAAAAAAAAAATAGTATTAGAATACTTTCCAAAATGTCACTAACAGGACATGAAGGTTGTTAAAACCCTACATCCTCTTCTATATTTCTCCAGTTACTGATTTTTACTAATCTGATATGTATAAAGTTATATCTCACTTCAATTTGCCTTTCTCCAATTATTTCTATGATTTGCTCAGATGGCAAAGAATCCATCTGCAATGTGGGAGACCTGGATTTGATCCCTGGGTTGAGAAGATCCCTTGGGGGAGGGCATGGCAGCCCACTCCAGTATTCTTGCCTGGAGAATCCCCGTGGACAGAGGAGCCTGGCAGGCTACATTCCATGGGGTTGCAAAGAGGTCAGATACAACTGAGTGACTAAGCAAAGCACATGCTTGTTAGTTCATGGAGTTTCCTCTTATAGAATCTATTATTTTTACCCTTTGTTACTTATTTTATTGTATTGCTATCTTTTTCTTACTTATTTGCAGTAGTTTCTTGTGTACTCTAAATATTCTTAATATTAATAATTCTAAGTAGTAATATTAATCCTTGCCAACTTTAGACATTTTAGCTACTATAAGCATAGTTTCCTTTTCTGTCACTCATCTACTACCTTTGACTGTGGTGTTCTTAGTTGGACAGAAATATTCATTTTAATACAATCAAGCATATGAAGTTCAGTTCAGTTCACTTCAGTTGCTCAGTTGTGTCCAACTCTCTGCGGCGCCATGGACTGCAAGCATCTGAAAGTTTTGCCTTGTGATTAGTTCTTTTGAAGTTTAGCATAAGAAGACTTTAACCATCACAGGTCACCCCAGATTCTTCCTCCATTCTCTACCACCAAAAGAAAGTAATAGTTTCCTTCTCTGAGGCTCTCAAGTCTTTTATGCACGCATGATTCATAAAACCCCTGTCTTAGTTTTGTATTTTATGGGAATTTTACTGGTGGCAGGTTGAAACACATATCAAAACACACACACACATAAGCACTGTAAATACGATCTTCAGCTTTGAGTCTGCATGTCTGTATTTGTTTTAAACTCAAAAGAGGATCTCTGCCTATCCAAGAGGCAGTTTATAATTTAAAAAAATCATAAAGAAAATACAGCTTAATAGTCTAGATGTTACCCACATGGCAGCCTATTCATAAGCACGTTTTGGAATCTTCATCTCCTTCATCATGCTGAGGAATGTCTTTGGAACTTGTCATTTACTAGAATGTCCTTTTTTTTTTAAATTTATTTTTAATTGCAAAATAATTTCTTTACAGTGGTTTCTGTCATAGAACAATGTGAATCAATCATAAGTATACATTATATCCCCCCATCCTGCACCCCCCAGGAGGAAAGGGTGGGATGAATTGAGAGAGTAGCATTGAAACATATTTATTACCATATGTAATGGACATGTTGCTGTATAACAATGCAACTAATGTTGCAACAAATTAGTTGCAATGCAACTAATAACAATGTTGCTAATGGAATGTTGCTGTATAACACAGGGAGAATGTCTTTTATTTTTAAGATATACTGAAGAATCATTACTAAATTCATGCTTTCCATAAAGAAATTCTTATTGTAAGAAAAATGTGAGAAGGATAATAAAAGGGAGCATTCTTCAGGGACTTAAAACCAGGTTAGCAAACCACAAGTAAATGTTCACAGAGATAGTCTCCCTCCATTTAATATGACTTAGGAGGTGTGACAGTGAGAGCTCCATATCCACATATCCTATGCAATATGGTAGTATAGTGAGTTTAAGATCAGCCAACTGCACAGGGATGACCCAGAGGGATGGGATGGGGAGGGAGGTGGAAGGGGGATTCAGGATGGGGAAGACATGTAAATCCATGGCTGATTCATGTCAATATATGGCAAAAACCACTACAGTATTGTAAAGTAATTAGCCTCCAACTAATAAAAATAAAGGGAAAAAATGAAATAGATCAACTGGAAAAAAAAAAGATCAGCCAACTAAAAATAATCACACTTCATATCATATGACTATGCTATCAAGGCTGCTCTGTTGTTGTGACCTTATTTTACATTTCCGCAAGAAGACAGTCCTCAGTAGAGAATATTCAGTTTAGGAAGCACTTGATTTCTTTCCATCCAACAGGGATTTAGATTGTGTTCTCAGACATTCCGTTCTCAGCAGTTTTCAAGTGAGACACCATTTGGCAGCTCTTTATAGAGTTCTGCAGCTTTTAAAGGTGTCTTTAGCCTAACAGGAAGCTTTTCTGACTTCCTTATAAGACTCCTCAATTTTCACAAAGGAAAAAGGACATTATTCATCTCTCCAGGAATTCTAATCCATATGTTAAACCCTCACCATCAGATATCTACCTATCATAACATGTGCAAGGGTATAAATGAGTCCAGGCAAAATGTGGGGAAGCACACAAATGTTCTCCAAATGCTTTTTAGTGATTCATTTTATTGCTCTAGTTTTTCATAACTTATGACCAATAATTTTAAATGGTTTGGAATGTTGAATGCAAAGCTCCACATATAGGTAGGTCCATCCAAGCATGACTGTTAAGACTTAAATGTTCTATTTTATAAATGAAATGGTTGGAATCCTTTTGAATTTGTGTTGGCTCTTTGATGCTGCAAGAAGAAAAATGACTTTCCAGGGAAAGGTGAGCGAATGATTGATACCTCGCTGCAAATTTTAATCTCTCTTGTGCTCTTGGCTCTAGATGAAGAACTGTACTGTCTATATCCATGATGACTCCATGTTTGAGCCTGAGGAACAGTTCAGGGTCTACCTTGGACGTCCTCTTGGGAATCACTGGAGTGGAGCCAGAGTTGGAAAGAATCACATGGCCACCATCACCATATCTAATGATGAAGATGGTAACAGAAGAAATTGCCTTTAGTTTCTCTTAGGTTGATGGGACTTGAACTGATGTTTCATAGTAGCATTTTAATGTAATTATAGGTGATTTGAAAAATGAAAGCACTGTAAAAATGTCTACTGATAACAGTTGGAGTATTAATACAAAAAAAACCAGTCTTGGAATATTTATAGAAAGCAATTATATTCCAATTAAAAAAAAAATGTTGGCAGCAAGGGATCCCTTCCACAGAGCTCTGATTTGTTTTTTAACTATAATTTTAAAAAAATTTTTTAATTAAAAATTTTTAAACATACACTTTTTTTTAAATATGCATTTTTAACTGGATGTTTATTTGGGCTTTTTTGTTGCTGCTGTGTGACATGTAGACTATTAGTTCCCTGACCAGGGATCGAAACCACGGCCCCTGCATTGGAAGCAGAGAGCCTTAACCAGTGAACCACCAGGGAAGTCCCAGAACTCCAGTATGTTTAATCACATTGTTCCCTAGCACATCACCAAGACATAAGGAATGAGTGTGGTTAAGAGCTAGGACAGAAACACTAAGACAGACACAGAATAAAAACTGTTTAAGTCCCAGCAATTCAGGAGCAGGGCTGGAAATACAATCAGAGTCAGTTGAATCCAATGAACTGATTTAAAACACTGCCACCTTCCTGGAAAAGTCTAATTTCTCAGTTTTATTCTCTCTAATTGATTTGGCCTACTAACCTAAAAATACTTGAATTCTTTAGTCAAGTGCTAGCAAAGGATGACCCAGGCACCAAAGAAAACAAAATCTGTTTTAAATAGGGACATAGCTGTTTTATTAAAATAGATACTTTAATGAATGAACAATAATACTACAACTAGTAATAGCTATTTTTATTGAATACTGATTATATACCAAGAACTGTTATAAGCATATTATTTTAAAAAAAAAAAACTTTATTTTACTTAATCCTGACAGTAACCTCTTGAGGTAGGCGTTATTATCCCCATGTTATAGGTAAAGAAATTGAACCCCAGCAAAGTTATCTTATTTATGCTTTTATTTACATAGCTGTAAGCAACAAAACTGCATGTAAAACCTTATTTTATCAGATTCTAGAATCTACACAAAAGTCAGTGAGACTCAGGGCTTTTAATATAAAATAGAGACTAAGTTGAATTGGGGGGAAAAAAATTTAAAAGCCAGCCTCGAAGTTGAATTAGCCCTTTACCAAAGGAGACAGGTTCACGCAGTACTTAGATTCTCCTGTTCACACAGTACTTAGATTGTACTTAGCCCAGTACTTAGGCTCAGAGAGGTCACCAGTTCACACTGTTACAGTGACACACGTTAGTCTCAGAGAGCGTACACAGTAAAACTGTGAAGTCTCAAATGCGACGTATCTTTGACAATTAGGGAGAATGGATTTTCTGAGAGAGAAGAGGGAAGTGAACATAAAGACACCAGACATCTCTGGAAAAGTCTATGTTTTTAGAGGATATAAGGTTTGTAGTTGCTCCCAATTTTTCAGTCTTCTTATCTCACTGTTTCCACCACTACCTCATTGCCCTTCCCCATGAGAATATGATACAAAGGAAGGCATGGTTCAAACTTTAAAAAAAAAAAAACAATTATTCATTTCACAGCAATGAGGGTAGTACTTCAAATCAGATTGTGTTCGGAAATCCTATGTTTCTGAATTATTGTTGTAGCAGCCACTAAAACTACTCATTCTTTTTTTTTAACTTTTTCTTTTGTATCGGGTATGGCCAATTAACAATGTCGTGACAGTTTCCAGTGAACAGCGGAGGGACTCAGCCATACATATACATGTATCCATTCTCCTCCAAACCCCGCTCCCATCCAGGCTGCCATATAACATTGAGCAGAGTTCCCTGTGCTATGCTGTAGGTTAGCTTGTTGGTTACCCTTGTTGGTTACCCATTTTAAATGTAGCAATGTGGACATGTCAATCCCAAACTCGCTTACTACCCCTTCTCCCCATCCTTTCCACCTGGCAACTGTAAATTCATAAAACTGCTCATTCTTAACTAACCTGTGATAGTTATAGATAAAGCTAAGGGTGGGGGAAAGTGAAAGCAGTGGGAGGGAGGATCCAGAAGATGGAGATGAGAGATAGATTTGGTAAATGTAAGCAGTATATAAATGAAATTCATATCTTATAAATGAAAAAGAGTTGGTTCATACAATCAGTCAATAGATATTTATCAAGGGCTTACTCTGTCTCAGTCCCTTGATAAATTGTGCAGATTTAAAAACATGCTGTGAGCTACAAGGCCTAGATGGAAACTTGGATAGCATGCATTTCAAAGTGCTTAAAAATGTTTCCTCCACTGTACTGTTTTTAATAAGAAATATGTGAGAAACAGCTCCTGCAGAATCACAGATGAATTCCTTTTTCCAAAGTATTGCTTAGGGGTAAATACAGATTGATTTTTATGACTGCAAGCTATTTTGCCTTTTGTATTGCTAACTAGTGTGAAAAATTCCCTCTTGTTGTTATAAAGTGTTTTCATGGGAGTTGGAATCCTTTTTCACTTTTCCAACTTGCTCTTGTTTTCCTAACCTTTTTTCCTAGCCCCTACCATCGAATTTGAAGAAGCCGCATATCAAGTCCGGGAACCCTCGGGGCCAGACGCCACAGCCATTCTGAACGTCAAGGTGATCCGCAGAGGGGACCAGAACAGAACATCCAAGATTCGCTGTAGCACACGGGATGGGTCAGCCCAGTCTGGTGTGGATTACTACCCAAAGAGCCGAGTCTTGAAGTTCAGTCCTGGTAATTGAATGCCAATCCCAATTAGTAGGTCTTCCTTAAAGTGTTAATCAATTAGTTGTCTGATGCTTTGCAACCCCATAGACTGTAGCCCACCAGGCTCCTCTGTCCATAGAATTTCCAAGGCAAGAATACTGGAGTGGGTAGCCATTTCCTTCTCCAGAGGATCTTCCTGATCCAGGTATCAAACCTGAGTCTCCTGCATTGCAGGCAGATTCTTTACTGTCTTGAGTCACCAGGGAAGCCTCATAGGTATTACTTAAGAGAGAGGCTAATATCTTATATTTGAAGGAAAAAATAAGCAGAAAATTAAAAAAAAAAAACAATATGTCCAATAGCGTGAAGTACTTATTAAGCACACATCTGAGGTTGTGGGAATCTTTAAATTTTTTAATTAGTAAAAATGGCATATGATAAGAAAAAAAAAAAAGAAGCGCCTTACTTCAGAGCATCCTAGACATTTTGGATCATTCAAAAGGATTTTTTTTTGTTAGCCTATGATTTGGTTGAGCAATGGGAGCACTTGAGTTTTTAAAAATATATGTGATGCCATCATTCAGCAAGCATTGGTACAGATCATTGTGCTGGGCACTTCAGGGCTTACTCAACCCAGAAGGCACAATCTCCATGTTCAAGTGGCTTGACATCTATTAGGAGATGCTATGAAGATGAGTCATGGAAGAGAGAAAGCTGAGATTCTCACAACCAGCTGTTTAATTGTCTGATGTATTTACTTAATGGAAGGAATCAGACAGAAAAGGAGCTGAGTTTTACACTCGACTTTTCCCCAAAACTTTCTGGAGCAGTATAAGGTGAAAAGGCTGGTGTAGAGCCTGGCACTCTTTGTGATGTAGCCAGAAGTGGGCAAAAGTGGTAGAAACCCTCTTCAGAGATGGCATGGCAGGAGGAGGGAGGAAATGCAGGGGTGTCTCTGTATGTCTCCATCACCCCACTGAGCTTCAGAGGGCTTTTTGGCACCATCCCTTATGCATCTGGCTAATTTTACAAGGAAGGCAGGTACCCTTCCTCAACATCCTCACAAGGACCTCTCCTCCAAGAGTCTTAGCTTCTTTCTCTTCTGCATAATGATCTGGGGGAAAGGCAGGTCCTAGAAGTAACCTAGCCCAGGTGTCTATAGTAGAAAGAAGGCCATCTTGACCACTGCCAGGGATAGCTGCACCCTCATAGAATCACTTTACATAAAACAAGGGGGTTTCTGAGCTCTAACCCTCCCCATTCCAGGCTGCCAAACCGTCACATTATCATCTTGGCAGAGACGGCCCCGTAGGTAACCTTTGAGCTGTCGCTTCCCAGGAGACAGCTTTGAAGGGTGTCTAGTGTGTAAGCACTCACTGCCACACAGGGGCTTGTACCTAAGTGTAAAAGGGAAAGAAAAATTAGGCAAAAAACCGCATAACCAGGGTGGAGTGTTTTTTAGATCATAGATTTTTATTACCACCAGCTAGTGTCAGGCAGGGGCCATTAATCCTCATATGGTGTTGAATAGTAAATCTGTAGGACTGAGCCTCCACCATAGGTGGAATTTCATGTATAAAACAGATCCCTCACTGGAGATGGGGCTAAAGTGATTAGCAGCCACTGCATTGATAGAAACCCTCTGAGAAGAAAGGGCAGATTTCAACATAAAGCCTCAGCAGGTCCAACCTGCACTGTCTTAAGTGGGTCACTGATGAGGACCTTTGCTCTCTCTGTTCTGTCCTTGGCAAAGGTGTGGATCACATCTTCTTTAAAGTTGAGATCCTGTCCAACGAAGACCGGGAGTGGCATGAATCATTCTCCCTAGTCCTTGGCCCGGATGACCCAGTGGAAGCAGTTCTTGGCGACGTGACCACGGCCACAGTGACGATTCTAGACCAGGAGGCAGCTGGGAGTCTCATCCTGCCAGCACCACCCATTGTAAGTCTCATGACCCAAAGGACGGTTGCTTCTGTCTTAGGCATTAGATGAGAACCTGAGAGAAGCAGGACTGCCAGGACTGCTCGTGTCCCCTTCCCCAAATCACTCACTCCCATCACCTCCAGGGTCATCTGGCAATGTCTGGCGACATCTGTGGTTATCATGCCTGTCACACTGGGTGCTGTTAGCATCCAGGGGATGGAAGTCAGGGATGCTGCTGAACATCCTACAGTACACAGAACAGTCCCCCTTCCCCACAACAAAGAGTTGCCTGGCTCAAAAGTCAGTAGTGCTAAAGAGGAGAAACCTTGTTTCCACATAAGAGTGAGACCAAACTATGTTGAGCCCTTCGTCTGACAAAGACAGTACAATTCCAATGATCTTCTCATTTCTTTGGTGAGACCTAGAAGAGTAAAAATGGAATATTCCCCCATATCTATTACCTTACATGCTCGCCACGGGCATAGAATCAAGTGTCTATGGAGATGTACCACCATGTTTCCCAATTTGGGGATGAACAGAATGAATGCACCAACTTCACAGTTAGGAGGAAAATGCATAGAGGTTGCCATGTGGTTTGTCCCTTAGTCATGTCCAACTCTTTGCAACTCCATGGACTGTAGCCCACCAGGTTCCTCTGTTCATGGGATTCTCTAGACAAGAAGACTGGATTCCCTTCTCCAGGGGATCTTCCCGACCCAGAGATCGAACCCGGGTCTCCTACGTTGCAGGTGGATTTTTTACTGTCCGAGCTACCAGGGAAGCTCCCAGAAGTTGCCAAGGGGAATTTAACATAGGATAATGAAACAGTCTGAATAAGTCTTATAACCTCCCCCGACTAATCTCATACAGTAGAAAGACCATTTCAAAATATGTCTCTTTGACCATGGAAGAAATACATATGTATGTTCAGTTGCTAAGTCATGTCTATCTCTTTGCAACCCCATGGACTGCAGCATGCCAGGCTTCCCTGTCCTTCACATATATCCTTTATTTACTTGTATTTTGCCAGATGCACTACTGCCTGCCATTGACAGTTTAATGCAACTTTAAACTCATATCTGCCATTTATGATAGAGTTTTGGTTACAGTGTGTGGGGAGGGGGGGTGGAGTGTTTTTCATTTGAGTCATAGGAATCTGATTTAGGAATGAGACCATTAAGATACTAAAGCTTTTAACTCAGGGAGGAGGAGGATCTTCCCTACTATTGAAGATTTCCAGAATCTTTTAGGAATGCCTGGTTAAGCATTGTTAGAACTACTGCTATGTTTTAAAGAATCCCTAAGAGTTAAGTGATCTTGTAGGTCTCTGGGGAAGGGAGCCTTAGTTCTCTGACCCTCCTGATACCCACCAAGGGCTGAATCTATGTTGCTCCTTGGCAGGTCGTTACACTTGCTGACTATGACCATGTGGAAGAGGTTACCAAGGAGGGAGTCAAGAAATCCCCCTCCCCGGGCTACCCTCTGGTCTGTGTCACGCCCTGCGACCCCCATTTCCCCAAATATGCTGTCATGAAGGAACGCTGCAATGAGGCTGGCATCAACCAGACGTCCGTGCAGTTCAGCTGGGAAGTGGCTGCCCCCACTGATGGCAACGGCGCCCGGTCTCCCTTCGAGACCATCACCGACAACACACCATTCACCAGTGTCAACCACATGGTAGGTCTGGTTACAGAGGGAGAGACCTGGCCTTTCTCTTTGTTACTCCAGCTCTGTCAAATTCCTTAAGGTCCCTGCATGCCATTTGGTATAAACTAAACAATTAAGCAGGTACAACACTGTCCTTTTGTTCTTACCTATGAGAAAAGATAATACGGTGTAGCAGAAAGAGAACTAGGCTAGTACTCTGACAACCTGTTTACAAACCTTGATTCTGCCTGTTCTGAACTATGTGATGTTAAATGTTTACTTCACCTTTCTGAGTCTCAGTTTCCTGATCTACAAAATAATACCTCCTTTGCTTAATCCACTTGACAAAGTCACTGACAGATAGGAAAGTGATTTACAAATGGTGAAATAAGTCAAAGATTCTAGGTAAGTATGACTAATGATTAGTCTCTTTTCACATCTCTTAAATCTTTCAATAAAGAGTAGGGTATAAATTCCTTGAGAAAAAGGACCAAGGGTTCTGCCACATTTGTATATCCATCCCAAAGTGGCTGCCACATTGGTGGCACGTAGTGGGGACCAGTTATTAAATAAAATGAGAGTATGCTTATTAAGTGATCCGTATTTTTCAAAGCCCAGTGGGAAGATATGAAAAGAGGTTCAGAATGTCGTCGCTGTCCTCAGAGAGTTAGGAGGCCAGATGCACACCTCTGCCACCATCAGGGAGCCATGCACAGAGGTGGTTTTCCCAACCTCAGGGAACAGTCCAGTGTTCTGACTCTGCTCATTGCACCAATGATGTTCTTCAGAGAAAGCTGAAAGCTGTGGAGATTCAGGCTCCACAGAGCGTCTGGCACCCAGTAAGCACTCAATGATTTTTGGCTGAAATCAGTGCATTTAATAATTTCAGAAATCAGAGATTTTCTTCACTTAATTTCTCTAGCTTTTCCCCTACAAAACCACAGTTTGTTCTCACATTAAGAAGTGCCCTGGACTTCCCTAGCGGTCCAGTGGTTGGGAATCCACCTACCTGCCAGGGAGATGCATTCAGTCGATCCATGATCCAGGAAGATTCCACATGCTGAGGAGCAGCTAAGCCCAAGCACCAGAACTAGAGAGTAGCCCCTGCTCACCACAGCTGGAGGAAACCCGTGCTCAGCAATGAAGACCCAGCATAGCCAAAAATAAATAAAGAAAAAGTTGTAAAAAGAACTGTCTTGAGTAGACAGTGGAAGAAAGCTGTTGGACGTACATGGGAGGCTTTGGATAAAGTGGGTCCCTTGTGTTCATTGTCTTTGGTACAGCTTATTCAGAAAGGCCAGAAGATTAATTCTTTTGCAACATAACCTGGTTCAAATTTAAATTATCTTTATTATTATTAAAAATGTAAATGGCAAGGTTTAACAGCTTATTGTTTCATAAATACCTTGTTCTCTGTTCAGCAAAACCGTGAAGGGGTAGTTGGTTTGATTTGAGCCAAATATACATTTTTAACAGGTACCCAGTTTATGATTTTACCTTATATTTCAGTTTGCCTTCTTGTGATCAGTTGGTGACTAATCCTCTTAACCCAGTTTCCTCTGCCCTGCCTTCATTTCTTCAATTATTTATTTAATACTGTTGTGTGCATTTTTGTCAGATGCCTCAAATCCCTTCTGAATGAAGACCATGTATAAATAAATAAATAAAGTCATAGCAGCTAATTAAAAAAATTTTTTAATGGAAAAATCTTCTTCAATTTTTAATGGACTTTAGTGAAAATTGTTTCCATGGTAGAATTGGTAAGCCTGTATGATTGCTTTGTGGGAGGACTGTGGCGCACAAAACTACTAATGAGTTTTTCTTATTATATACTTCCCTATGACAATACACTAGTAACCTAGAGAGTTTTGGTGACCTAGGTTACCTCTGCATAGATTGCATTAAGCACTCATGGATTCTGTGTGTCTGGAGCATGAGAGAATCTGTAGAAAGACTTTCAAGGCCAGTAGGTGTCAGAGGCCAAGTTCTCAACTTCAAGTCCGCCATGTTATTGTAACCCTTAGTAATTAGACGGGAGTTAACGGAGGGAATGGCAGTAGGGAGGAAAGAAAACTAAGAACTCCTAGAAAAGAAGCGTCTTTCCTCTATACCCTGATACGATGCCCTCAGCAAAAGTGACCTAGAGGCAACGAACCTTGCTGGAAGGGCTGGAAAATCATTAAGTAGTTCTCTGAACCTAATATGTAAAGAGAACAAGTGTCACTGGGAATCAGTCATCTCTAGTTTCTTGCTCCACTTTGTCTACATGCTTGTTACCTGACTTAACCACCCTAGACTCAGTGCTCTGACCCTGGTGCCTGGCTCCTGGGAGAAAGTCAGTACTTAGGTGGTGAATGAATGGATAGGTGGGTAGATCAGTGGACACATAGATGGATAAATGGATGGATAATGGATGGTGTGGGCTATTAATGCAGTCTGCCATGTCAGTCAGCAAAGGATGTTGCAGCATCAGCCACTGCAGCCAGTGGGGCACCCTGAGGAGACTCAGGAGGAAAAAACACAGGATACTGGCCCCTGATAGCTGAGGTGCCTATTAAAGGAATGATTTCAGTGAGCCTAAATGATTTCATCTTCCCATACATGGAAAAGTGCAAAATCCCTTAACTTGAGATATCCGGTTTTAACAGTCATCTTTTGATGTTCCAACGACCGGGCCTTTGTTGCAAAAACTCTGATTAATATGTATCCCAGCTCTTCCCATTCCTCTTTGGAGCAGTCTCTCACAGTTGTCTAAGGTGCTGTGTCCCGGGCTTAAGTCCTCAGTTTAGCCTGCTGTGTAAAACATGACTCTCAGCTTTTAGGTTGTGCAGTTTTGTCAGCTGACAGTGGTCTTCACAGGGTACCACATATTACCATCAGAAGACACAGTGTGAGGAGCCGTCTGAGGTACTTTATGCTTCCTGGTAGGTCCTGGACAGCATTTACTTCAGCCGGAGGTTCCATGTCCGTTGTGTGGCCAAGGCTGTGGACAAGGTGGGCCACGTGGGGACCCCCCTGAGAAGCAACATTGTCACCATCGGAACAGACAGTGCTATCTGCCACACCCCAGTGGTGGCCGGGACAGCCCGAGGCTTCCAGGCTCAGTCTTTCATCGCGACCTTGAAATACCTGGACGTCAAACACAAGGAGCATCCCAACAGGTCAGGCGGGGAGGGCCTTCCGTGAGGAGATGGCCGAGAGAGTCCCCAGCTATGCTTTGTGTGTGTTCTAGGTGGGACACAGTGAGTGATGCTTCTGCAAAATAGGAATAATGGTGATGAATGCTTCGTAAAAAGTTGACATTCTTCAAACGTGCCCTAATATCTGGCCCTTATCAATCTTGCTAGCCTCATTTCCTTCATCTTGTTATTTTCACCTGCCAGTCCACCCACAGGGAATCACATGTAACTTCCTCAGGGTTTCAAGCCTTCTTAGGTGACCTGCCTCTGCCATGTGGCTACTCCTGGCTCCAGCTTTCCCCCGTCCCCTTCCAGTCCATGTTCTTAAATCCCATTGTCCCACCATACCTAAGCCATCGCATCTCTTCTAGGAACTTTTCCATCATCTCCCCCAATTTAATTTGGAAGCTTTTACTTCCCACTTTTCTGGCACCCGCATCTGCCTCTCTGAGAGTGTTATCATTATTCATTCTCTCCTTGTCATCCCCACCCCGGAGATGATGGTGGCAGGGACCATGACTGTCTATTTTGCATCCCCTCTGCCTAGAACAGTGTTTCTTGGCACCTAAGAGGCACTCACTAAGTACCCAGTGAACAAATCAGTAACAACACTGGTGAATTATAAGTCATTGGGCAGATATGCTTTTTTTTCCTGTTCCCTATGATCTTGATGGAAAATGGATGCTTTCATTTTTTTGTATAGCAAAAAAAAAAAAAAAAGATTTCAGGTAGGTTATACATATTCATTAAACCTGGTAGTATTTATGTGCATGCCTTTATGAGCAACTGAGTTCAGAGAAAAGGGCTCATTTACATGAAAAAAAAAAGATTTGAACATGGAGCCAAAAATATGCAAATCCTTCTCTTTCTAACAGAATGAAATTTATTTTTGTAAAAAGCAATAACAGAAGTGTCAGGGTTACTACTGACCCTGTTCCTTACTAAAAGAGCCATTCTGTTCATATTCTGAGGTTCTGATTCCTCTTTAAAGCATGAGTCTTTGTTCTGGGAGACAAGCTGTAAAAACTCACAGTGCACCCTCAATAAACATGCTGAAAATTTAAACTTGTACAGTGAAAAAATTGCAGGCCCTCAGTACAGTTTTGTTGTGTTGCAGTCTTAACCGGTATTTATTAAGCTCATATTTTATTTAAAATTGTGTACTACAGGCTCTGGAGAAACAGAAGAAGTGAAGGAAATGGTCCTTTGCCCTCTTAGTGGGGAGGCAAGACAGACTCTAAAAGCATACAAGAAATAGCAGCTAATATAAATAAGTTACAGACTTCCTGGTACAAAGGTACCTAAAGGCAGAAGAATGTAGTTCAAGGCAGAGCTTGCTGCAGATTGAGGCCAGTGAGGGCTGGTGGCCTTGCTAGAACTTGCTGGTGGGGAAGGGAAGGCTTTTTAAGTTGGGAAGAGACCATGTGTGTCTTATTAACTCAGTCATGTCCGACTCTTTCCAATCCCATGGACTGTAGCCCATCAGGCTCCTCTGTCCATGGGGATTCTCCAGGCAAGTACACTGGAGTGGGTTGCCATGCCCTCCTCCAGGGGATCTTCCCAACCCAGGGATCAGATCCACATCTCTTGGTCTCCTGCATTGCAGATGGACTCTTTACCACTAGCACCACCTGGGAAGCCCCAAGACTATTGAATAGTGGAGTATTACCATTTCTAGGCTTTTTTCCTGGGTAGGGATACTGGCCTTAAAGTTTAAAAGCGCAGTGATGTCTTTTGGGCACAAATACTTTAGAAAATTCTGTGGCAACCCTCCATAACCTCCACAGACACTCATTGTGACAGAGAAATTCAGCCGTGCCTGTACCATCCCCTCGGCTCTAGCTCATCAGGAAACAAAGCTTCCTTTTAAAGCAGAAGAAAGCTATAATTTATGGTTGCGATGTTATCTTTTCTTGTACACACAAAAAATCTATGATTCTCGATTGCTATCAGTCCTGAGTCTGGAGGACCTCCCAGGGGCTGGAGGGAGGAAAATAACCCTGCGTGCACATTGTACCCTTGTGTACAGAAAGAACTCCTACATGGAAAGCTTCAGAAAAAAAAAAAAAACTGGTAAATTCATTGGTGAAGACAAATTGAGTTATGAGAAAGCAATACTGGGGGCTTCCCAGGTGGCACTAGTGGTAAAGAACCTGCCTTCCAGTGCAGGTAGACATAAGAGGTAAGGGTTCGATCCCTGGGTGGGGAAGATCCCCTGGAGGAGGGCATGGCAACCCACTCCAGTAGTCTTGCCTAGAGAATCCCATGGACAGAGGAGATGGTGGGCTACAGTCCATGGGGTCTCAAAGAGTCAGGCACGACTGAGTAATTGAGCACACATGTACACAGTGTACCATACTAGCTGCTTATCGCAGGTACCTAAAAACACTGATTTCCGCTCTTGTTTCCCCCCCTAGAATCCACATTTCCGTGCAGATCCCACACCAGGATGGAATGCTGCCACTCATCTCCACCATGCCGCTGCACAACCTGCATTTTCTTCTATCTGAGTCCATCTACAGGCACCAACACGTCTGCTCCAATCTCGTCACCACCCGGGACTTGAGAGGCATCTCAGGTAAGGGGAGAGACTTCCCTGTGAGTGTGGCCAGCCCGGCGCAATGACCCTTAGGGATGTGGCTAAGTGAACTCTGCTTTTCGTGTTTTCTGGCCCTCAAAATCTGCATGGGTAGTGGATTTGCTCATCAGCAAGCAGCCAAACATAGGCAGCTCGGACAGTGACATGAACAGGAAAAAACAAGGACCTTGGAATCAAACTGACAGGTTCATATCCTTATTCCACTCCCTGTACAACTGAACAAAAATAGCTGGACAGCTCTGAACCAACTGCTTTCTCATCTATCACATGAGGAGAATAATTGCTCCCAAACAAGGTAGGGATTGAATGTGTCGACAATTTTAAAACCCCTGTCCTGGTCAATTTTAGCTCCTTCCTTCTCCTGCACTTGGTTCCCAGGCTCTCAGCATTTTATAAAGCTCCTGTGCAATGGTAGATATTATAGGATGGTTCTCCAGGAGCCGTAGCCAAGCTGGAGTTTGGGGTATGAGATGTTTATTGGGCATCCACGTCTCCTAAAGGGAAGGGGAGGAAGCAGCCTGCAGTGTGGCCAGTGAAGCTGCAGCCAGTTCTTACAGGGAACTCTAGAGAGAGCCCAGCTGTCCAGCGTGTCCTGCTTCCAGCCCCAGTGGGCAGACCTCTTTGCCCCACCTCGCTCAGTCCTTGGATGGCAGGCTGCCTGAGCAAGTGTGTGACTTGGGGCTGTGCAGCTGATCCAGACCCAAGGGCACTAACAACTGAGGCAGCACATCTCCGTGTTCACCAGGGCAGACGTTTTAGTTTACAAAGAATCCTGTCCATTTCCATTCACCTTAGCAAGTGCACATTAAATGTGCATTTCCTCTCTTTGCAACTGATGAATCATTTAACAGTATTTTTGAAGACAGGAAAGCATTCATGTGCTCTTCCATATTCATTAAGCATCACTCTGGGTAGCGATGGTCTTGATACAGTAGGAATTAGTGAAGTGTGAATGATTCCTAAGTCACTGGGCTACAGATGAAAGTTTAATTGGTCTGCATATGCAAGCTAGTGGGAGAAACATACCATGTCTATAGGCTGAAAGTTTGCACCTCCTCTTACTTAAACACGATTAGCTTCAATACATATTCATTGACACCCTAGTCCTTGTGGTGCAGAGGGCTGTGTGCTGGTGTCGAACATTCTGAGAAATGGATCAGCTCTTTCAGAATATTATAGTTGCTTTCAGGACCATACAAAGTTTAACCCTAATATTCTAAAATTATGTCTGTATTCAGCTCTCTTCTGCATAAAGGTCTTCCTTAACATAGAACAGTTCAGTTACTTGGCAGCATTTGATCCAATAATTTTTGCCTGTAGCAAGGGAAGCTTAGTCAAGCATCATTAGTGAGCTATTTACTCATTAACACAGAATTAAGACTTTTTTTCTGCAAGAGTTCAGAAACCATAGGAGGCGGGGGAGGAGGTAGTCAGATGTTTGTTTACTAGCTCCCCATTAAAGCTATTTAAAAAAAAATAATCAGTCTTGAGAAAGAATAATTCACCAACAGATTCTCCATGTAGTAAATCCATTTCTTCAAGGACTGAATGTGAAGCACAGAACCAGACTGGGCAGTTGTGACAGGCAAGGCTTTCCGGTGTTATCTTTTCCAAGAGATACACAGGGCCACCAGGCCCTGGCTTCTTCATTTATGGTCTAATCCATTCATCTTTTCTTCCCTGGCTCCTGTAGCATCTTCCCTGAGTCTGTGAACACAGTCACTCTGTTTAACACATGGCAACAGGCAAGATGACAAACTCCCCTCGCCTTCTCACTGAGCTTGTATTGGGAGCCCTGGATAGTTAGTTAGTTAGTCACTTAGTTGTGTCCAGCTCTTTGCAACCCCATGGACTATAGCTTGCCAGTCTCCTCTGTCCGTGGAATTCTCCAGGCAAAAATACTGGAGTGGGTTGCCATTCCCTTTTCTAGGGGATCTTCCCAACCCAGGGATCGAACCCGGGTCTTCACGTCTCAGGCAGATTCTTTACCGTCTGAGCCACCAGGAAAGCCTGGGAGCCCTGGGGTGCTCTATTAGTCATCTTAGAAGAAGGGAAAGCTCTCTCTGTGTGTCCAAAGGATGTGTCCGCTCTCCCTCTCCCCCCAGCTCCCGGGAAACTGGTGCAGAGCAGGTCCACAGACTGGATTACTGTTCCTTGCTTCTCCCTCCCCCGCAGAGGCAGGGTTCCTGGACGACAGGGTCCATGACAGCATAGCACTGGGGCCTGGCTACGACCGCCCCTTCCAGTTTGACTCCAGCGTGCGGGAGCCAAAGACCATCCAACTCTACAAGCACCTGAACCTGAAGAGCTGCGTCTGGACCTTTGATGCCTACTATGACATGACCGAGCTGATTGACGTCTGCGGGGGGTCTGTAACCGCCGACTTCCAGGTGGGTGCCCCAGGGGTCTGTCTGAAGGCTGCGTGCACCTGGGTATCATGTTAAAGCTTGTTCATTCATTAAACTGAAGCACTTTAATACCCAGTTGCTCCCAGAACTGCACCAACCAAGGGACTCTTCTTTCTAAATCCTTCAAGAGAGACCTTAGCAGCATCATGGCTAGAGCAAGCCCCCCAAGTCCTCTCAATCAGCTAATTAGAAAATTAATATGGAAAATGTTTAAATTAAGTTGAAGAAAATCAGCTGTCTGGCAGTCATTTATATAAAAATCTAATAGTCTTACTTCTCTAGGTATATATGTCTTTTCCTCTGGGTGTATTTTGGAAAGGGCTTCCCAGGTGGCTTAGTGGTAAAGAACCCACCTGCCAATGCAGGAGATAAAGGTTTGATCCCTCGGTCAGGAAGATTCCCCTGGAGAAGGAAATGGCAACCCACTCCAGTATTCTTGCCTGGAAAATCCCATGGACAGAGGACCCTGGTGGGCTACAGTCCATGGGCCCGCAAAGAGTCCAACACGACTGAGTAACTGAGCGTGCATATTTTGGAAAGTCAAAAAGGTTTACCTCAGTGGAAAGGTTATGGCTAAGTCGATGTGTTTTCCCCGCATGGGGAAATGAGTTAAAATGACAGAAGTTCCCTCTTTCAGCAGACAAGGAAAGCACTGTTGTCCCAAGCATCATGACAACTGTTTAAAACACCTTGCTGTCATACCTATTCCAAACCTGTGGTCAATAGTCCTTAAACATCAGTAATAAAGAAAGTCTTAGTCACTCAGTCATGTCCGACTCTTTGTGACCCCCTGGACTCTAGCTTGCCAGGCTCCTCTGTCCTTGGGATTTTCCAAGCAAGAATATTGGAGTGGGTAGCCATTCCCTTCTCCTGGGGATCTTCCCAGCTCAGGGATCAAACCTGGATCTCCCACATTGCAGGCAGATTCTTTACCATCTGAGCCACTAGGAAAGCCCAACAAAATAAAACATTATAGCAAGAAGTCACAGTCGTAGGAGGGCCATTAATATCAACGGGACCAGCCTAATGCAGCCTCGTGGGAAAAACAGCTCTAAAGCAGGCGCTACCCAATTTTGAGTAGTTATCTCAATGAACTAAGAAAATCAAATATTTGTTTTTCACTTCCAATCAGGTTCAACCACACTGAAAGAGGGGAACCTATAGACGGAATTATGCATAATCATTTTAGGAAAGTTTCTTTGATTGAAATTTGTTTCCTTGAGATGCCTCTTGGTTTGGTTAATTCTTATTTTGTATACACTACTTGTTTCCTTGAGATGCCTCTTGGGTTGGTTAATTCTTATTTTGTATACACTATCGCCCTCTACTGAATAGAATTTTAAGGCATTCTGAGGTTTCCTCTGTGCTTCTGCAGTTGGATAACCTACATTCACTTTCGGATATGCAAAACTCGGTGATTGGTTCCTTCTTTGGCCCCTCAGAAATTATTATTCTTTCTTCTCCCTGACTTTAATTATAGTTTTGGATATCTTTATTCAGAATATGCTTAAAAATCACAAAGACAAGAAATTCTTATGTGTCCCACTTTTTAAACCAATACGTATAACCACAGAAGTACTTCTTTGCTGTCTGTTTCTTTAAAAATAGATGAAACAAGTGGTATATGGTAGAGTGTACAACTTAAAACCCGCCCTAGTTCATATCTTTCTTTATCAAATATCGGCAGAATTAGACAAGACTTAACCTCGATGAACCTCATCTGAAATGGTCACTAGTAATCTCAAGGTGGGACAGCATCTAGCACAAGGTCTGACACAAAAGAGTTGTGCAGTAAATATTTATAAAAGTTGCTTTTTTTCTAAGGATTAATAAGTAATATGAAGGTTAATGGAGAATAAACAGAAATAGAGGAAAAATACTTTTACCAGTCAGCTAGAAAATTTAAGGAGGTTCTAACATCAGGAATGGTGAAATTAGGGCATGTATTTAGTAAAACCTGTACATGAGGGGACAGAACATGATGTGAGATCCAGATAAAATCAGAAAATTTTCTAAAGAAGACAGAGTAAGATTTTCACAAAAGATTTTTAAGTGCATAAGGAATTAGCGGAGCCTTTTGAAGAACTTGGAATCCAACTTTAAATCCCTGACAACTTTGAATATGAAAGAATACTTTGGAAAAATTAAGTTTCAATGTCATAAATATTGATAAAGCATTTGGCTCTTTCCCTTAACTACCCATGGAAACATGTTACATCATATATTCAAACAAAATTGTATGTAAGTTCTATAATGTATTATCACATTTGGCCAATGACAAAATATAATTGTTTTAAACTAAGCTTTTTTGTTATAAAGGAAATATGTATTTATGACAGAAAATACAATATACATCTCAAAAATGAATAAACCAACTCCCTCACTCATATACACAGCTTCTCCATGAAGGCTTCTGCTCATATTTTATTATGCTTCAATCCAAGTTTTGTTAATTGGGTAGTAAAATGAAAATAATAGAGCCGAATTAATGGCAATAAAAGGAACTCCTTCAGAAAAAGTGTTCTCTTAGAAGTATGGTGTGCTGCTTTTTCAAAATTATTTCAACAAAGCATTGAATGAGATAGGAAGTTATCCAACTGTGAGCTGTCCATTGGTAAGTTTCATAGTATAATATCCAAATCCCATGACCTTCTTTCCTATTGGAGAAGGTCTGAGTACTCACTAAGACCCAAGTCAGCCTCACATTCATCCTAGGATGACTTGGGCATCCTCCCATTTAGGGTTGCTTTATGCTCTCCTATGGCTTTCTGAAAACTATGGTCAGCCAGGGACTGTGTGCTGACAGTAGATCCCAGATCTGCCCAGATCCTTTGGGAATAACTGTGATGCCTTAAAAATTTCAACCAAGTCTTCCAGCAAATAATCAGTGGAGGGAGAGCTTCTCATACTTCAAAAGTGTTTTTAGGGGACTACCCTGGTGATCCACTGGCTAAGACTCCCTGCTCCCAATGCAGGGGCCCAGGTTCCATCCGTGATCAGGGAACTAGATCCCACATGCTGCAACTAAAGATCCCACATGCCTCAACTAACACTCAGCTCAGCCAAAATAAACCAATAAAAATAAATATTAAAAAAAAAGTTAAGTGTTTTTAAGTGTTACCTCCTTGGAAGTCTTCTCTGATTATCTTATTGAAAGAAGCACCCTGGCCACTTTCCATCCCTTTATTTTTCACATTTATGTATCTCCCCTACTAGATGGTAGGTTCCATAAGGCAGGGATTTTAGTTTTTTCCCCACTGCTAAGGACCCAGTTCCTGGGTGCCTGGCACAATCATGAGCGCTTGATTAATACGGAATAAGTGGCTAAATGAGTGAATGAAGATTGAACCAATATGCGATGCTCATCTAGCTCTTCATCCCGGGGAGAAATAACCCTCTCCTGTACACCCCACTTGCTCGGCAGGTGAGAGACTCCGCTCAGTCCTTCCTGACGGTGCACGTGCCGCTCTATGTGTCCTACATCTACGTGACGGCCCCCAGGGGCTGGGCCTCCTTGGAGCATCACACCGAGATGGAGTTCTCCTTCTTCTATGACACTGTTCTCTGGAGAACAGGTACACTCACTGACATCTCAACAAGTCTTACCTTATGCTTAAGCAACATTTTATTTTTTAAGTATTGAGTTTTAATGGTAGCTGCATTCCTCATCCTGTTGTCCTATATACAGTCAAAGGAGAGCCACATAAAGTGTAGAGAGGATACAGATCTGTGGTTTCTGAGAAACACTGATGTCCATAGATGTTAATGCTGGAAGGCCTCCACCATCTGAGTAAATTCAGTCCAGGGAGGCAGGGACCCAGAGTAGAGGATGGCAAGTGATAGACAAGTCCCATACTGCCCCTTCGGGGGTTTGAATGAGTGTGTGCTCTTTTGGAATATAGTCATGTTCATTTTCTCCTAGGTAAAAATGATGTGATTCATGTTGTTTAAAGAGAATAGGGTCTTGAAATCGGATACACGGAAATGGAGAAATACATCAAGAATAACCTGGGTTACTTTATTCATTTGATACCAAGTTTGCTCTTTTGTTGCATCCTTAAAAGTAGGAATTTTAACCCTACTTTTACTTCAAGACTGCAATGTTGAATTTTTTCAATGACCTTCACCTTAGGCTTGTCTGTGTTACTGCTCTCCTTGAGAGGAGGTGCCCCCAGGGCCTGGGTGGTTGACGACCCTTCAGCTAAGATCCTCAGGCCTCTCTCTTCTGCCTCCCTCCACCCACCTTCTCCCACTGCTGCCCCATGAATGTCCCTTAAAACTCCATGATTCTCTCCTCCATTCATTCCAATGGGTCTGAGTTGATTTTTTTTATTTTTTTTCCCATTTTTGGTGTCCTCTACTTCAAACAGCCCCACGCTCATTTCCCCTTTTGTATTGCTCCCATTCCTCCTCTCTCCATCCCTGGTGGTGATTTACTTGATTGGAGGCAGAGGTACTTCATCTGAGTAGATTTCTTTAGATGGAGCTTCACTTCTACTAATGGAAAGTACAGTCTTTCCTTCTGTTAAATGCTTTAAGGTCAAATCATTTGTTTATATTATATTTCTCATAAGAAATAACCCCAGGGAGTGTTCACACTCTGGGTCAGATAATTCCTGAGCTGGGGGTTTTTTAAACTTGCTTTCCCCCCTTCCTTGCTTCCCCTCTAGTTTTTGGTCATGCTGAACTCAACAGGTATCATGACTGCAACTGCTCTTATTAAAGCCACAGTGGACTCATGTCCTGTCATGCGTAACTAGTTTTCTACAAGCTCACCTGTAATTCTTTATTGCTTTCAATATGAAGTATAGCCACCAGGACATTGGTTATGGTTCTGTTAAGTCCTGAAAGATGTCCTGGTGAGGAAAAGAAAATACAGTCTGAAGCAGGCATGCTATAACCACATCCTGGTGTAAAGTTAACAGTAAGGTTTAGGGACCATTTTTTTCTGAGCTCTGAAGTGGGACCCTGTACCTGCTCTAAGTGACATCTGCAGGTATAAAGACTGTCAGAAGAATAGAGTTGTGAAAAAAGAACCGAATAGAACGAGCTGTCTTACAATGCTGACAAGCACACGTCTCTAAATAGACTCTTGTTGTTGTTCAGTTGCTAAGTCATGTCCAACTCTTTGTGACCCCACGGACTGCAGCACGCCAGGCTCCCCTGTCCTTCACTATCTCCCAGAATTTGCTCCAACTCATGTCCATTGAGTCAGTGATGCCATCCAACCATCTCATCCTCTGCCATCCTCTTCTCCTCTTGCCTTCAATCTTTCCCAGCATCAGGATCTCTGCCAAATAGACTCTGCGTTCATGCAAATGTGAAAATTTGTCCTAAGTTACATTCAAGTAAGCATGTGGCTTTACTTAGAGGTGTCCCTGGGGTAACTCATCTGTAGACTACTGTCTGGGAGCTCTTCTCCAAGCCTTCACTTGAATGTTCTGTGTGTGGTTGCCTTCCCAGGAATCCAGACGGACAGTGTGCTCTCTGCCAGGCTTCAGATAATAAGGATCTACATTCGAGAGGATGGCCGTCTGGTTATTGAATTCAAGACCCATGCCAAATTCAGAGGTAATATCGGTGCCATTCTTTTCCTCAAGTTTTTTTTTTTTATTACTGAGAAACATTCAAGCATAGAGAAAAATTGAAAGAATAGAACAATGAAGAACAAAACCAACAATTGTTAACATTTTGCTATGTGCATGTATGTACAGACACACACACACATATTCCCATTTTTTTAATCACATCATTTGAAGGTAAGTTGTAGGCGTCATGCCACATTACCCTAAATACAGTAAGTCCCCTACATACGAACCTTCAAGATGCAAACATGTGTCTAGTTATAGCAAGAAACCAAAACCTAAACCATCAGTGTCAGGCTTGAGTGAAATTGTTGCTTGCCCTTCATCTCCTATTGTGAACGATCCTTTAGATCTGTCATCTCCCATCTTCTCTTCCTCCTCCAGTCTAATTCTTTTTGCCTGTTGACCTGATGCCAGCCATTTTACTGTACTACTGTACTTTCCAAGGTATTGTACTGTAAGAATAAAAATGTTTTCTATGTTCTGTATTTGCGTTTTATGTACGATTTGTGTGGAAAGTATTATAAACCTATTACAGTACAATACTATATAGCCAATTATTATGCTAGTTGCATACCTAGGCTGACTTCATTGGGCTTAGGAATAAACTGGATTTATGATCACACTTTTGGAACAGAACTCATTCGTATGCAGGGGACTTACTGTACTTCAGTAGCCACCTCCTGAAACAAGGACCTTCTCTTACACATCACAGTAGCATTACTGTGGCCAAGCTATTTCACACCAATCTAATAACATCTAGTTCCTATTCATGTTCCCTCCATTTGTGTCCCGCAAATGTCTTTTATACCTATTTTTATATTTGTTTATATTTGCTTTGCATCTGTGTATATAAAACAAAAGTGAATCCAATCAAGATCCATAGGTTCCATTTTGGCTGTTATACCTCTTCAGTCTCTTTTAATATAGAATGAGCCACCCTATGGCTCAGTTGGGAAAGAATCTCCCTGCAATGCAGAAGACCTGGGAGGATTCCCTGGAGAAGGAAACAGCAACCCACCGCAGTACTCTTGCCTGGAGAATTCCATGGACAGAGGAGCCAGGCAGGCTGCGGTCCCTGAGATCGCAGGGTCAGACAGGACTGTGTGACTAACTTTTACTTTTTTTTTTTTCGATATAGAATAGTTACCCTACTTTTATTTATTCATGACACTAAATGACTGTACTTTAAGAGAGTGGAGGTGTCTTGCTGAGTAATCCTTACCTTTTAAGGATGTTTACAATTGCCTTCTTCCACAAAGGACTTGAGTGATCCTTAATGAGATTTTTTAAATCTAAAATTGATATTTCTATTTATGAACTACTGAGATCTTTCTACCTCCAAGAAACATGTTGGTTAGAGTTCAAAGCTAAGTGTGTTCAATGTTCATTGTTATATAAGTACTCATATTATTGTGAATATGCTCATTAGTGCCATTTCTACAAGGCACATTTATTATTATTTATAAATATATGTGACCCTAACAACGATCATGAGTAGGGTGATGGACTGAGGTAAGAGGCCATGCTGTCCCACCCAGTGTGGGATATATTCTCAGAACCAAGTGGGTAGGTATAACCTTGATTTTTTTATAGAAGAATATTAATTCAGTTCCAAGGCTCTTGTAGGGGATTGACCACAAGCAAACTTACAAATAAGTGTCTGTGTGTTTCCCCTTGAAATAGGACAGTTTGTGATGGAGCACCACACCCTCCCTGATGTGAAGTCATTCATACTGACTCCAGAGCACCTCGGAGGAATTGAATTTGACCTGCAGCTCCTATGGAGTGCTCAGACTTTCGATTCTCCTTATCAGCTCTGGAGAGCTACAAGCTCTTATAACAGGTGAGCACAGGAGTTCAGGGGTAAATCTGAAATCTTTTCTGCTTCTTTAAGGGCTTTTCTTCAAAAACTAGAAGAAAACTTTTAAAACTTTTCTATTTTAAAAGTGGGATAGACAGAAATAGCCATCTGGCAACTAGAGAAACACATGTAGCTCAGATCAGTTTCTGATGTATAAATTGGACAGGGATCACCCTTATTTCAAAGGTAAGAATTGGCAAGGTGCACATCCATTTTTCTCACATCACATTGGCCAGAACTGTCACGTGGCACATCTACCTGCAAAGGAAGCTGGGAAATGTGTCCAACTAATATCTTAGTATAATAAAGAAATTTCATTCCAGTGATCACAACCAGTACAAAATCCAGGATCACTAGTTATCAGGTTCAGATGTCACCCCTTATGATTCAATGTCCTGTAAAATAAATAACAAGATTTAGTCTTTTACACCCAATATAGAGGTAGAATGAGATTGGAATAAATACAGTGAGCTATTCCATTTGTAAAAGGAAAGAATAGAACCAACAATGAAAACTTTTAGCATTAAAAGAATAATGGAACCTATAGTAAATATTGTTAGCCCCATTTTGTAGGTCATGAAATTAGTACATATCTTTAGCATGAAAATCTTATTATTTGCAATTAAAAAGTGGCAAATTGTCCTAAGAATAATGTTTTTAAATTTTAGTTTAATTACAAATGTTTGGTCTTATATCAGGTTTTTCTTGTACCTCCTGATTCCTTTGAAATCAATATATAACAAAATAACCTTTATTGTGTTTCCTAGAACCTCATGAGATTGTGCATGTACTTGTTCCAATTTATAGACAGAGAAATCATCCTCTTTAAATCCTTTGCTGACTCCCCACTACTTACCAAATGAAGTCCAGCTCTTTGAGCAACACCCAAATCCTTACCTCTAAGCCTCGCCTCAAACCCAGCCTTCTAACCACATGTGTTCCCAACCTCTGACTCCACCAGCCCATCCATACCTCTTTGCTTTTATTTATAAAAATAAAATAAAATAAAAAGTTATAATCTGCCTACCCTTCTTTCTCCTTTCCTCCTGCTCATCTCAAACTCCTCTGAGCTCCAGCTCAGATACAACCCTTCCGAGACACCTTGGCTGACTCCATGCTGTGTTAGAATCTCCTCCTCCTGGTTCGCGTGTTGTTCCAGCTTTTACTGTAACACAGCTCAGCATCTTATAATGCTCTGAGTCCCATTTCCATTAGATTGTGAACTTCTCAAGGGTAAGCCCCCAAACTGCATGTTTTAGCACATAGTAGTTCCTGAATAAGCATCCTTTATGAGCTAACATTTGTGGTAAGGAGGTTAAATCCATAGATAAATGGCAAAGCAAAGAATAACATCAAGCGTTCTGTGCAAAAACGCCATGAGCCATGCCAAGCAATCAGACCACAGCTGCTTAGGGTTGGGAGACCATAGCAGCTGGAGAGCTGGCCAAGGCTTCTCGGGGAGGCTGAGCAACTGATGGGAGACTTCTAGTTTTCAGAAAATCGGGGAAGAGAACCACAGGATTAAAAACCTACCTCCAGACTGTGTTGGGCATATTTGCAGGAATAGTCAAGAAATTGACCTAAGTCATATTCAGGGGTGGGAAACAGAACTGCAGCCTGGGGAGACCATGCCATTTGTCTTGCATTCATTTGTTCAATAGATATTTACTGAACTTTTACTAAGAATACATCAGTGGACGAAATAAAAATCTCTGCACCCACAGGTAGACATAGTGGATGAGTACAGTATGACATGTTAGAAGGTGATGCTGCTGTTGTTGCTAAGGCTTGTCCGACTCAGCACTATGGAAAATAAAAGGTTGAGAACAGGGTAAGGGGAATCAGGAGTGGGGGACATTGTAATTTGTTGGTTAGGAAGTTCAGCCTAGGCCTCATTAAGAAGGTACATTCGAGCAAAGACTTGGAAACAAGAGCTCACTATGCAGATTATCTGGGTTCCTGGGGAAGTTCTAGAGTTTGACAAAATTTCGGTGTCTGGAAGGGAGTGGATGAAGAGGGTGACAAAGACAGGGCCGGGCTGTTGTGGGACCTTGAAGGCCTGTGTGTGGACTTTTTCACTCTGGTGCAACAGGAGCCACTACAGGTTCAAGGGGAAGAACAACAGGATCTGGCCTTTTTGTTCTTGTTTTAATTGGAATATAGTAGTTTTGCAATGTTGGATTCGTTTCTGCTGCATAGCAAAGTGAACCAGCCACACCTGTACATATATCCCTTCTTCCTTGGATTTCCTTCCCATTTAACCCATCTACCCCACTTAAAAGTGAGTTTAACCCATTTCCCATCTACCACAGAACCCTGAGTAGACTTCCCTGTGCTCTATAGTAGGTTCTCATTAGTAATCTATTTTATACAGAGTATCAGTAGTGTATATATATCAATCCCAGTCTCCCAATTCATCCCATCCCACCCCTATCTTCCCTTGTCATCCATACATCTGTTTTCTACATCTGCGTCTCTGTTTCTTCTTTGCAATGGCCTAACTTTTGGAAAGCAGGAGTCAGGCATGGACAGTTCTGCCTAATTAAGTATTTTTATTAAGAGCTACTATTCACATTACACAGGTCAGTTTTTGTGTCATTCAAAGATAGTATACAAGATCTCATTTCCTGCTGGTTCCAGCTTTGGAGGAAAATAAGGATCAAGTGAAAAAACTGTAGACATAAAGACCTACAGACATACAAATTTCCAGGACACAAAGGAGCTTAGAAACTAAGTCCTGAAAGTTTGCTTGCTTTGTCTAAAATTGTGCGGCCATGGCAGAAGCAGAGCAAAGGCAGGGTTAGACTGTCTCCCCATTTCCAGCCTGGGCCTTCTCACTAAACTGACCCCAGGCTGTGTCCTGAAAGTTGTATTTACTTATTTATTTACTAAGTGTTAGTCACTTAGTCCTGTCCAACTCTTTGCAACCCCATGGACTGTAGCCTGCCGGGTTCCTCTGTCCATGGAATGCTCCAGGCAAGAATACTGGAGTAGGTAACCAATCCCTTCTTTAGCAGATCTTCCTGACCCAGGGATCGAACCCAGGTCTCCTGCATTGCAGGCAGGTTCTTTACCGCCTGAGTCACCAGGGAAGCTGGCTATTTATTTATGATTACTAAATCTTTGCTATCACTTTGCTAATAAACAGACACAAATACTGCCAAAGAAATGGTCAAAGAAGGAACATGGAGAAAGTGAGGACTGATCACAAATCACACTAGTTAGAATTAAGATTCACAGCCCTGAGCTCCTCATTCAATGGGTGGCAGCCTCCCAAGGCCCTTGAAGAATCTTCCTGCCACTTCTGGCTGTCTGACTGCCTTTCAGGCAGACTGCCAGGGGCTGGGCTTCTGGATGACAAGTGTGGGAAATGAAGTAGGTGAGGGCTACCAAGGCTCTGTACTCTCAGGGTCACAACCTACAGAATCTCATGCCCCACTGTAAACACAGAAATTCCCAGCAAGTCATCTCCGATGAGAAGTTATGTTGTTCTTCAACTTCACTGAAAGGATGAGGGTTTGGGAGAGAAGTCCTGAAATGGAATGCTAATGAAGTGGGGATGGCAGCCGTCTCTGGAGTGGGGTTAGTTAACCCCCAGGCCTTCACTACCTTTTCAATCAGAGCAGTAGCAGCAGCTGGCTCAGTAAAGGAAAGTCTTTGCAGTCCAGAATGTATAACAGGGTGTCAGTCAGCAAGAAACACTAAACAGACATTGTCAAGTCAGTTTCACGGGGGTGTAAAAAGGATGCGACCAAGTCTGTTTTGCTCTCACTGGAGCCTTTTAGATTTTTATCAACAGTGTGCCCTTCTCAGCATTTCTCATGGAAAGGACTTGAATAAATGAAAAGAACTCTATTTAACACCTCTGGCTAGTACTCTGAAGTGTGTTAGAACAATCACAAGTGTGATGAATTCCTGAAATTTGTGTCTGCAGACTCCTGAAGTTCTTGGCTGGATGCTGAGCACAAGTATCATCTGAAAACTTGTCTACTGAAGTTAGGGTGTTTCTGGGTAAGTAAATAATCTCTAAATCCGTCTCTCTAACCATAGTCTGCCTGCCTGTTTCCAGGAAGGATTACTCCGGGGAATACACCATCTACCTGATCCCTTGCACGGTGCAACCCACACAGCCATGGGTGGACCCAGGAGAAAAGCCTCTGGCCTGCACTGCACACGCCCCAGAGAGGTAGGGAGAGAGGATTGATCCTCACTATTTGTGAACTTACCTGCTCACTGATGTCTATTTGTAACCCCAAATCCAATTTTTGTGGCGCTATCCTGATCGTTCCCTGACCTGCGGAGTGATGAAATAGCGGTCATCTGAGCCACATTCCCAGCTCAGGTTTCTCATCCTGTGAACAAGTGTCCCTTTTACAGTCCATTTGCTGCCAGGTTTTTCAAATTTTTGTCCCTCATGTTGGTGATTTTGCTGTTTAAAATGGCTCCCCAGCGGAGCGCCGAAGTGCTGTATTGTTTCCTACATACAAGAAGGTGGTGATGAGCCAAATGGAGTGTCAGATGAGCTTCATTCAAGCATGAACTTCAGTGTCGTCACCATGAGTTCTATGCTAAAGAATCAACAGTATTTATCAAATAAGGTGTCTTTAGACAGCAAGACACATAAAGCAGAGTTAGTTAGGTATTGATCACTGATAAAAATGTTGTGAGCAGAGGCTGCAGGAACTTGACCCCTGGTTTCCCCCCAGGGGCAGCTGTTCACAATTCATTCATTCCGTGTTCATTGCAGCGTTATAGAATGTAACCGCCATGAATAACAAGACTCAAACTGTCCATCAGCCCATCCCCACCTCTGACCTGAGCCTGTCCTCATTGTACCGATGTTCATTCATTCAGCCCGTATTTATTCAGCTCTTATTGTGTCCTTAGCTCTCGTCTCAGCATGGAGACTCTAGCAGAGGATTAAAAGTCACCTCTGCTCTTAAGCAGTGCATATAGTCTAGTGCCACCTTTCTAGGAGCTGAGCAGAGTGACTGGAAAACATTTCAGAGAGAAGGCGCTGAAAACAGAATCTGACATTATCATTAAGAGAAGATGATTTGGAATGTGACTTTCAAATTAAGAGTCTGAGACTTGGCCATTGGATTTGGCCATACAGAATTCATCGATAATCTTGATAAAGGTCAAGTTCAGTGGACTGAGGAGGATGAGGCCTGATTAGAGTAGGTTCAAGAGAGAGAGGCAAGAACATGGAGATAAAAGAGACAAAGCAATGCTGAAGGAGTTTTGTTATAAAAGGTTTCAGGGGCATTAGTGGAAAGAGATGAAGGATCGAAGGAGGTTTTATGTGTGTGTGTTTTAGGTGCAAAATATTTCAGGATGTTTGTGTGCTGGTGAGAATAGCCCTATTGATCTACTGGGGGAAACAGACAATGCATTGGGAAGAGGGAAGATATACAGAGTTAAATCCTCGAGTGGAACAGGGGGCAGACCCAGACATGCGGGGACGGGCCAGCCTTAGCCAGAAGCAGACACTTCATCTACTAAGAAAGGAAGGCAGGCACAGTCTATGGATACAGGTGAAGGGAGAATTAGTAGCTTGGGAGGGTAAGGATGACCAAGGAGACATCTGACTGAGTCTGTTTTCTCCATGAAATGAGAAGTCAAGCATAGCTCGAAGTAAGGAACAGTGAGGTTTGAGAAGAGAGGAGTAAGTGAAATAGAGTCGTCTCTGAGAGTGGAAAGTAAGTATGGAAGAGAGAGACACAGAGGATCAGCAGTGCTGAGGGCCCTGTTGAATTTTTTTTTTCCAAAAAACACATTTATTTATTAATTTGTTGGCTGCACTGGGTCGTAGTTGCAGCTCAGTGGGTCTTTCATTTCAGAGCACAACTTCGCTCTAGTTGTGGCATGTGGACTTAGTCGCCCGGAGTAATGTAGGATTCCCAACCAGGGATCGAACCTGCATCCCCTGCATTGGGAGGCAGATTCTTAACCACTGGACCACCAGAGAAGTCCCTGAATTGTCTTTAAATTACCATTAAATTCCTTATTAATGTAAGATGACTAGTATGTGTTTAAAGTACCTGCAATTTGATCAATTTTGACATATATGTACTTGTGAAATAGCACCACAATTAAGATAGTGGTGATGTCCATTTTCTTCGAAAGTTTCTTCATGACCCTTTGGTATCCCCACTCCCATCTCCTCCCCACACCCAACCCCCTCGGTATCTACTGATCCTTCTGTCGTTACAAATTAGCTTGCATTTTCTACTAATTTGTGTAAGTGGCATCACACAGTATGAATTCTCTTTCTCTGACTTCTCTTGCTCGACATGATTATTTAGACTCACTCGTGGTTGTTGTGTGTATCAGTAGCTTGTTCCTCTTGTTGCTGAACTGTATGTCATGGTATGCACGCACTATAGTTCGTTTATCAAATCAGTTAGTTGATGGACATTTGGATTATTTCCAGTTTGGGCTATTATAAATATAGTTGCTATAAACATACATAGATAAGCCTTTATATGGACACATGCTTTCTGTTTTCCTGTGTAAATACCTAGGAGTGGAGTGGCTGGATTCTATGGTGTGTTTAGCTTCTTATGAAACAGGCACACTGTTTTCCAAAGTGTTTATAAATGTGTAACTGTGTGTATACATCCCCACCATGAATGTGTCAGTGTTCCAGGTCTTCTGCATCCTGGTAACTGTGGTTGCAGAGGGCCTGGTGTGGTTGAGGAATTAATGAGTGGGAGTAAAAGAAGAGGTGAGCTGGAAAGATAGGAAGTGGTAGGTAGAGTGTGAGATGTTTGAAAGTGAGGTTTTATGGAGGAGGTGCCTAGTAGGATGGTGCATAGATAGCTGCAGTGGAAAGGAGCACATGCTCTTTGGAGGTGAAGACATCAAGGAACTGAGAGGCTCGGGGGGTAGATGGTTCATCCATTGAAATCACTGAGCGATTTCTCACAGGAGCGAGACTGGAGAGCCTGTGGTCAGTCAGGTGTGGGAGGGACGGTGACCAGGAAAATGGTGGCTGGCTGCAGAAAGGAAGAACAGAGGGCAAATCATCTGAAGAGATATGCTGGGGAATTTTTTATTCATGTAATCAAGTTTTATTTTGCTTATTTACTTCTTACTTTATTTTTTGGCTATGCTGGGAGGCCTGTGGGATCTTAGTTCCCCATCCAGGGATAAAACCAGTGCCCCCTGCATTGGAAGCACAGAGGCTTAAGCACTAGACCACCAGGGAAGTCCCTTTAATACATTTTTTTTAAATTATGAAATGTTTTAGTACCCAGAAGACCATATAGCATGGATATATAAAACCTCAAGAACATTGCCTAGTAAGAATTATAACTTCAGTGAACTGGGTATCCCTTGCACTATGATCCTGATGCTAAGTGAATAATAGTAACTACCAGTGGTATTAGTGACTGTGTATGGAGTGCAAACTATGTGGTAGGCTCTGTACTAAGCTCTTTTTTTTTTAATTTATTGATTTATTTTAATTGGAGGCTAACTACTTTACAATATTGTAAGTTCAATTCTCATTACAGTGATCACCCTCAAGATTGCTTACTGTATTTCCACTTCATAACTAATGAAACTGGGAGTCGGAAAACAAAAAAAAAGAAAACATTCCTGGTACCTTTTAAATACCTTCAATGCCCCGTTCAGTTGTACTCTCCCCAGCTCTCCGCTGAGTTAACCACTAGCCTGGTATTTGTGCCTGTCATCCCTTGTTTTGGGTTCCCCTGCTGGCTCAGATGGTAAAGTGTCTGCCTGCAATGCAGAAGACCGGGGTTCAATCCCTGGGTCAGGAAGATCCCCTGGAGAAGGAAATGGCACCCTACTCCAGTACTCTTGCCTAGGAAAATCCTATGGACAGAAGAGCCTGGTAGGCTACAGTCCATGGGGTCGCAAAGAGTCGGACATGACTGAGGGACTTCACTTTATGCCTTGTTTTGGCTTATAGTTCACCTCATATTTAGGTCGTCCCTGTAGCCCAAACGGTAAAGAATCTGCCTGCAATGCAGGAGACCTGGGTTTGATCCCTGGGTTGGGAAGATCCTCTGGAGAAGGGAATGGCAATGCACTCCAGTATTCTTGCCTGGAGAATCCCATGGACAGAGGAGCCTGGTGGGCTACAGTCTGTGGGATGGCAAAGAGTTGGACACGACTGAATGACTAACGCTACTACTTCTCACCTCGCATTTACTTCTACATGGTTTTGCATATCTTTGAACTTTATATAAAATTTTCAGACTACATTCTCACTGTTCTCAGTGAATCATTTGTTGATTCATAAATGAAATCAGCATGAATGTTGATCCATGTAGCTGCTGTTTGTCTTTCACTGCATTAAGGTAGTCTCCATAGGAATTGCCCACAATTTATTTGACTGCTCTGGTTTATAATCCCAGATTCTCTCTATCACTCCGTCTGTCTCTATGTGTCTCTTAGTTAACATGCGTGAGAAGTTTCTCCAGGGTAGGTGCTGGATTTTTTTTTTTTTTTTTGAGAAGAGAGAGGAATAATGGTTTGAAATGGCAAAAAGGAGCAAAAATATCATTAGCCCCACTTCTAGTCCCAGAGTTGGTGAATGTGGAAGTCTGCAGGGTGAAGAGTATTGGTGGGTGTACTGAGGCATCAGGGTTGGATGTCCTTGTTCTTCATCAGGGAGATCCTCACCTGTGGCTTCCCCATTATTCCCAGGGTGAGCCTCCTTAGGCCTAACTGTACATTTGATCATCTCCACATCTTTTGATATGGCTCTGTATGGATGCAACAGGACTCTAAGACATACACAACTATCTAGTCTGACTCGGGAAATTCAGACTTAATTCAAAAGAATTGTGTCTCCTGTTATGCCTATTTTTGTGAGGTCATTATAACCTTATAAATTATGATTATCATCATCTCAATCTCATCATTCATCCTTTTTAATCAGTAAGTATTTATCCAGTGTCTTATGGCCTGGCACTGAATAGATTCTGATAATACCAACATCAACAGGAAAAACCTATTTCCCTGAGTCCGGTAAATGAAGTCTTGGCACATTGAATAGTTATATCAAAGCTGTTAAAACAGGGCCAGGCCTGCTTTGTGTGGGTTTCTCCTGTGCCCCAAACTCCTTCTTCACCTCAGCCCTCTCAAATCTACCCCCAGAGCAGTTCAATTAAAAGTAAGGAATGGTCAGATGGACTCAGTTGGAAGAATAAAGCATTGAAATTACCACTTGTGCATTGTTGTTCAGTTGCTAAGTTGAGTCTGATTCTTTGCTACTCCGTGAACTGCAGTATGCCAGGCTTTCCTGTCCTTCACTATCTCCCAGAGTTTGTTCAAATTTGTGTCCATTCAGTCAGTGATGCCATCCAACCACCTCTTCCTCTTGTGCATTATTCTTTAACAAATACATGTGTTAGGAACTTGGCTAGCATCAAAGTTACAGTGGTGAGCAGATAGATATGGGCTATGACTCTATGGAAATTGTAATGGGTGAATCAGACTTTGATCACTCATTTAAATAGAACAGCAAGCCACAATAAGTACTATGGAAAAAAAAAAAGAAAAACACTGCACAGTGTATTGAGAACCAATGATAAGAGATCTGACCCAGCCTGGGAGGGAAGAGAAAGAAGGTTAGCTTCCTAGAGAAAGTGGTGTTTGAGATCTGAACAGTAAGAGTTCTCTAGGCAACGGGTGGTAGCAGACAAGGAGGGAGCATTCCAGTAGGTTTGTCAAGGTCAAAGTCAGAAAACTAAATTCATTACCCCTAATCTCAATTTGAACCTCAGGGCTTTCCAGAATGAGAGGGCCAGGAAAAACAAAGAATGTTGGAGAGTCTAAAGGGCAATTAGATTATTCCTGCTCCAAAGAGCAGATGAACCTCATCAGAACTTGAACTAAATAAAGTCTCTCGCCTGTCAGTTCAGTTCGGTTTAATCGCTCAGTTGCATCCGACTCTTTTTGACCCCGTGGACTGCAGCATGCAGGCCTCCCTGTCCATCACCAACTCCCAGAGTTTACTTAAACCCATGTCCATTGAGTCGGTGATGCCATCCAACCATCTCATTCTCTGTCATCCCCTTCTCCTCCTGCCTTCAGTCTTCCCCAGCATCAGGGTCTTTCCAAATGAGTCAGTTCTTCACATCAGATGGCCAGAGTATTGGAATTTCAGCCTCAGCGTCAGTCCTTCCAGTGAATATTCAGGATTGATTTCCTTTAGGATGGTCTGGTTGGATCTCCTTGCAGTCCTAGGGATTCTCAAGAGTCTTCTCCAACACTGCAGTTCAAAAGCATCAATTCTTCGGCTCTTGCCTGTACCCATCTCTTTATTCACTAAATGTTTTAGCACCTACAGCAAAGTGTGGGGTGGGAACAGGAGGGCAGCCCAAATGACTGATGAAAAATCAAGCCTACTCTCAAGGAGCTCTTGTTTTTCTGCATTTAGATTCCTGATACCCATTGCATTCCAGCAGACCAACCGCCCTGTCCCTGTTGTGTATTCGCTCAATACTGAATTTCAGCTCTGCAACAATGAGAAGGTGTTCCTAATGGACCCCAACACTTCTGATATGTCACTGGCAGAAATGGATTACAAAGGAGCCTTCTCGAAAGGTAAGCGTTCCCTTCACCCAAAGACAGAGACTCTACTGGACTTGAGAAGCTGTTGGATAGGTCTCCTAGAATCTTTGCTTGTCGGCTTTCAGTCGGTTCTCCAGGGAAGAGTCCCCCAGGGCTGGTTCCAGGGCAGTCAGGGTTTAGTCAAGGAACAGATTCATGTTCTTTCTTCAGGTCATTTCAAAATAAGATCATATTCTTTGTGTTATAATAATCAGTGATGTGATAAGTGTGAAAGTGTTCATGAGTCGTAAGAACACGGGGGCTTCCAGCCAGATTCTAATGCACTGTCTAACTTTGGGTGAATTGCTTCATCTGTCAGTTCCTGAGACTGCAATATGACTGCCTACCAGCCTCAAAACTACGCCAAACGTCCATGTCTTCTTCAGCAGGCTTGCTCTACTTGAAATGGTTCCTTTGACCTCCCCCTGCTCCAGACACGGCTCCCTTGACTTTCTTCTTCTTCAGGTCTCTATCTAAATGCTAACCTCCCCAGAGAGACTGGCTTTGACCATACCAGTCAATCTAATACAGGTTTTCATATCTTTCATTTTCACTAAATGTTGTTCATTTTTTATAGTACTTGTCATAATTTTTAATATCATATTTCTTTACTTATTTATTGCCTGTCTCTCCCACTAGGACACAGATTGTGATTAAATATCAAATTTGCAAATCATCCCATGAATGGGATGCTCAATAAATATTTCTTGAATGAATAAACTATGGATGAATCAATTATCTTTTCTTCCGGTTTCTCTCTTCTGCCTTTTTCTTACTTTTAATCTTTTGCTCACATCTGAGTTTTTTCTCTCATCCTAAAAACATATCCCATTAGACAAAAATCTCTCATCCCTACCTCTCGCTCAAACTTCAACCCACATGTCCTCCTTTGCTTTTCTCTGAGAATCTTCCTGAAGGAGTGGTGAATATAGACACTGTCCCCATGGCCCTTCTTCCCAGCCACTCCTGCGTTGTCTGTTGCAGACTGGCTTTGTCCGACCGCAGCCCAGAATTCTCTTGTCAGACACCAAGCCTGTGGATTTGGACACTTTGTTCTCTGGTTTCCTTTGCGCCAGCCTCACCTGACGCCATCTTGCCGTTCTGACCACTTCCCGCTCTCTGGCCGTCCGTCCTCTGCCCCGTCCTGTTGCTGTCTCCACGTTCCATGCTTGGCTCCTTGTTCTCACTTCAGTGCTCCTCTGGTCACCCCCATGGCTTGGCTCCTCCCTGTCCTCTGAACTTCCTAACCTCCTGCTATTCCACAGCTGCTCCATGAAAATTAACCTTGTCCCTGGTCTCTTCTGAGCTTCACTTCCACACTTCCACACACAGGTTGAAACTACCAAACCTCTCCAAGTGATGTCATTAAGACACCTGTTGTTATTGTTCCCTTGCTTAGTCATGTCTGATTCTTTGCAACCCCATGGACTGCAGCACGCCAGGCCTCCCTATCCTTCACTATCTCCCTGAGTTTGCTCAAACTCATGTCCATTGAGTTTGAGCAGATGCAAATGATGCCACTCAGTGATGTCATCCAACCATCTCATCCTCTGTCCCCTGCTTCTCCTCCTGACCTCAATCTTTCCCAGCATCCGGGTCTTTTCCAATGAGTCAGCTCATTGCATCAGGTGGCCAAAGTGGGAGCTTCAGCGTCAGCATCAGTCCTTCCAATGAATATTCAGGACTGATTTCCTTTAGGATTGACTGGTTTGATCTCCTTGCTGTCCAAGGGACTCTCAAGAGTTTTCTCCAACACCACAGATCGAAAGGATAAATTCCTCAGTGCTCAACCTTCTTTATGGTCTAATTCTCACATCCGTACATGATTACTGGAAAAACCATAGCTTTGATTATATAGACCTTTGTCGGCAAAGTGATGTCTCTCTTTTTAATACACAGTCTAGGTTTGTCATAGCTTTTCTTGAGATGTCTAGAACTGGACTCATCTCCCCCTAGACATGTTGCTGTCACATTCACTGCCCCACTGACTGCATCAGCAAGCTCTAGGTGGCCAGCCAAAGATCCAGGGCTAACCTCTACTTCTCCTTTACCTCCTATACCCCATCCCAGATGGTAATAAAATAACTGGTCCCAACTCTTAGGCATTCCTTGCGTTCAGTCCCTTTGTTGTTGTTTAGTCTCTCAGCCATGTCCGACTCTTTGTGACCCCATAGACAGTAGCCCACTAGGCTCCTATGTCTATGGGATTTCCCAGGCAAGAATCCTGGAGTTTGTGCTCACATCCTCCTCCCGCGTGTCACAGATAGGAAATGTTGAACAAGTTATTTAACATAGGGACACGAATTGAACCCATCTCTTAGGCTCTTGGGAGGACTAAATAAGATGCTGTAGGTAAAGAATTTGATGCCCTAGCAGGAGCTAAGAAAAAGTAACTACACCAGGACTGGTACCCTTCCAGCATTCTGTATTTTGTACATGGACTTGCTTTTACCTAGGATGCTCTCCCAGCCTCTGCATCCCCACTCAGATGCCCCAGCTGTCAACTCATGGTTCAGAATACAACTCAAATGTCGTCTCCTCTTTATACCCTTCCATAGCGCTCGCAGGCAGAGTTTTGTGCTGTGCCCTCATTGTCAGCTCTATGCTCATTTGATGTTGTTTGCCTTCCTCTGTGGTGGTAACAGTATTGTGTGGTGGTCAACAGTGTGGGTTTTTCAAACCAAGCACCTTTGACTTTGAATCCCACCCTCACCGCTCAGTGACTTTGTGACTTTGAAGAAATCACCTCACCACTCAATGTCCTCATCTATGAAATTGTGAGCACTCCCTGAGTTCTCCCATGGGAAGGACTTAGTAAAGTACCTAGCCAGGAGTATGAGTTCAGTAAATGTTAGCTGCTTTTAGCAATTGCTTCGCTTGTATTTCTGCCCTCTTAGCTGTGTCTTACTCACCTTCGTATCCCCTGCACATAAGGGAATGCTTGCCCTACCTTAAATACTTCAGGAACATTTACTGATTAAAGGAAACAGTGCATGAATGAAGGTGTATTTTAGGGGCACATGGACCACACAGCTCTTCATAGAAAGGTACTTTTGATTCTGAAGGAGCATGTTAAAGCCTTTCTATCCTTGACACTTTTTTTTCCCTCTTTCTTAAAGTCTGACCTAATTAATGCCTTGCAATCTTTTCAGGTCAAATCCTTTATGGCCGAGTACTTTGGAATCCAGAGCAAAACCTTAATTCTGCTTACAAGCTCCAACTAGAGAAGGTCTATCTTTGTACTGGGAAGGATGGCTACGTGCCTTTCTTTGATCCCACGGGGACCATCTACAATGAAGGGCCACAGTATGGATGCATTCAGCCCAACAAACATCTGAAACACAGATTCCTGCTGCTGGTATGCTGTTTATGTTAAAAGGCTGACACACGGATAGATTTCCTCAGCTATAAATTTTGCCTAATGCCAGAACCCCACTCTTGATGGTTTCTACAGATACTGTTATTATTTTGTTGATGTTGTCTCTGTCAGCTTAATTCTAGTACATATTACAAAGCGAGTGATAATTATGGTGGGTAACAATGTTACCAAACCCAGATCTGGCTGCTTGCCTCTGAAAAGCCAATAAAAAGGTTGGTGGAAAGGAAAGCTTGCTTTGTTTTGGATGGTGATAACCAAGGAGGACAGCAGATGCATGTCTAAAGGCCAATTCTACCCCCTGACAATCAGGGGCAAGACCTTTTATAGACAGAGGGAAGGGGTTACATGCAGAAACAGTATGGTCAGCTCTGACAGTCATCTTGAAACTGGTCATCAGTGGTCTGACCAGAGTCATCTTGATTGTCTTGAATACTGATAGTCTTCAGTTCTAGAGTTCATTTGTTTCCATTTCTTTGCAGTCAGTTCTCAGACCTATGGCAGCCTGTGTCATGGCTACAGCCTGGTCATCATGTACTTAACTTCTTTCACCTGGTTCAGTTCAGTTCAGTTCAGTCGCTCAGTCGTCTCTGACTCTTTGTGACCCCATGAATTGCAGCACGCCAGGCCTCCCTGTCCATCACCAACTCCCAGAGTTCACTCAAACTCATGCCCATCGAGTCGGTGATGCCATCCAACCATCTCATCCTCTGTCATCCCCTTCTCCTCCTGCCTCCAATCCCTCCCAGCATCAGGGTCTTTTCCAATGAGTCAACTCTTCGCATGAGGTGGCCAAAGTATTGGCATTTCAACTTCAGCATCAGTCCTTCCAATGAACACCCAGGACTGATCTCCTTTAGGATGGACTGGTTGGATCTCCTTGCAGTCCAAGGGACTCTCAAGAGCCTTCTCCAACACCACAGTTCAAAAGCATCAGTTTTTCGGTGCTCAGCTTTCCTCACAGTCCAACTCTCACATCCATACATGATCACTGGAAAAACCATAGCCTTGACCAGACAGACCTTTGTTGGCAAAGTAATGTCTCTGCTTTTTAATATGCTGTCTAGGTTGGTCATAACTTTCCTTCCAAGGAGTAAGTATCTTTTAATTTCATGGCTGCAGTCACCATCTGTAGTGATTTTGGAGCCCCAAAAAATAAAGTCTGACACTGTTTCCACTGTCTCCCCATCTACTTCCCATGAAGTGATGGGACCAGATGCCATGATCTTAGTTTTCTGAATGTTGAGCTTTAAGCCAACTTTTTCACTCTCCTCTTTCACTTTCATCAAGAGGCTTTTTAGTTCATCTTCACTTCCACCTGGTAGGGATTTCAGTATCAACAAGACAGCTCACAGGATGTGGCTCAGAGTACTATCTATGGCTGAGAAGGAACTAAAGGTCCTTGACTGTGCTTACCGACTACATCATTATTATTATTTGGTCCCCTTTGACTGTTTTCCTTTGTTTCTGCATTTTCTCACTTCTCTGATTAAACCTATTCTTTGGCCAACGTTTTTCCACAAAGGGCAGACTGAGGACATGGAGGCGCAAGGGAGGGCCAAGGACCAGAGGGTCCTGCTCCATGTCAACAAGACAAGCTGTCACTGAGTTTCCAGGAAGAGGAAAGTCTAAGAAAGTATTTGTCAATGTGTCCCAGAGACCCCTCAGTATCCCCAGTATTCTTTCAGGGCCTCCGCGGGGTCAAAACTACTTTCGTGATGATATGATGTCGCTTGTTTTTTTCACACTCACTCTCTCACAATTGCAGAGAGTATGCAGGTTTATTGATACGGAATCACACTTTGTATTGTGCCTAATCTTTTAAAAACACCATTTCCTGAGGTTTGATTTAGTATCAAAAAAGGATATGCACAATTATTTGAAAAGTTATTCAAACATTTCTCCCTCTTCCATCTATTAATACCTAGCTTATGTGAGGCCAGATTGTCTTCACATACTTCAGCCAAAACAACATATCACAGCTGATGGAAAATAGAAGCAATTATGAGAATCTAGTTCTTTTCTATCATTTTGCCAAAATGTAAAACAAGGCCAACTCTCTTTTTGGGTGGATACGAATATAGGTGTTTTCACTAAAAAATATATTACTTATGTTAACATGTAATGAGTTGCTCATTTCTCTCTTAAAATGAATTAACAAATATCTATTTTTTCATTGTAGCATAATCACAGTGTTAATTTTAAAAGAGTAAATATTGATAGATGTAAATCACATAAAATGAAAGCTTTGAGACGTCTTTAATTTTTAAGTCCTGAGGACACACAGCTTGAGAATTGCTGGTCTAGGCTATCCTACTTGTTATGTTTCAAGATCACAGAGGCCACCAGGTGTTCTCCCCACTAGGGCAGTGGGTGCCCAGGGGCAGCAGTCTACTTAAGGCTTAGGTGAGGGCCCCTTCAGCACACACTCCCCCCACCCAAAGGGTGACTGTCTCCTCCCTGTGATTGCCGCCTGCCAGGTCAGTGTTTCCATCTTGCTAGATCTTGTGTTTTTCTCTTCCAACTCCTAGGACCGCAGTCAGCCAGAGGTAACTGACAAGTACTTCCATGACGTGCCCTTTGAGGCCCATTTTGCTTCCGAGTTGCCTGATTTCCACGTGGTCAGCAGCATGCCAGGCGTGGATGGATTTACTCTGAAGGTAGACGCGCTCTATAAGGTGAGTGTGGCGAGAGAAACAGAAGTGGAGGACCAATTCACTCTAAAGGTTACAGAGAGGAGGATGACATCATCTCTGCAGTGGCGGTTTCTTTTTATAGCATTCTTGCTGGCAGGTCTTTTTATTGTTATTAAACTTACCATTGTTGTTCAACTGCTAAGTCCTGTCAAACTCCTTGTGACCCCGTGGACTGCAGTATGAAAGGCTTCCCTGTCCTTCAGCATCTCCCAGAGTTCACCCAAGTTCATGTCCATTGATTCGGTGATGCCATCTAACCATCTCGTCCTCTGTCACACTCTTCGTCTTCCGTCTTTCCCAGCATCGGGGTCTTGGCTTCCCTGGTGGCTCAGATGGGAAAGAATCTGCCTACCATACAGGAGACCTGGGTTCGATCCCTGGGTCAGGAAGATCCCCTGGAGAAGGGAATGTCAACCCCCTCCAGTATTCTTGCCTGGAAAATTCCAAGGACAGAGGAGCCTGGCAGGCTTTAGTCCACAGGGTCGCAAAGAATCGGACATGACTGAGCAACTAACACACTCACCTCAAATTTTATCATCTATCCAATAGAGCAACGCAGTAATGAAATTCTTTAATTCGCATATAGTCTCATCATGGCTCTGTGCAGCACCAGCTGTTTTTCACAGGCATGTGGAAATATTTAACAAAATCATAAATACAATCCAGTGATTTAGAATGGCAAGAATTACTAGTATTTAATAAGCAAAAATACTCCAAGTCCCAGTAATAAGCATGAATTTCCAAGATCAATTTCTACTCTTCTCTGTCTTCAAATAGTAAGTCATGACCTTGGATTTCAGAACTATTATCACTCTTCAGAAGTTATTTCAAAATCATGGAGGTTCTCAATGGATGGCAGATGAAAGGGAAATAAAATGCTTGATGACATAACCACTCAGAAGATGATCCAAAAAGTGTCCAGATTTAGCAAAGTTTTGTCCAAGTGTCTGTTTATTACACACAGAGTAGGTGTTTAATGAATCTTTATTGAATGGCTCTATTTTAGCTCATCAATGAATAGTAAATTAGCATACAAACCAGTGGAAGGCCACTGGGAATAAATTGGTTATTAATACTATTACTCTACTTATGTCAATAAAGACGAACAAATCATAACCATTCCTTAAGCTACAGAAACCCTAAAAGATAAATTCTTAGGGCTATTCCATAAACAAGTAGGAAAACAGAAAAAAATATGAATATCTGCCCTAAGATCACTTTAATTTGGAAATAGACTAGAACCCCAGAATATTTGGTTCAGTTCTCTATTCAGACGCCAACCATTGCTAATGCTTTTCTTTTTCTTTCTCTTTTTTCCCCTATACTTCATCAAAATCTTTATTTATTCTGCTACAGTTACAGTGGCATATTTATTAATCCTTAAATGCACCACGCATAGGCTTACCTCAACATTTTTTAAAGGAGGCCAGTGATAGTCTGATTTATTCTATGACTTTAAAAAAAGATTCTTTCTTTAGTGGATCAGTTTCCTCTTTTTTTTTAATTGAAATATATTTGATGTACAATGTTATGTTTCACGTGTGAAACATTTGCATACATTATGAAATGATCAGTGTGGTAAGTCTAGTAACCATCTGTACCCATACAAAGTTATTACAGTTTTAGTGGCCATATTCCTTATGCTGTGTATTACACCTTATGACTTATTTATTTTATAGCTGGAGGTTTGTACCTCTTGAGCCCCTTCATGTGTCCCGGTCCCCCACCCCCTCCTTCATCTGGCAACTACCTATTTATTCTCTGTATCTGAATCTGTTTTCATTTTGTTTTGCTTGTCTTTTTTTTTTAATTCCACATATAAGTAAAATCATATGGTATCAGTCTTTCTCTGACTGACTTATTTCACTTAGTGTAATACTTTCTAGGGCTCCCCAGGTGGCTCAGTGATAAGGAACCCACTTGCCAGTGCAGGAGATGCAGGTTTGATCCCTGGGTTGGGAAGATCCCCTGGAGGAGGAAATGGCAACCCACTCCAGTATTCTTGCCAGGAGAATCCTATGGACAGAGGAGCCTGGTGGGCCACAGTCCATGGGATCGCAAAGAGGTGGAAGTGACCGAGTACAGCCTAATTAATAATTTCTAGGTCCATCCATGTTGGCACAAATGGCAAGATCTTTTTTTTATAGCTGAATAGTATTCCATTGCACGCGCGCGCGCGCGCACACACACACACACACACACACACACACATATATACACCACATCTTCCTTTTCCATTCATCTATTGATGGACGCTCAAGTTGTTTCCACATCTTGGCTATTATAAATAATGTGGCTGTGAACATCGGTGTAGCTAAGGCTTTTCTTGAGACCATGTATCTATGGAAGCTTGTGGTGGGCAGTGGTCTTCCCGTTCCCTTCCTCAGAGGTGGTCCTGGGCATCAGTGATATGTTCAGTGCATCTCCCCGTCTCCTCCTCCTGCAGGTGGAAGCGGGACACCAGTGGTACCTTCAGGTGATCTACATCATCGGTCCTGACACCATCTCAGGCCCCAGGGTCCAGCGCTCTCTCACGGCCCCTCTGAGGCGCCACCGCAGGGACCTGGCGGACCCCAGTGGCTGGCTGAGCCTCGACGAGTCCCTCATCTATGACAACGAAGGGGACCAGGTCAAGAATGGCACCAATATGAAGTCCCTGAACCTGGAGATGCAAGAGCCAGTCGTGGCCGCTTCTCTCTCCCAAACCGGGGCGTCTATCGGCAGCGCCCTTGCTGCCATCATGCTCCTACTGCTGGTATCTTTGGTGCTTTGTTTCATCACCAGGAAGTGCCAGAAACAGAGGAAGAAGCCGCCCCCAGGGGACATCTTGGAGGAATACCCTCTGAATACCAAGGTGGACGTACCCAAGAGGGGAGCAGACAGGGTGGAGAAGAACGTGGACAGACAGTACTGCACGGTGCGCAATGTGAACATACTCGGTGACCCCGAGGGCGCCTATGTGTTCAAAGGTGCTAAAGTCAAGAAACTGAATCTGGAAGTCAGAGTCCACAACAATTTACAGGACGGAACAGAAGTTTAATGGAGGAGACCCATGTGTATTTTTTTTTTCTAAAGTCATTTTTATAAAACGGGGGGAAAATACTGGTATTTTTATAATCTTGCCGATTAAAAAGGGAATATGATAGCGTTCAGTGGTGGAAGGCATACATCACATGCATCAACTCACAACTGAGCTACCTCATGAGACTGAGACCCCAGAGGATGGAAGGAGTTCTTTCCGTGGATCCCATTAACAGTCTCTGCAGCGGCAAATTGTTCCTTCTGTAAGGCTAGTCTTGGAAAGCCAGTGTTCGGAGTTAGGACGGGACTTAAGTCAGCGGAGGTGGCGCACAAGGATGTACCGGAAGGTCTCAGAGGCAGAAAGTGCCGGGGCGGGAGGTGCTTTTGGTCTCCACCCCCACCAGCTCCAGCTCCCTTTCGATTGCGCTCTTGCTGGGCATCTGGACCGCAGAGTTCACATTGCTGACGCACAGATTCCGCTCAGAATTCTGCTAATCGGCACCTATGTGTTTGCTCATGCGTCCAGTTGACAGTTTGCACTCTTCGTCCTCCGACTGTACTTTGCATCACCAGCCCTTTTCACCTAGGGCTTTAAACTGCTCTGGACTAGAGCATTTCTCCGAGAAACCCCAGCCTCTCCTGTCAGACATCAGGCATGGGGAAACCCCCTCCCACTTTATGGAGGGGGCACTGAAGCCTGGGGGGAAGGAGGGGTCTGGCAGGTGACTCCGAGCACATCAGAGATGCTCTGCGCCCTCGGCCCCATGGGGGGTGTCCTTGTGCCCGGCTGGTTTACACTGCAGCCAGGAGACATCCTTCCCGGCACAGGACAGCTGCCAGACAAGATCACTGCACTGTGCCCCTTTCGCCAGCATTGCCCGTGGGTGTTGGACACTCCTACCACAGTCCTGCTGCCCCAGGCTTTTCTCAGTCCGGTAATACACAAGCCCTGTGCTTGCTGGCTGTGGGGCTTTTATTTTGTTAGGGCTTCAGAGAAGTCAGTGATTCATTTGAATAAAGCCAATCAGGAGAAAGCTCAGGCCCAAGTTGGTGCCCTGGTGCTCACTGCACAGAAGTCCTAGCGCTCACAGCAGAATACTAGCTCAGCAGGTACAGGCATGACTTCCGGTACAGTATTTCAGGGATTTCTCTTTTGGGGGTTCTTCTTTTGGTAGCTCAGGCACTTATTTTACCATATCAGCACAGCCCATGACAAGGCCATGAACACATGGCTTTAAAATGATTTAGTGTTCAAATAGCAGCTTAATGATGTCGCAGGTAGTGTACGCACCACTTGCTCTTGTGTTCAGTTTTGCTTCTGCTGAGTTGGCAAAAAGCATAAGCATGCATGTCATGTTGTTTTGAACTGGAGGCACCTTTCTGTTGTTCGAGAGGAAAAGACACTTCCCCTTCCTGACACCCGTCACACCTTTACCACTGAGCAAATCGCGGAGCATTCACACTGTGTAATATTTGTATTAGGGTTGAGCCTCACTCTGAGAACAGTCCACATGGGAAGCACTTTGATACTCAGAGCTAGAAAGAATGAACCATATGAGGTTTCAGGCATCTCTGCTGGAGTCCAAGCTCCTTGAGAGGAGGGCGGGTGTGAGCCATGCCTTGGGCTCTCCAGCAGTGCCTGGCACATCACAAGCACTCCAGGAGTATTTGTTAAGTGAACAAATAAGCGGTGTCATGGGTGAAGGATAGAGCAGTCAATTTAGGCTGGGGGAGGGAGAGTATGGTGCCAATATAATAAGGGCAAGTAGAGAAAAAAACTCTCCTACTTGGATCATAAAATAATCTCACTGGGGCAGAGAAGCACCACTTGACCCAGGCAGGAATCTGGCAGGGGCTTGAGGAGGACTGAACAGAGAAGCTGGCATAGCATGTTAACAAGAGGTGAGACTGTGAGTCAGCCTCCTGAGCAGGACAGTTGGAGGAGAGTCTGATGAGCATTCCAAGATGAGTGTAAGTTTCTAGGGAAGGGAGAGTTGGAGAGATTGGGCCCCGAACCAAATTCTCCTGCCTGCTCAGGTGCTATGTAAGACCTGCTGGGGTGTTTGGAGGTTGAATTTCTCTACTGGCCTCATGAACACCCAGAACTGGTGTTTCATGACTGAAGAGCTCGTCAACCCAGCACAGAATTCTCTCCAGACAATGAAGTAAAGAACCCGCCTGCCAATGCAGGAGACACAGGTTCGATCCCTTCGTGGGGAAGATCCCCTGGAGAAGGAAATGGCAACCCACTCCAGTATTCTTGTCTGGAGAATCCCATGGACAGAGGAGCCTGGCAAACTACAGTCCATGGGGTCGCAAGAGTCAGATATGACTTAGCAACTAAACAAGAACAACCTATAATAGAAGGTTGCCACTATTTCTGCCAGGACAGAGCCAGTCACTCACAGAGCAACTTTTGATGTGACCTGTTGTTTCCCACCACTCCTAGATGCCTGAATGCTTGCACATGAAAGCAGCAGTTTCCCACTTGCCGGGAGAGCCTCCTGGCACGGCCCTTCCGATCCTACTAAACAGGGCACATGGGTAGGAAGAGTGAGGACAGGAGGCAGAAGAGGGCTGGTGTGGGAAGGCGTGGAGGCTGATCTCAGCGCGCTCCCAGCAGCCTCTGTGGAAGGGTCTCAAGGGACACGAACAGCATCTATGCGGACCATGAGATGGTGAGCTGTCAGTGTGAAAGAGAAGACCTTGGGATCATTTGTGCCTCCCTCCCTTTCTATCCTCCACCCCCACCACATACACTTCATCCTCCAGTGGATGCACACTTGTGAAATAGGAGGTGTTCAGAGATGTAAAGCGGAGAGGTACTGCTTCGATACAGAATTTTTCATTTCATTTTATGTGTCATATGAGGGAGCAGAAAATTTGCTGACTGACCTGGGACGCTATTCCAGTCAAAGCTCTCCTTTTAGTTCTTCTAACTCGCTCACTAAGGCCTTGTGTGTGTTTTACTAACCTTTCCTAACATGCCCTTAGGTGATCAGGAACAAAAGCCTCTCAGGGGTTGTTATTTGCTATCACATGCTGGCTGTGAAGGTTCAAAGAAAGAGGAGTCTGCACCTTTGCCCTCTGATTGTGCCCCAGGCCTCCTGGCCTCGTGGGGATTCTTATGGGGAGATGCGGAAAGGGTGTGGGAATGTGTTTGCACAATCTTACCATATCTAGTCTTGGTGTACCCTAGGTATTCATTCTTCTCAGATACTACACACCTGCTCAGACTTGAGTAAAACATCCGTGGTGCTGTCAACCTGATTCCTTGACTCTGAAATGATTTTTGTGTGTTATGAATTTCTGATTTCTCCAATAGCATATGCCACTATATAAATTTGTATTAATAAATGACAGTCTGTGTTTTATTTGCTTTGTTCATCTTACTAGATTCTTCACCTCATCAACATAAGACAGTGCCATGGAAATGGCAAAATCATTCTAAAATTTGAGACAGATCTTTTAATTAGAGAAGATCCCTCTGAAGGGGTTGAATCTGAGACATTCACTACTTGGACTAAGATCAAGAATAAATTTCCTATCCTTGTATACATCTTAGTTCTTCTTTTGCCATCCGTTGAAACCCTTGGAAAAGAAGAATAATTAAAATTTCCACGTGCAAAAGATGATCATTGATGCTGTATTTATCATCATCAAACCTTCTCAGGACACTTGAAATAGTGTGAAAATGACTATGTCCTTTTATGCAGGCACAAAGTTTATTTTAATATTTATTTTTATTTATTTATTTGGCTCTACCAGGTCTTTGTTGTGGCATGTGGGATCTTTAGTCGTGGCATGTGGGATCTAACCAGTTCCCCAACCAGGGATCAAACCCGGGCCCTCTGCACTGAGAGTGTGGAGTCTCAGCAACTGGCCCACCAAAGAAGTCTCTGGGCACAAAGATCTGTGTCCATAACTCACCCTGTGACTGACTAAAGCTCCAAATAAGAATTTACTGGTGCAGGAAAAATGGCAGAGTCAGAATGACACTGAGGCCAGGCATTCTGCAAGCCTGTCCTCCCTGAGAAATGAATGACGGTGAACACCAAGGTTCTGTTGGCACATTGTGATAGCACATTTGCAAACCCAGCAAGACTTGAGAAAGATTTTTCATGAAATCCAGGGAAAAGATGCCACAAATGAACCTAGGGTTTCCTTTTCCCTAGATGTTGCCATGGGCTTTGTGTAAACTTAACTTCCTCAGAATTTCCTATGATTGTCCTTTGCCTAAAAGCAGGCCCTCCGCCCCAGAGTGCATTTCTCTCGGGCCCATAAAGAATCTGATTCAGGAGCCAATCTATGAATTGCTAAGACTGGCTATTAAAATGCTTCCTGAGACCTGAAATTTCATGAAAATTGGAGGAAAATGGCAGAAAATGAGTTCTCATTTAGATTTTGTGATATTTCAGACTAGGGTCTTGAAGAAACATAATGAGAGCAGGTGAGGGAGACTATAGGGAACATCCTACTAGATTCAACCCCATGAAATTGCTAATTTTGTAGGTAAAAATAGTCCAGGATCAGTAGTTTACACCTCTCAACCTAATATTTAGATGCCACACCGTGTACCAAGTTTCCCTGACGGTCTAATGGTTAAGAATCCATCTGCCAAGGCAGTGGGCACCAGTTCAGTCTCTGGTCCGGAAGATCCTACATCTGTAGGGCAACTAAGCCTGTAAGCCACAACTACTGAGCCCACGTGCTTCAACTGCTGAAGCCCAAGCCCCCTACAGCCTGTGCCCCGCAACAAGAGGAGCCACTGCAGTGAGAAGCCCGTGTGACACAATTAGAGAGTAGCTCCACTTTGCCTCCACGAGAGAGAGGCCACGTGCAGCAGTGAGGACACAGCGAAGCCAAAACTAAATAAATCATTTTTTAAAAAGTTTCTATCCCCAAATAAGCCTGTGATAGCTCTAACCAGGAGCACACTGCGACTAGCTGTTGGCCCAGGTAAGATCCTAAGGACAATGTCAATATCATATTGGGCACACAGGTGGCACTAGTGGTAAAGAACCCACATGCCAATGAAGAGACTCAGGAGACATGGGTTCTATCCTTGGGTGGGGAAGATCCCCTGGAGCTGGGCATGGAAACCGACTCCAGTATTCATGCCTGAAGAATCTCATGGACAGAGGAGCCTGGCGAGCTATAGTCCATGGAGTTGGACACAATTGAAGCAATTTAACACACATGCATGCCAGTCAAGATCAATGATTTCTTCACCTTCTCTACCTCATTCAGTCCTGGTTATGACTCTGAAACTAGTTGAAGATCACTGTCCTGGACAATTTTCTCTCAATGTTCCATATGAATCCCAGAATTTCAAGTATTTGCACAAACTGATATTGCTTAAATATGGTCCAAATCTGCTATACCTCTGATTTAATGCTTGTCCCCCAAAATCCAGCCACTTGATTGATACAAGAAAATAGCCCCATGGTGCAACTCTCTCTTAAAAAAAAAAAACACAAAAGGCTAGCAGAATTTTATCCCCATGGTCATTTTAATTTAAGGCTGGCAGGCTACAGTCCATGGGGTCACAAAGAGTTGGACACAGCTGAACACATGCACAGCAACAAACCCCAAGACCAGCAAGTTAGAAAAGTTTATTAGGATCCAAGCTTTGGGAGAGTTTCTGTAAATTGTTAAATAAAATTAAAAAAAAAAGTTTCACGATGTCTCCCTTAATAAACATTCCAACTAAATTAGGAACGTGTCCAAAATTAACCAGCGCTCAATACTAGTAACTCACAGAAGTCCTTGTGCTGCTTACCTTGTTTGCCTTCACACCAGTTCTCTGCCCCAGTTCCTATGCTCCAGGAAACTGGCTTCCCGAAATTGCTTCTCCAAGGCTTTCTTGGGCCCTTGGCCTCTTCCCTCCCCCCACTGCTTTGCCGTGGGTGTAGCCAAGCTTGCATCCCTCCTAGGCCATAGGTCCTGTCAGGAAGCTCTCTCCCATTTGATTATAATTTCCTATGATTTTCTAATATAACTTTGCACTAGAATGTTATATTTGACTCTCAAATTGTTCTTTTTAGCAGAGAGAAAAGGGGACGTAGGAAGGTCAGCTTATAAAAAAACTATGGCGTTGTTCAATGCATTCAGAATGGTAAAAGTTTCATCAGTGTTTTCTGGGGTTTTTTTGGATGACGATAAACATGGTTTCTGGGATCCTAACATTTATCATTCTTATCATTTTACCATCTAAAATTTACTTCTGAGAAAATCCATCCTTTGAGGGAAAAGCATTAATTTTATAAATACACTGCAGCATGATTCTAGTTTAAATGGTGGTAACTGGGCAATTGTCACAACTAGAAAACCTCAAAAAACAAAGTGCATTTTGTTTTCAAGTTGCCATCCTAAAACCAAAGAGGCTAAACCCTGAACCTGAAGCAATTAAAATAAATCCTACATGTAAACACCACGTGTCTCTCATATCCTTCTGGGTAGAAATCCAACTTTATTACTTCCTGGTTGTGTGGGACACAACTGGTAGAAGTCACTGAATCCCTCTGAGCCTGTCTCTGAATTTGCAAAATAGAGGTAATCACACCTAATTTAAGTTCTTCTGTAGACATGAAATAAGGCAATATATGCCAAGTGCATTTCTCAATGTCATATAAATTATGAGATCTCAATACATATCCCCCTGTTACTCCCATAATAATCCCAGAATGTTCCAGGATGAGTTGGGACTTGATAATCTATTGTACCAGTCCCTGGATGGGAGTCAGAAATTAGAACAGAAGGCTGTTCTATCTTGGCAGAAAATTCAATGTGTTAGATTTGGAAGTCCGGTGGTTCCAGGGCACTGACTTGACAAGCAAGACCACCTCTCTGCTTTCTCTATTGAAGCTCCTCTTCCACTGAAGGAAGGACGTCCTCTTAAACAGGCTTTGCTGGTGGCTCAGCAATAAAAGGATCCGCCTGCGGAGCAGGAGATGCAGGAGACCTCAGTTCCATCCCTGGGTGGGGAAGATCCCCTGGAGGAGGGCATGGCAGCCCACTCCAGTACTCTTGCCTGGAGAATCCCATAGGCAGAGAAGCCTGGCAGGCTACAGCCCATGGAGTTGCAAAGAGTCGGCCGCGACTGAGCCAATAACACACTTTCATCCAAACCAAAGGTTCAGAATCTGCACCTGTCAAAGCATGGTATAATGGCTTTGCAATAGCCCAAAGTTTGGTTTCCATATGCGACAAAATCCCACCATTCTAGGAAAACCTTGGAGTTGTCAGAGGTTTTTTGGTCTGTGCTCTAGATTTAATAATTTGTTAGTTTTTCTAATTTTAAAAGAACCCATCATTTGGCCACCAATAAATTATAAAAAGACCTCTTATAAGCCTAAAACAAACAAACACACAATAGAACAGCCTAGGAAGGTCAGATAGAAATTTTACGTCTCAAAGATGCATAGAAACATGTTTCCCTCTAGGAGGTTTTTGTTTAAAGTTATCAAGCCAGCTTCTCTTTTTTTCTTTTAAGTCACCTTAATTACATATACAATAAAAAGAGCTCCCTCAAAAAAAAGATTTTTATGTATGTGTGAGCACTTTTAATTTCCAATTAAGTAAATACTTGTCATAAGTATAGGTTGACCAGTAATCTAGGATTTTTCCTAGGGGACTCAGATGAAACTTTGGAGGAAGTACTTCCCATTCTAGCTCAAGCAGTTAGGGTCAGATGTCTGTGCTCACAAACCAAAGTAAACAAACCAAACCAGACCATGATAGCAGGAAGTCACTAAAAACAAAATAAATGGCAAAGAGACGCCCAGAAATCCAAAAACCAAATGGCAAGAATGCCCCAAACATGACTTTTGAGTCCCACTAAGCCTGTACGTATGTCCAAAGCGGCACGTTACAAATGGGAACCCCGTTCTATAGGGAGACACCCCCAAACTGGAACTGCATCAGTTCCTCAAATGGAAAACGTCAAGAGGTGCACACCAGAGGACTTATCTAAATGCTAGTGAGTGTCTCCATATACCAGACACCCCATTTCGGATCCTCCAATATCCAGTGTTTCTGGGATCAAAAGTTCAGGCTGGCACGAAAGAGAGAAGAAAAGCGCCCTCAGCCTTGGCAGCTGAAAGGGTAACTTCTCTCCTTTTCTCCATCACAGTCCCAGAGTTCCGCAGCTAAGTTGGCAAGCGGGTTGGTGTGATCCCAGCACCGCCCTGTGAAAGGAGTCCCTGGTGTTCCCATAGCCAAAGGGCCCTGTGGGGCCACCTGCCCACCACCAAATGCCAGACAAGTCCCCCAAATTGTTGCCAACCAAAATCTTGGTTTTTTCTGCCCACTGAAGTCAATTAAAAAAATATGGAGACAGAGTTGAGAGGTAATAGAAAGGTGGCTTTATTCCTCAGCCGGCAGAGAGGGCTGCCCCCCACCCCCAGCCCCACCATGAGGAGTCTAGGGGATGATAGCTCACAGGAGTCAGCGATGAGGAACAAAGGTGTCAGGATCTTGTCAAAAACACTCACAGGCTGGCATCAGTAACCCAGCAATTGAGCCTGGTAGTTTGGTGGTTCTGAGTCCTTCTTTCTGATAAGTAACTACAAGGGGAAGGAAGTGTTGCAAGGGTAAGAAAAGGATAATACGTGCAAAATTTGGCTCCTGCATAGTTAGGGGGCAGAAAAGCAAGCTAAGTTGCAGATAGGCAGAGTTAGGAGCAATTAAAGTAAAAAAGAAGAAAAAAAAAATCCCCAAAACTAAAGATGTTCAGGCCTGCTCACTGTTCTCTTTTATCTTTTTTGGTCTCAGGAAAGGGAAAGAAAAACGCATTCCTCTTTTTCCTTTTCACTGCAACGTGGGGACTGTCTCATCTTTGAATCCACAAGGCCTGGAACAAAACATGCATTGCAAAAAATCTGAAAAAAACTTAATGTGACAGAGAAGTGAAAATGGAAGACAGGGTTTCACTATGAGGGTGAGCAGGGAGGGTGGGAAAGTTTAGAGATTGCCCCCACACTCCATCGGGGAGGTCTAAGACGCACGTGTGGGGAACTGCAGTCCAGGGGACCCGGGCGCGGCTTCCCTTTTCCGGCCGCCGGTGGCGAGCAGGTGGAGCCGGGAGGAGGCGGAGGGGCGGGAGGAAGGGGTGCGGTCCCGGGGCCGGCCGCAGGGCGGGAGGGAGCGCGGAGCAGCGGCTCCCGGGGCGCACTCCCTCGCTGGCCGCTCTTCCGCACGCCGGCTCCCGGGGCGGCTCCCTAGGTAAGTTCAGCCTCCCCACGCCTAGCCGCAGTCCTCTCCCGCTGCCCTCGCTGCCCTGCGGCCCGAATCCCCGGGTGAGCGTCGGCCGGTTCTCCCGCGAGCGCAGCGCCGGGCTGGCACCCGCGGCGCGGACCGACCCGGCTGCAGGGTGCAGGGTCCCAGGGGGCTGGGCCGGCGTGGAGTCCACGGCCCCGGTTTCAGAAAACCCAGGCAGCAAAAGTGCCTGCCCTGAGAGGGTCACCCGGTCCTGCTAAAGGCGGGGCGCACGCTGACCAGCTTTTCATCGCAGCGAGTGGGGCGGGGATGCAGCTGGCCATCTTGGTCTCCCCAATTCGGAAGGTCTTGGGAACAGAAAAAGAACGGGGAGTTAGAATGGCCCTTCCGGTGCCTGGTGTCTCCGGAGTAGTTCTGAGCTCGGTTCTGAGCACTTGGAAACCACCCATCCTTGTGAGCTAGTCTTCCTCTTCACGTAGGCAATTAATTTTATTTCACCTGACTTTTTTAGGAGTTGAAAGTGTATTTAGATATTGAGCTTTAGGAGCCCCGGAAGTTTGCTTTTCCTTCAAAAGACTTACCTTTTTCTTTGATTACATTAGTCTGATTCACTGGACGTGAATCATTTCCCTGGCATTTGAGTCAACAGGGGATCTGAGTCCTTGATTGCAACTGACCATATATAGGAAATTGTGGTTTCCCACCTCCCTATCCCGGTCAAGAAGGTTCAGGGTTGCTGGAGGCCCCTTTGGCTGCTGCTAAGAAGGTTGTTATCTACATCTATGACTTTATTTCGGTTTTGTTAAGTAAGTTCATTTGGGAGGAAGGAGAGGGAGGGATAAATTAGGAGATTGGAATCACCCTATACACACTACTCTATATTAAAAAAATAGATAACTGATAAGGACATGTATAACACAGAGAACTCTACTTAGTACTGTGCAATGGCCTGTGTGGGAATAGGAAAAAAAAATTTGTATTTTTATTATATTTGTATAATCGATTCACTTTGCTTTATACATGAAACTAACACAACACAGTGAATCAACTATACTCAAATAAATAAAAATAAAAAAAGACAGTTGTAATATGGCGGGCTAAATTCTTATCAAGGATTTGTGTTCTACATAGACTTTGCCCTTTGGAGTAGCTACTTTCACAACTTTTAAAAAATCAACTTCATGAAAATCATAACTCATAAAAACTACGCCACTTGCTCTCATGAAGGCAGAAAACTTCAGACTGATAAGAAAACAAATCGAAAGATGTAAAGAAAACCAGAGGGCTTCCCTGATAGTTCAGTTGGTAAAGAATCTGCCTGCAATGCAGGAGACCCCAGTTTGATTCCTGGGTCCTGAAGATCCTCTAGAGAAGGGATAGGCTACCCACTCCAGTATTCTTGGGCTTCCCTTGAGGCTCAGCTGGTAAAGAATCTGCCTGCAATGCAGGAGACCTGGGTTCGATCCCTGGATTGGGAAGATCCCCTGGAGAAGGGAAAGGCTACCCACTCCAGTATTCTGGCCTGGAGAATTCCGTGGACTGTATAGTCCATGGGGTCGCATAGAGTCAGATAGGACTGAGCGACTTTCACTTTCATTTTCAAAGAAGACCAGAGCCAGAGCCTCATTCTCAGAGGCCTGTGGTTCTATAGAGACATTTGTTGAAATATAGGCACCAAGGAGGAAGTAAAGGAATTGATGTGAACACTCTAACCTCTTTCAGAAAATGGCGTTTTTAAAGTTCTATTGTTGGTTCTTTTAGGCTCCACTGTGGAGTAATTCTTCACTCTTAAACCTGTGATAAATGTTCATGATTTACAAATTATACTGCATCAACTCATATTGGGGCTTCCCAGGTGGCTCAACAGGTAAAGAATTTGCTTACAGTGCAGAAGATGTGGGTTCAATCCCTGGGTCGGGAAGATTCCTTGGAGGAGGGCATGGCAACCCACTCCAGTATTCTTGCCTGGAGAACCCCATGGACTATAGTCCATAGGGTCAGGAGGATTCATACACGACTGAAACCTCTGAGCATGTAAGCATGTGCTGAGCATTAGCTTTGACAGTGTATTGACTGGGCACTTAGGTAAGTAAGAAACTTGGGGTTAAACACATATCTTTGGAGTGTAACTGCCTAGGTTCAGTAGGGGGGGGCCACTCACTCCTTGTGTGGCTGGAATGTAGCCTCCGTGGGTTTCGCAGCTGAACTCTGGTTGATGGAACCTGCCCATGTGGAACCCCTGCGTCCCAGGAGCGGACTGTACCGTGCTCTTGTGTATAAGGGATTTAAGCACCCTCAGATTTTGTTAAATGCTGGATGAGGTTGGGGAGAGGGCCTGGGACCATGGATATGAAGGGACTCTGGGACCATGGATATGGAGGGACCAACTGTACCTTTCTATGCCTCAGCTTCCTCATTTGCAACTTGGAGATATTATAAATGATACCTGGCTACCCTGGATTATTGTGAGGCTTGTATTGAGTCATTTTTTCATTCCATAGCATTTTTTAGTACTTTCTGGGCCCCAGTGAACAGACATGACTGAAATCTCTAGCTTTGACTACATAGTGTTTTTGTATTATCTGCAACATAGAAACTCAAAACATTTGCTCACGTTATTAACACATATAATTTCATTTAATGCCAGCAGTAGCCCTAGTACTCTTGCCTGGGAAATCCCATGGACGGAGGAGCCTGGTGGGCTGCGGTCCATGGGGTCGCTAAGAGTCGGACACGACTGAGTGGCTTCACTTTCACTTTTCACTTTCATGCACTGGAGAAGGAAATGGCAACCCACTCCAGTGTTCTTGCCTGGAGAATCCCAGGGACGGGGGAGCCTGGTGGGCTGCCGTCTATGGGGTCGCACAGAGTCGGACGTGACTGAAGCAACTTAGCAGCAGTAGCAGCAGCAGCCATCCTCTCCCCCTTATTACAAATGAGGAAACTGAGGCTCAAAGAGATTGTGTCTAGCTTTAAGGGGCAAAAGCAGAACTAATGATATTTTGAATCCACTGTATATTTAGAGGGATGTAGCGTTAGCTCTCATAACTAGAGAGTTAACTGCCCTTCCATCAGTGATTCTGAGACTATTGAGGCTAAATGTTTCCAGGGACTAATAGTGTCATTTCCTGTTGAACTTTACTGTGGCTATCACTGAATATTTAGAATATTTTGTTCCTGGGAAGAGTGGGAGCAATTTTTATGTCTAAGTCAACCCTGGATATTTGCCAGCATGTTTGAACAATGTCTACATATGACAATGTGACTGGATTCCCAGTCAGGACTCTGTCAAAGAAATACCCCTTTATACCTACAGGTTCTACCAAGATATGGACCTTCCTCAAAAAGCAAGCATGTTTGTTTATAAAAGGCTGTGTAGACTTGGAGCCTTGTAAAATGTAAATGGAGACTTCAGAAACACAAGGATTCAAACTGAAGCCTGTTAAAAATTGGAGAAGAAGGGACAAGTTTTTTTTTGTTCCCTATGATGGTGGGAGGCTTCCCTGGGGTTGCAAAAGAGTTGGACACGTCTGAACAGAAACAGACACACACAGGTCGATCACAGTCCCTTGTAGCTGCTGCCAAGTCGCTTCAGTCGTGTCTAACCCTGTGTGACCCCACAGACGGCAGCCCACCAGGCTCTGCCGTCCCTGGGATTCTCCAGGCAAGGACACTGGAGTGGGTTGCCATTTCCCTTGTAGCTAGTTATCAGCAAATGTTTGTTTAGCAAATGGAGTACTTGATATTAGAGACAAGTCTTCTTCCTGAGATGATTTCTCTTTGAATATTAGCTTCTGTTTTCTGAGTTTGAGTCTAAGGGTTAGACTGAGATTATTGTGCTCTGAATTCCAAGTTTATACCATTCAGCGCTTTATTTCTTTTAATAGGTTAGTGTGATCTCAACTCAAGAGAAAGGTGGGATATCATGGCATCTATCTGGGTAAGTAAAAATCAAGCCTTTGTAACAGTAACTTATCTGAATCAAATCAAAATATAGAAGATCAAAATGTTAAGAAAAAGTTTGAAATTCAATAAAAAGTTCCTGTGAAAAATTAACATGCCCTCAAAACTAGAGGATGTCTAAAAATAAGAAAATATTAAAATGTATTGTAAAGGTACTTAGTTAAAATAATTTGTACTGACACCAAAGTAGGGAGGTCAATAACAGAATAAATTAAGTGATTTGGGAATTTATTATAAGAAAAGACATTTTTTTATCAGAGAGGAGAAGGCTTATGTTAACAAATGATGTTATGAAAATGTCTAGCTATTTGAAGAAAAAGGTAAATCTGTATTCCATCTCTCCTCTTTCATGAAACAATTTCATGGATAAAATATTGAAATGAAAGAGACAAAATATGGGTAAATTTAAAAAATAATCTTGGAGTGGGAAAAGCAGTTACAACCATAATACAAACCAAAAGCCTAAAAGAAAAATATCGATCTATTTAACTACATACAAATTTATAATTTATGACAGCAAGCAATACTATTAGTGGAGTCAGAAGGGAACCCACAGGGGAAAAGCATTTGCAACACATTTGACAAAAGATTCATTTCATTAACATAAAAATAGCTTGAGTAAATCAATGCGAAAAGAGAACTTGATGAAAAAGCTTTTGTGGGACATGAATAGGATATGAAAAGAATTACAAATAGCATACAAAACAAATACACAAAAAGATGCTATACGTCACTGAGAAATAAGGAAATGTAAATAACACAATGAGAAATCATTTCTATCTAAGTACTGGTAAACGTGAAAAAAAGGTACGAAGACCAGGGTCGCAGAGGATGAGGGCTGAGAGGCACTCTCATATTCTGCTTATGGAGGAGTAAACTTGGCGCTCTTTGGGGATCGTATTTTGGCAGTATCTATCAGTGTCTACATGCACACCCCCTGTAACCCAGTAATTCCACTTCTACGTATTTATCATACAGATAATACTTGCATAAGGTTGGAAAAATATAGGCTGATGGACATTCATTTGTACTAGTGAAAATACGCAGACAGCTTGAGTGGCCGTCTGTGGGGTATGATATTATTTGTTTGTAACTTGTAGCCATTTTCATGTCATCACTCAAAAATGAGAAAAAGTGGGTCAGCTGTCTATATTGATATCAGAAAGTGTCCACATATATATTAATAAAAAATCAAGTTACAGAATAGTATGGACAGAGTGATTCTGTTTTAGAGAAAAAAAAAGGAAAAAATATATACATAAAGACTATTTTGAATGCATCACCTTCTGTGCTCTGATCTTTTTTAATGATGAAAATGCATCATGTTTTACAAGTGAGGGGCAGAGAGGCTTCAAGGGTAACTACAAGGGAGACGTGAGCAGGCTTTGGTATGCTCAGTGTTGGTAGGAGATGTATCATCATGAGGCTTTGCTTGGTACCACACGATTCCCCATCGCTGGTCAGTAGGCTGATCTTCTGCTTTCCAGATCTGAAATTCCTGTTGCTATTATGGCTCTCTAGCGTTTCCTTGGTGGCTCACACAGTAAAGAATCTGCCCACAATGCAGGAGACCCTGGTTCGATCCCTGGGCGGGGAAGATCCCCTAGAGCAGGAAAGGGCAACCTAGTATCTATGGAGAATGCTATGGACAGAGGAGCTTGGTGGGCCAGGGGGTCTCAGAATCAGACACAACTGAGCTACTAACAGCACTTCCTTATGGCTATCTAGTCGTGCTAATTACTTCAGTCATATCCGACTCTGTGGAATCCTTTGGACAGTAGTCTGCCAGGCGCCTCAGTCCATGGGGTTATCCAGGTTTCTGCCAAAACTCATACAGCCCTAAATTCAGTGTCATTGATTATAATTTTCTAATATAAATCAGAAATAATCACTTGAACTCAATTCATGTCTTAATTTTAAATTTGCCCATTATTGTCATCAGTTGTGTGTGTGTGTGTGTGTGGTTAGTCACTCAGTCGGGTCCAACTCTTAGTGATTCCAAGGACTGTAGCCCGCCAAGCAGGCTACCGTCATCAGTGGTATACTGATAAATATTTCACGCTCAGCTTTGAAGTCACCACTGGGCTCCTCTGTTCATGGGATTCTCCAGGCAAGAATAGTGGAGTAGGTTGCCATGCCCTCCTCCAGGAGATCTTCCCAACCTAGGGATCAAACCCACGTCTCTTATGTCTACCTGCGTTGCCAGGTGGGTTCTTTCTAGTAGAGTCTGATGCAAAAAACATTTCATCTCTCCAAAAACTTAGTCTCCGTCTAGCCCTTGTCCATTGGTTTATTGACATTAGTGGTTTAGCTGGCCTGGCCCTCCAGCTGACACTTCAAAGGCATGGCACGTTTTCTGAAGGTCTGGGAGAGACCCAGGTGAGTATGAGAGAGGGTGTATTCATTTCCTATTGCTTCCATAAGCAGTCACCACACATTTAGCAGCTTAAAACAACACCCCTTTAATACCACACAGTTATGTACATTAGAGCCGAAAATGGGTCTCATGGCACTAAGATCAAGGACTCTGAAGGGCTGCCTTCCTTTCTGGAGACTTTGGGAAGAATCCACCTCTGGGCTTATTTATATACATGTATGCTCAGTCGTGTCTGACTCTTTGTGACCCCATGGACTGTAGCCCATCAGGCTCCTCTGTCCATGGAATTTTCCAGGCAAGGGAAGTGGAAACCCACTGGAGTGGGTTGCCATTTCCTCCTCCAGGATATCATCCTGACCCGGGGATTAAACCTGAGTCTCTTGCATCTCCTGCACTGGCAGGCAAATTCTTTACCCCTGCTCCACCTGGGTTGTTGGCAAAATTCAGTTCCTTGCAGTTATGAGACTGAATTCCTTGCTGGCTGTCAGCAGGAGCTGTCCTTATCTCCTGGAGGCCACTGCTAGTCCTTGGGCATGACCTTCTGCATCTTAGACCAGCTACAGTGCGTGGAATCCGTTTCGTGCTTGCATTCTCTCTAGCTTGCCCTTCTAGGGCCATACCCGGATAATCCAGGATAATTTCTCCATTTTGATTTTTTTTTTTTAATTTGTACTTTTTGGCTGTGTGAGTGGCATGTGAGATCTTAGTTCCCTGACCAGAGATGGAACCCCTCTCCCCAGCAGGGGAAGCTCGGAGTCCTAACTACTGGACCACCAGGAAAGTCCCTAATTTCTCTGTTTTAAGGTCTGGAACCTTAATTACATTTGCAAACTTCCTTTAGTCATGTAACATTACATTTGCAGGGTCCAGGGATTACTGTGTGGACATTTTATTTGGGAGCCATGGTTCTGCCTACCACAAGGGAATGGGAGGGTTGGGCATCCTGTGACAGGAAAGAAGGGAAGGGAACAAAAAAGGGAAACTATGCTGTGGGTGGGGGAACTGAGGGGTTCAAGTGAAGAAAGAGGTTCTAGCCTGAGAGGGGCTCCCACTGCCTCGCTTTTTCTTTCCTATTTTCCTCCTCTCTCAAAAAACTAGCATTTATGAATGAGACGTATGAGAGCAAATATTTAAAAACAACTCAGGGATACTATGAAAAACAGTCTGATGGTTCCTCAAAAAATTAAAAATAGTACTGCCAGGACTTCGCTGGTGTCCAGTGGTTGGGGCTCCCCACTCCCCTGGTGACTTGCAGTAAAGAATTTGACTGCAATGCAGGAGACCCAGGTTCGATTCCTGGATTGGGAAGATCCCTTGGAGAAGGGAATGGCAACCCACTCGTGTTCTTGCCTGGAGAATTCCATGGACAGAGGATCCTGGTGGGCTACAGTCCATGGGGTCACAGAGAGTTGGACACAGTTGAGTGACTAATACTTTCACTTTCACTGCCAGGGCAGGTCTGGGTTTGATCCCCAGTCAGGGAACTAGGATCCTGTATCTCACAAGGTGCCTCCAATAAATAAATAATAATAAACTAAAAAAAAATAGAACTACCAGATGATCCAGCAATCCCATTTCTGGGTAAATATCCAAAGAATTGGAAGCAGGATCTTCAAGACATATTTACACACTTAATGTTCATAGGAACATTATTCACAATAACTGAAAGCTGGAAGCAATCCCAGTGTTCATCGATGGATGAATGGATAAACAAAGTGTGGCATATGCATATAGTGGAATATTATTCAGCTTCTAAAAGGAGGAAAATTTTGATATATGCTACAACATAGATGAACCCTTGGGACATTATGCTAAGAGAAGTAAGCCAGTAATAAGAAGGCAAAATACTGTATGATTGATTCCATTTATAATGAGATACTGAAGTAGTCAAATTAACTCATGAAAGCAGAAAATAGAATTGTGGTTGCCAGGGTCTGGGGAGAGGGAGAACGCAAGATTTGTTGCCTGATGGAGATCGAGTTTTAGTTCCATACAATGAAGAAGCTAAATTCTGTAGATCTGTTTCACAGACAGTAATGTGGATATTCTCACCACTACTGAACTGTACACTTAAAAAATATTTAATGTGGTAAATTTTATGTTATGCTTTTTTTAAACCACAATTTTGAAAAAGCTCTCAGATTTCTGTAAATACTCTTATCACTAAGTTTTTTCTGTTCTCTTTTCCCTCTTACACACAAAAGCACATATACACCCAAACACAAAAGAGCAATGAGCCTGCGTTTTTCTACAAAACTGTTGATTGTTTGTGGTTACCAGAGTGTGGTTAATTTATTGGAGTGATAAGATCAAGAGGGCAGATTTCGGTTGCAATTTCAGTACATTATCATTGAAGATGAAAGATTAGCTGGTTTCTTAAGACTGTATATTCTATCTAGGAGTGTTGCAACCCTCCCATTGTTTCAGATGTTGCTTTACTATTTCCTTTGTTTAGAATTCTTGAATGTGGTAACCCCACTTTTCAAAAGTTTACATTGCATCACTTTGCTTTTATGAAAGACCTACGCTAGTAGAGGCACACATTGGCCATATTGCAGGTTGGTTCCAGACCAACCTGGAACCGCAATAAAGCAATAAAG